TCCTTACTATAAAATCACTTGCTGACGGAGTTGCTGCAACATAAACCATTACAGCCTCTACTAGACCTACAGTTATACAATCATCTTACTTTCCTTGTATCAGAACAGATCGTTATCTTTTGCTTCTGTTTTTTGTCAATGCAGAATCCGAAGTGGAACCCGTCAAAGTAAGAGGGATGTGAACCAGAGTGAAGTGGAAGCTCTCTTCGAGCCACTAAGCCCGAACGTTGAGGAGTTGAGCGTGTGACTGACTGGCATGTGAAAACCGGAGCCATTAAAATATATTTACCGTTGTAGAAAATAAGTTAGATGAAATTACATGAGACTTGTGTAAGTTCTATATGAGAGCAAACACTTGGTGCTTTGATACATGTGGAATGATAAGGAGATAAGGATTGACACTTGTGGTAGACTTATCAGGGGTTGTATTTCTTTACAGTTTCAAGTCAGATACATTCTCGGTAAAACTAAAACTCTTCTAGCTGATATAATGCATAAGTGTTTTACATTGATAATGCTACTCTTTGATAAGGATCACTTAATGGGAGGGATCCTTATTGAATTCCATGTATAAAAATGAGGTCCCTGCTCTCTCCACTAAATACGCAAGTTCATAGAAAACTCAAGCCCCATTGAGCAAGCCTTGCTTTCAGTTGTGTAGAGTTGCAGGAGAACTTTAGTTCTTAATCCTAGTTTTCTGAGACGATGTCTTCCATAGGTACGTGGTTAAGTTGATAATTGTAAATAAGTTTTTACCTTGCACAATTAACTTACAACTTGGACCATTGAAATTTATTATAATGGATCGATATGGTCTGCAATTTCGTGCTAGTTTCTTTCCTCTTCCCCCATACCGGCAAGAAAGTCATTTCATCCTTTGAAAACATTGTTTATATATGCATATATGGTATCCATTTGGGTGTATTATATGGTTCATTTGACTAATTAATTACGACCTGACTACTAAACTAAACAAAAATAGTTAACTACTTGTTAAGGAATCCAACTGTCTAATAAATACATTAGTTAATTAGTTCCAATAAGATTTAGGGTTGTTGCTTACATATATAAAAAGGCAGCGTTAGCAACCTTGTCCCTTCAAAACATTGTTTATATATGGCATGATGGCATCCATTTGGGTGTATTGTATGGTTCATTTGACTAGTAAGGAAAGATAGCTAATACAAGTTTAATCCTAATGCCTATTTTGCTTTAGTTTTTAGCAGTGGAGCCTAAAAACTAATAGATTGTTGTTCATTTGGGTGTTTTATACGGTCCGTCCCCATTTGGATCTATTATATTAGAGCACCACTTAATAATTAATACAACGATCTAATAGATTGTTGTTCTAAATTCATATCTTGTAAATGGTTGAATCATTTATCACTAATCTTGAATAGTTGTTTTTAATTATTATTTCACATTTTCGGTCTTTTTTCCAATCACTTTTGTTTATTATGTGGTTGTTGTCATGTTACTTCTCAAATGCTTCCAAATTCCAAACTAAAATAATGCATTATTGATAATTAAATAACTGTAATCACCCCAATAAATCATTGTTTATAATCTATTGGATAGTCCTTGTCCTTTCGTGTTCGTTTCTTTCTTCCTTTCCTCTCTTTCACTTCACACTTTCCCACCCAACCGGTAGTATGTCGTTTCTCAAGTTCATACGTGAACATTGTTATATTATAAACTTTTCAATTCTAGCAATGTGAGACAATGAGATAACAAAAAGAATTCTGCTCAAACTCCAACGTGTATAACATCCATCTTGGTGTACTATAAGGTTTTTTTTTTTTTTTTTGGAAACTATTATATGGTTCATTTGCCTCGTAAGGAAAGGCGCAGCTAATACAAGTATAATCCTAATGCGCAATTTGCAATAGTTTTAGCAGTGGAGTAGCTTAAAACGGTCCATTGGGGTGTATTATGCGGTCCACCCCCATTTGGATGTATTATATTTAGAGCATGGCCTAATAGTTAAGACAACCATTCAGTAGATTGTGATCCTACGTTTTGAATCTTGTAAATGGCTGAATCATTTACCGTCCATCTTGAATAATTGTTTATAGTTGTCTTTTCACATTTGGGTCTTTTCTCCTATTCATATTTGGGTCTTTTCTCCTATGTTTTAATACTTTATAATATATATTATTTTATTTTGTAATTTATATATCCTAATACAATTATTTATCATTTTAAGTTTATATAATATATAATAAATTTACTTAAATCTGCCTAGACACTAGACCTCGCCTATCCGTTAAACCCTAACTCACCGCACGACGAGCGTCTATCATCTATTAGAACATTGTATAATATATGGACCTAGCTCTTGTTATGGAATATTATTGATTAATGGGTAAAAGACTGTTTACTACCCTAATGTTTCGTGGTTTTCAACATTTAGTACATCAAGTTTTTTTCGTCTCAGAGTCATACCTAAAGTGTAAATTTTGGGACAGTCTCATACATCCATTAGTCAAACTGTTAAGTTTTTCGTTAACTGTGACGTGGCGCACTGACTGGGCGCCACGTGTCATCCATGTTTTTTTTTTTTTCTTTTTTTTTTTTCTTTCTTTTCTTTTCTTATTCCTTCTTCTTCTTCTTCTTCCTCCGACTGCAACTTTTTTTTTTTTTTTCTTCTTCCTTCTCCTTCTTCCTTCCTTCCTCCTTCTTTTCCCTTTCTTCCCCTTCTGCTTCTTCCTTCTCATTCTCCTTCTTCTTCCTCCGAAATCTAGGGAAGTTTGTTTTTTTTTTTTTTTTTTTTTGTTCTTTCTTCTTCTTCCTTTTTCTTCCTTCCCCTTCTTCCTTCTCCTTCTTCTTCTTCTTCTTCTTCCTCCGAAATCTGGGGAAGTTTGGTTTTTTTTTTTTTTCTTTCTTTCTTCTTCTTCCTCCTTCTTCCTTCTTCTTCCTTCTTCTTCTTCTTCTTCCTCCGACTGCAATTTTTTCTTCCTCCTTCTCCTTCTTCCTTCCCCTTCTTCTTCTTCTTCTTCTTCCTCAAAAAAAAAAAAAAAACACTTTCATCTTCCCCCAAATTCGGAGGAAGAAGAAGAAGAACGAAGAAGGGGAAGGAAGAAGGAGAAGAAGGAGGAAGAAAAAAAAAAAACTGAATCTGGGCAGATTCGGAGGAAGAAGAAGAAGAAGAAGAAGAAGAAGAAGGAAGGAGGAAAGAGAAAGAAGAAGAAGAAGAGAAAAAAAAAAAAAAAAAAAAAAAAAAGCTTCCCCAGATTCGGGAAGAAGAAGGAGAATGAGAAGGAAGAAGAAGGAAGAAGGGGAAGAAAGGGAAGGAAGTAGGAAGGAAGGAAGAAGGCGAAGGAAGAAGAAAAAAAAAAAAAGTTACAGTCGGAGGAGGAAGAAGAAGAAGAAGAAGAAGGAAGAAGAAGAAGAAGAAGAAGAAGAAGAAAACGTGGATGACACGTGGCGCCCAGCCAGTGCGCCACGTCACAGTTAACGAAAAACTTAACAGTTTGACTAACGGATGTATGAGACTGTCCCAAAATTTACACTTTAGGTATGACTCTGAGACCCAGATTCGGGAAGAAGAAGGAGAATGAGAAGGAAGAAGAAGGAAGAAGGGGAAGAAAGGGAAGGAAGTAGGAAGGAAGGAAGAAGGCGAAGGAAGAAGAAAAAAAAAAAAGTTACAGTCGGAGGAGGAAGAAGAAGAAGAAGAGGAAGAAGAAGAAGAAAGAAGAAAACGTGGATGACACGTGGCGCCCAGCCAGTGCGCCACGTCACAGTTAACGAAAAACTTAACAGTTTGACTAACGGATGTATGAGACTGTCCCAAAATTTACACTTTAGGTATGACTCTGAGACCCAGATTCGGGAAGAAGAAGGAGAATGAGAAGGAAGAAGAAGGAAGAAGGGGAAGAAAGGGAAGGAAGTAGGAAGGAAGGAAGAAGGCGAAGGAAGAAGAAAAAAAAAAGTTACAGTCGGAGGAGGAAGAAGAAGAAGAAGAAGAGGAAGAAGAAGAAGAAGAAGAAGAAAGAAGAAGAAGGAAGAAGAAGAAGAAGGAGGAAGAAGAAGAAGAAGAGGAAGAAGAAGAAGAAGAAGAAGAAGAAGAAAAGAAGAAGGCGAAGGAAGAAGAAAAAAAAAAAAAAGTTACAGTCGGAGGAGGAAGAAAGAAGAAGAAAGAAGGAAGAAGAAAGAAGAAGAGAGAAGAAGAAGGAAGAAGAAGAAGAAGAAGGAAGAAGAAGAAGAAGAAGAAGAAGAAGAAGAAGAAGAAGAAAAGAAGAAAGAAGAAGAAGAAGAAGAGAAGAAGAAGAAGAAGAAGAAGAAGAAGAAGAAGGAAGAAGAAGAAGAGAAGAAGAAGAAGAAGAAGAAGAAGAAGAAGAAGAAGAAGAAGAAGAAGAAGAAGAAGAAGAAGAAAAAGAAGAAGAAGAAGAAGAAGAAGAAGAAGAAGAAGAAGAAGAAGAAGAAGAAGAAGAAGAAGAAGAAGAAGAAGAAGAAGAAGAAGAAGAGGAAGAAGAAGAAGAAGAAGAAGAAGAAGAAGAAGAAGAAGAAGAAGAAGAAGAAGAAGAAGAAGAAGAAGAAGAAGAAGAAGAAAACGTGGATGACACGTGGCGCCCAGCCAGTGCGCCACGTCACAGTTAACGAAAAACTTAACAGTTTGACTAACGGATGTATGAGACTGTCCCAAAATTTACACTTTAGGTATGACTCTGAGACGAAAAAAACATGATGTACTAAATGTTGAAAACCACGAAGGATGTACTAAATGTTGAAAACCACAAAACATGAGGGTAGTAAACAGTCTTTTACCCTTGATTAATTATATAAACCAAGCCAAGTCTTGACTTTTGGGTTCACAGCAAAATGGCAAATTTGCCCTCAATTCCCACGCGTCCGTCATCGCTTAAAATGGTTCCTCCCCTTCCCGATTCTCTTCATTCCGCTTTCTCTCATATAAAGAATCAGAACGCTGCTTCTCAAATTCTGTCTCCCTCAGCCAGCTCCCCATTCCCCGTTCATATTCGTACTTGGCACACTGGAATAACCTCTGAACTAGTAGAACTTTCCTCCGTTCTTCAATTCGATCGGAATAATTTTGTTACCCAGAAAGGCTAGCGTTTCCTGGTGAGTTATACAGCTTTCTCAGTGTGGGTGTTTCAATTTCGTTTTTGTGATTTTGGATTTTCAAATTTGTTTTCTGTTCAAATTTCCTTTTGTGATTTTGGGGGGTTTTGTTTATCGATTCTCTCACTCATCTCTCACCTCTCTCTCTCACTTTTGAGGTACATCCCGTTGGATTCCGTTTGCTGCTGCTGATCTGCAGGTAAAGCTTCAGTTTCCATATAAAGTTTCCATTTTTCATGATTTCTGGAATTTGGGTTTTAAACAATGGAAATACTGCTAGATTCTTATCATTATGTTCTACTAAATTTTTCAGGCTGAAGAGGATGACGAGAATATTAGTGGTGAATTGTATTTCAGTTTAATTAGGGGAAGAACAGGTAAACTTATTCTACATTTTCTTTCGTTTTTAGTTGAGCATTTATTGGTATTTTCCACAAATGTTTGGATTGTTTGTGTTTGACTTTCATGATTGTGGCCTTTTTGTTTGGTTTTGTCTTCCTTTTTCGCTTCTCTTATTTTGATTTTCCGTTTATATATTCTGCGTTTTCTCATGGCAGTTTTGGACCTTTTCTTTTCTGAATTTTTGTATGCTTTATGGGTCCTCATTTAATCTGCTTAATTATCATCATGATCAACTAAGATATCACTATTTCATACACTATAGACTTTGGGTTACTGGTTGAATTATGAATTGAGAAGTGGATAATGCCATAAAAAATTTGCTAGGAGTAGGAGGATGTTCTTGGCACACTATAAGAAGTTTTCTTTTTCTTTTTGGCAAGTTCTTCATATTCATGATTCTGTTATCAGTGCATTTGCTTTCCCATGATTTCTCATAAATTGGACGTGAATGTATTTATAGAATTTTATTTTTTCTAGCCAGACAAAGGATTTGATTGAGCAACAGGTGCATCAACCATATATTAGTACTACAACTGTACGAGGCCTCAGCGTTACAAGGTCTTGAAATTACCTCTCTCTTTTTTGGTTTTTGATAGATTATATGAGATTTTATTGCTGTTAGTTTGATGAAGTTCTCGATTCATGACCATATATTTTTTCAACTTGTACCATTTGGTTTCTGTTGACTTTAACTCTGAGGTGTAGTGGTGTTTGTGTTTTCCAAATTTCTTCCAATAGCTTAGTTTTAGGTTGATTTTGTTTGTATATATATCTTCGGAGCAATTCTTAGAGTTGCAATCTTACCAGCTACGAAAAGGAAAGTTATTGAGAAAATCTGGAGAGAAGGGCCTCCTAAATTATTATGGCCAGCTAAAGCAGTAAGTCCTGTTTTAGATCATTCAACAGGGAGATGGTATTCTCCATGACAACTGCTCCAACACCAATAACTCCTTTTCCCCAGGATTGACCAAAATATCAACGTGTAATGACATTTGTAGGGCAACAAACATTTAACTAATCAGATTTAATTTAGGTCAATTTTGGATTTGCATTAATTTGTTTCGATTTCTAATTTTATAAGCAATTTTGAGTTTGTGTGAAAAATAATATTGTTTTTTATTCTCTTTCCTCACACACACTCTCTCTCTTTCTCATGTTTTTGAGGAGTTTGAATCCCAAGTGTGTTTCTAGTTTCTGGGTTTTGAGTGTTTTGTTGTTTTCTTCTGGTAAAGTATTGTTCTTACTCTAAAAGTGGCAATCAGTGCTGTGTATTTTGTGCATGATAAAACTTATAAGTGTAGTATTGTGGTGCTTATTTTTTGGTTAAAAGTTAAAAGAGTCTCTTATAGATTTTGGTCGATTTGTATCCAACTTAGACCAAACTTCAGCTATACTATCAAGAAGCATGTTATCACATGACTGAAATCATCTTTTTACATCGATAAACATTCAATTACGACTTGATTGATATGGATATATAGACCCAATAGCTTTAGCTATATGTTATAGTTTTACACATGAAAATTGAATGTATCAATTTTAAATCTTTCAACCATGTTATTCAACAGATGCCATAAACTGCCATATATTTTTGAACTCTGTAGAAAAGGAATTTATATGCAACATGATCAGAATGACTACATAAACTGCTTATAAAATATCTTTTCAAATACATAAGGAGAAAGAGTGATGGTTCTCAACGCATCTTTATTGTTGCCCAAGTTTTTGCTAATTTGGAAAGCTATGAATTGCTAATGGATTTACCTTTTTTTTTGTGTGGAATTTTCAGAGTTTTGGGTCGTCGGAGGAAGAACTTAGTTGCTTGACATTTTGAGGTATGTACTTTGCTTACTTTTGTTTTAGTTTCTTCAATTAGATACAGTTAATTCACACCAATGCTTTTGTTTCTGTTGGTGTTTTGAGTTTAAACTTTATCCGGAATCATTTGGTGGGTGTTTGGAACTTTGGAATCAGATTTTCAATTGGTTTTGTGAAGTCCTAACTTTTAATTTCATTTGGGTCTGACCTTGAGTTTAAAACTTTATCTGGAATCATTTGGTGGGTGTTTGTAACTTTGGAATTAGATTTTTAATTGGTTTTGTGAAGTCCAAAGTTTTATTTTCATTTGGATCTGACCTTTTAGCTGTCATTGAAAATAATCATAAAAGTAAAGTTGTGCATTCCTTAATTCAATCTTTGGCAAGCCATCTTGCATGATAACCAAGTAAATGGTTTTTAGTAAATGTTGATTTTAGGACCTAAACCAAGTGAGGTGCATCAAGGATGAGGATGGAAAGGTTCTTGCTACAGAGAACGCGGTTAAAGACAGATGAAAAGGTTATTTTCATAATCTTTTCAATGAAGGACATGAAAGGAGTGCTTCTTTAGGGGAGTTGAGTAACTCAGAAGAGTGTAGAAACTACTCTTTTTATCGTAGAATCCGGAAGGAAGAAGTGGGTGTAGCTTTGAAGAAGATGAAGCATAGAAAAGCAGTAGGCCCAGACGATACCAATCGAAGTGTGGAAAATTTTGGGAGAGACAGGTATAACATGGCTCACTGACCTTTTCAATAGGATTTTGAAAACGAAGAAGATGCCGAATGAGTGGCGAATGAGCACTTTGGTGCCTATCTACAAGAATAAGGGCGATGTACAAAATTGCATGAACTATAGGGGAATTAAGCTAATGAGTCATACAATGAAGCTCTGGGAGAGAGTCATTGAGCATAGATTGAGGCAAGAGACACGGGTTTCGGACAACCAATTCGGGTTCATGCCAGGGCGCTCAACCATGGAGGCAATCTATCTCTTACGAAGATTGATGGAAAGATATAGAGATGGGAAAAAGGATTTACACATGGTCTTTATAGATTTGGAAAAAGCGTATGATAGGGTCCCAAGAGACATTCTTTGGAGGATTTTAGAGAAGAAAGGAGTACGAGTAGCATATATCCAAGCTATACAGGATATGTATGAAGGAGCAAAGACTGCCGTAAGAACTCATGAAGGACAAACCGAAAGCTTTCCCATAACTGTAGGATTACATCAAGGCTCATCCTTAAGTCCTTACCTTTTTGCGTTGGTAATGGATGAGTTAACAGGACATATTCAAGGTGATATTCCTTGGTGTATGCTTTTCGCAGAGACGATATAGTGTTGATAGATGAAACTCAGGAAGGGGTAAATGCAAAGCTTAACCTTTGGAGAGAAGTGTTGGAATCTAAAGGTCTTCGCCTAAGCCGATCAAAGACAGAATATATGGAGTGCAAGTTCAGTGCAAATGGAGGCCAAAACGAGTTAGGGGTGAGGATCGGAGATCAAGAAATACCAAAGAGCGACCGTTTTCGTTACCTAGGATCTATCTTGCAAAAGAACGGAGAATTAGATGGAGATCTCAACCATAGAATACAAGCTGGATGGATGAAGTGGAAGAGTGCATCCGGCGTGTTGTGTGACCGCCGTATGCCACTGAAGCTCAAGGGAAAATTTTATAGGACGGCAATAAGGCCGGCGATGCTGTATGGCACAGAATGTTGGGCGGTGAAGCATCAACACGTACACAAAATGGGTGTAGCGGAGATGAGGATGCTTCGTTGGATGTGTGGGCACACGAGAAAGGATAAGATTAGGAATGAGGATATCCGGGGTAAAGTAGGAGTAGACGAAATTGAAGGAAATATGAGAGAAAATCGGTTACGGTGGTTTGGACATGTGCAAAGAAGGCCTACTGACGCTCCGATTAGAAGATGCGACTATGGGACAGAGGTTCAGGGCCGAAGGGGCAGAGGAAGACCTAGGAAAACTTTGGAAGAGACCCTAAGAAAAGACTTAGAGTACTTGGATCTAACGGAGGACATGACACAGGACAGAACACAATGGCGTTCTAAGATTCATATAGCCGATCCCACTCAGTGACTTGGATTTTCCAAGTCTCCAACCGAGAAGTTTTCCTCACTCGGGAAATTAAGGGAACACTACCTCAACCTATATGCTCCACTCACAAAGCTTCAACATACAAGCTTCAACAAAAGAAAATTCAAAGAACTTAGCGAAGAAGGCTTTGGTGTATTTAACACAATACGTTGAAATGAAGGAAAAACTTATTTATTGATATCCCCGATAAGTTACAAATATGTACATATACTTGAGTCAAAATAAACAAACAAGAGGGAGCCTTCACAAAGGTTGCTTAGGAGAAGTCTCAGCAGTCGGTAGAGCCCCAGAAAGAGAAGGCACCGGAGGGGGATCATTCGGAGCCTCAGTATTGGACAAAACCCTAGAAGGAGGAGGCATCAGAGGATTGATCATTTGGAGCTTCATTACGCGGTACAGCCCCAGAAGACGAAGGCAATAAATGCCTTTGGAACAAACCCACAAATCTCTGATGATCAAGTAAAACCTGACCATCAGATTCCTTCATCTGGTCAAGCTTCCTCTTCATGTTTGTAGCATAGTCATGTGCGAGCCGGTGCAACTGTTTATTCTCATGCTTGAGCCCTCTAATCTCCTGTTTGAGACTCATCACTTCAGCCGCCAATGATTCAACTTGGCGGGTTCGAGCAAATAGGCGTTGGGCCATATTAGACACAGAACCTGCACACTGAACACTGAGAGCCAGAGAATCCTTAACAGACAACTCATCAGACCGTTTGGAAAATAGTCTGTTATCTTTGGGAGTGAGAAGGTTCCTGGCCACTACCGCAGCGGTCATATCATTCTTCATCACGGAATCCCCAACGGTAAGAGGACCAGTAGGGGAGACGAAGGATGGGCGCCATATGTTGTCTGGAGAAGGCGGGGCTGCCTCTTCAACAAGGTTCAAGTCAAAACGACGGTCGGAGGGGCCAGACATTTTCAAAGGTGTTGAAGAGAGAAGAGGTCGGACAAATCAAGATCTTAGAAGTGCAAGAATGGAGCTTCTACTGGTGGATATTCAAGTGTGCTTTGGAACTTAATGTCAGCCCCTATAAAAATCTGCACTCGACGAAGCTTCAGAAATCGAAGAGGCGCCTGCTCAGAAATCGAAGAGGCGTTTGCTTTCTCAAAAGCTGGGCTGCTCAGAGATTCTCAAAAAGCTGGGCTGCTCAAAGACCACAAAGGCCGATCTCAGAAAATCGAAGAGGCTTGCTTTCTCAAAAGCTGGGCTGCTCAGAGACCACGAGGGCCGATTTCAGAAATCGAAGAGGCACCTACTTTTCCAGCCTTGTCAGCACCTGTCACACGCACACTCAGCTTTGCGGAAATTATGGGCATTCTGTCGAAGATTTCTGGCGAAGTAGAAAGCACATGAATCGTACTGTTCAATCACCCACTTCCCACACGCAACAGTAGCTCATGGGTACCACAGATAACTTTGCCAAAGTTCTCTGACAAAGTTGAGACACGTGAAGCTTGCAGCTCCCACTACATCGCTCTGACCAAGAAGGGTAAAAGAATTGCAAAGAAACAACACTAACAAAGTTTAGACACATAAATTTTGAAGGTCTAGCTACCATATTATTACCCACAAGGGTAAAGGAACAGTACCACTGCTGGATAATTGGAAAGTCCCGGTGTGTCAACCTCTGTGCTTCGTGGCAAGGTAGACTAGCAAACATGCCCAACCTTTACTCACATTCGAGAAAAAAACACTCCTAACAAGATTGCTTGCTCCAAAATCGAAGAGGCACCGCCCTCCGAATCTCGAGAGCCAGACTCCCAACATGATTACTTTCTCAAAAATCGAAGAGAGGGTAAAGGAACAGTACCACTGCTGGATAATTGGAAAGTCCCTGTGTGTCAACCTCTGTGCTTCGTGGCAAGGTAGACTAGCAAACATGCCCAACCTTTACTCACATTCGAGAAAACACTCCCAACAAGATTGCTTGCTCCAAAATCGAAGAGGCACCGCCCTCCGAATCTCGAGAGCCAGACTCCCAACATGATTACTTTCTCAAAAATCGAAGAGACACCGCTCTCCGAATCTCGAGAGCCAGACCCCCAGCAGGATTGCTTTCTCAAAAATCGAAGAGGCATCGTTCTCCGAATCTCGAGAGCCAGACCCCCGACAGCTTGTCTGTAATCTTCACACGCAACATCAGCTTTCCAGATACCACAGACCACTTTTTCAAAGTGCTCTGACAGAGTTAAAACATGTGAAGCTGGCAGCTCCCACTACCGTGCTATAACCAAGCAGGGTAAAGGAATAGCATTATTACTTGATGTTAGGGAGACTCCTATATATGTCGACCTTCCATCCCTAACGGACAGGCAGACCTGCAAAAATGCTCAACCCTTTCTCTTATCTGAGAGGGCACTCCCAACAAAGCCTTTCGAAATATTTAGCTTTTTTTCCCCCCGATAATACCTCTGTAAACAAGCTATACTAGAGCAAGAATATCTCATATCATCAGGGTTAAAAGCAAGAGTATCCCATATCATGCTTTTTCCCTGTCTTTTCCTTTGGCCTTGTTCTTACCTGCAAGACAAGGAGAAAGAGAGCAATCAGTCAGCACTTGGAATCAAGCTTCCAGCCAGGAACTGACTGCCTGGAACCCCTTACCTGATTACTTACCTGGCATTGCTCTCGAGTACTCATCTTCAACATCTTATGCTTCCAGGGAAGATACCGCATCTGCCTGAGGAACAGATAGGGCAAGTGAGAAGGATACAAGGAAGCATGTGGAGACAAGCGTAACAGCACACGTGCCGATACATCCACTACTCTGTCAAAAGCAAAAGTATCCCATATCAGCAGGGTCGAACGTACTCTAGATTTGATGGACTTGTTTTGACCCTCAAATTCTTCAGTCGGCCTTATACTCTGGAGGAAACCAGAAAACCCTCCAGCCCAGTTCAAGAATAAGCCTGTGGAAAGTTACTTCTTCAAAAGCAAAAGTATCCCATATCATCTCTCCTCATTTTTCTTCTCTTTATCCTTCATGCTGCCTGCAAGATAGGGAGAATGTGAACAATCAGCCGGAGCTCTGATTGCTTACCTTGTCTGTCACCTCTTTCAGCAGATCCCCCAGCTCGGCGACTTGGGGGACTCCTACTACATGGTTTGTATCTCGCTTGACCAAGCATGAAACTACAAGTAAGCTTCAAGTGAAATTGATACATTACCTTGTGCATCTCCACCAGTTACAGATACCACCCCTGGATGGAGGAAGAGTACTTCCAGAGAAGATGCCACATCTACCTATGAGACAGATAAGGCAAGTCAAGACGATACCACACTCCGGTACTTAGAAGTTTCGTGGCTACGAGATCATTCTCCCACAATTTTTCCTAATGTCATTTGTACTAAATCATTCACTTGTACTCACTAAAGGAGAGCTTGAACCTATGTACTTGTGTAAACCCTTCACAATTAATGAGAACTCCTCTATTCCGTGGACGTAGCCAATCTGGGTGAACCACGTACATCTTGTGTTTGCTTTCCTATCTCTATCCATTTTATATACTTATCCACACTAATGACCGGAGCAATCTAGCGAAGATCACAAAAAAATGACCGTTTTCGCTACCTAGGATCTATCTTGCAAGAGAACGGAGAATTAGATGGAGATCTCAACCATAGAATACAAGCTGGATGGATGAAGTGTAAGAGTGCATCCGGCGTGTTGTGTGACCGTCGTAGGCCACTGAAGCTCAAGGGAAAATTTTATAGGACGGCAATAAGGCCAGCGATGTTGTATGGCACAGAATGTTGGGCGGTGAAGCATCAACGTACACAAAATGGGTGTAGCGGAGATGAGGATGCTTCGTGGGATGTATGGGCACACGAGAAAGGATAAGATTGAGAATTAGGATATCCGAGGTAAAGTAGGAGTAGCCAAAATTGAAGGAAATATGAGAGAAAATCGGTCCCGGTGGTTTGGACATGTGCAAAGAAGGCCTACTGACGCTCCGGTTCGAAAATGTGACTACGGGACAGAGGTTCGGGGCCGAAGGAGTAGAGGAAGACCTAGGAAAACTTTGGAAGAGACCCTAAGAAAAGACTTGAGTACTTGGATCTAACGGAGGACATGACACAAATGAGCGCAATGGCGTTCTAGGATTCATATAGCCGACCCCACTTAGTGGGAAAAGGCTTTGTTGTTGTTGTTGTTGTTGTTGATTTTGGAAAATTCTTTGTTTAAATTTCTAGGTTCTGATGAATTCTTCATTTAGAGTTGGTGACCAACAATCGACCCACCACCAATTTTAGATCAAGATTCGGGCATGCCTTAAAAATGTAAGTCATTTTTCCATTCTATTTTGTTGATTTTGTCATCTGGGTTTCTTAGAAAGCTCGCACCTCGGTTCATTTTTTACTAGAGTGTTACCTTGTTATCTGTATTGTTTGGAAGATTAAAGCTTGCATTCAAGTTTTGCTCTTTGAGTAGGACTTCAGGATTGGAGACTGAATTATTGTAAGTCTGTTTTCTTTTTCTTTTGTTTTTGCAACCGAAATTTGAATTATGTTCCACTATGGTTTATAGTTATTTTGTTGATGTTGTTACACTACTCATGATTGCTAATCTTAATACATTTTGCAGAATGACATTTGTGGAATAATTTCTCAAAACTCATTTGTTATTTGTCCTTTATGTTTCCACGACTTCACAACGTTATAGGCGACGCTGCTATCCCACAGTTGAATCTGATTAATTTGTCTAAAGATTTCCAAGTTATGAAGTTACGTATTCTGGCACTTAGTTATATATATATATATATATATATATATATATATATATATATATATATATATATCATTCCATAACATAATGCATATAGATAGAAAAAAATTTCCCATCTTTTGTATGTGGATTGTATCGTAAAATCTTTTGTATGTAAAACTTTTCCAACATTTTCAATGTAAATAGTATTAATCTTCAATCACTCAATCTATTATATATTTCAAAGATAATCTTTCATACAATTTCAAATACCGCAGCAACGCGCGGGTAAAAATTTCTAGTACAAACTAAAGTTGTTTCTCCTATTAAAATGTCCATTGAAATGTATTATATATGAAGATGGGCAGGTTGTTTCTCCTATGAAAATATGTCTGTTGTTTCTCATATGAATAGCTGTAATCACAGCCAAGAATCTTTTGGATAGTCTTTGTCCTTTCGTTCCTCTTTTCCTCTCTCTTTCTCTGCACCTTCCGGCAACATTATGTCGTTTCTCAAGTCCATATGCCAACATTATTATATTTTAAACTTTGTTCTTGATGACTGAAGGAGCTTGACTTGGGTTTAGGTAATTCAGGATCATCTGTTCGACAGCACGAACACAACTACTGCCATTTTTGCAGTCGTGATCTGAACCACTGCAGTGCCATAACGGTGGATATCGCCATGATAACCCACGAAGCCTCCTCTTCATCCTCCTCCAAGTCAAAACTTTGGAATTACGACGTGTTCTTGAGCTTCAGCGGTGTAGACACACGCAATGGTTTCACGGGCCACCTCCACGCGGCATTAACAGACAGGGGATACCAGGCTTATATCGATGAGGATGATCTAGAAAGAGGGGAAGAAATAAAAGAGGAACTGTTCCGGGCAATCAAAGAGGCGAGGATCTCTATCATTGTCTTCTCAAAGAGTTATGCGGACTCGAGTTGGTGTCTTGATGAGCTGGTGAAGATCATGGAGTGCAGATACAAACCGGGGCGACATGTTTTACCAATATTCTATCATGTTGATCCTTCACATGTTAGGAAGCAGAATGAAGATTTAGCTCAAGCATTTCAGAAGCACGAAGAGGGCATCCGTGAAGAAAAAGATGACAAGGAACGTGAAACTAGACAAGAAAGGGTAAAGCAGTGGAGAAAGGCTCTTACAGAAGCTGCAAATTTGTCTGGCCAACATCTTCAAATCACTGACAAAGGGTAATCATTCACCTGCTTTTCAAGATTTGAAACATTTTAGTGAATGACTTAATCTCTCATATAATTAACATGCTTAATTAACATTTTACAGAAGCTAATTAAACATTGGCTAACATGCTTAATTAAATTAATACATCTTAACCTCTCATATAAATCCTAAACCGTAATTGGAGTTTAATTAAGTTCTTTCTTTTATCAGGTTGGTCAAAAAATCATATACTAGCTAGTAGCTAGTTAGAATATATATGGGGCCATGGGGGAAAGAAAATTGTCTATATACTGATAGCTCCTAGTGTTCATCGAGTCCCACTAATGCTCACAAATTTAATTTTCAGGCGCGAAGCAAAGCTTATTAGAGAAATTGTTGACAAGATTATCCCGAAATGGCTTCCGATCGCAGAAGAATTACAAATGGCCAAGCACCCAGTTGGAATATATACTCGCATTCAAGATATCATCACTTATCTTTCAAATGCTGGATCAGATGTTGTTTGCATGGTTGGAATTTGGGGGATGGGTGGATTGGGTAAAACAACAGCTGCCAAAGCCATTTATAACAAAATTCATCATGAGTTCCAATTCAAAAGTTTCCTTGACAACGTTAGTGAAAAAGATCTGGTTGTTTCGTAAAAAAAACTTGTTTCTGACATCTTGAAACAGACCAAGCCTGAGATAACCAGTGTTGATGAAGGTATCAGTCCGATAAAAAATCATCTCCATCGTAGAAGTGTACTTGTCATTATTGACAATGTAGACAGAGTGGAACAACTAAATGCAATAGCTGGAAATCGTGATTGGTTTGGCCCAGGAAGTAGAATTATCATAACGACACAAGATGAACGTTTACTAAAGCAAGTGAACATGAAAGTGGACAAGACATATCCACTTAAGGAAATGAATGACGAAGAAGCTCTGAAGCTCTTTAGTTGGCATGCCTTTGGAAATAGTTGGCCTAATGAAGGATATCTTGAACTCTCAAAGGAGGTTGTTTCTTACTGTGGTGGTTTGCCACTAGCCCTTGAAGTTTTAGGTGGTTCTATGATTGAAAGAACCCCAACGGAGTGGAAAAATCAGTTGGAGAAATTGAAAAAATTTCCCGAGGAAGGAATAATGAAACCGCTAAGAGTAAGCTTTGAAAGGCTAGATCCTACACAGAAGGATATATTCCTTGACATATCTTGTTTCTTTATTGGATGGGATAAGGACCGTGTCGCAAAAATATTAGATGGATGTGAGTTTTTTGCAACAGTAGGAATCAGTGACCTTCGTGAACGATGCCTTGTAACTGTTGAACATAACAGGTTGAATATGCATGATTTGCTTCGAGAAATGGCCAAATTAATCATTTCTGAAAAATTCCCTCGTCACCCTGGAAAATGGAGTAGGTTGTGGAACCATCAAGAGGTCACTAAAGTATTAGGAGATAACTCTGTAAGTACATTCCTAATAAAATTTTGAATTTAATGCATCGTACATGAAAAGCACATATAACTCACGGATGTGTATTACACATTAAGTAACATTCATCTCAATTAGCGAACAATAGTACTTGCATGTATTCATACATGTAAACGTATGCAAATAATTCGTTTCTTACACATGAATATCACCTTTTCTTAACAGGGAACTGAAGAAGTTGAAGGACTTGCTCTATATGGCCCTCCTCCTCGGGTACAAAGCTCTAACAAGTCTAGTTCTTTCAGTACAGAAGCATTTGCAAATAATCCGTTTCTTACTCATGAATATAACCTTTTGTTAACAGGAAACTGAAGAAGTTGAACTTGCTCCAGATTCAGTACAGAAGCATTCTTCTAAGTTTAGTTGTTTCAGTACAGAAGGATTTGCCAATATGAAGAAACTGAGACTGCTCCAGCTCTGCAAAGTGCAGCTCAATGGAGAATACAAACATCTTTCCAAAGAGTTAATATGGTTGAGTTGGTCTGGATGCCCTTTAAAGTCCATACCAGATGACTTCTTTGATCAACCAAGACTAGTTAGTTTAGAGATAACGTCTGGCAAACTTGTACAAGTTTGGGAGGGTTCCAAGGTACAGTCGATTACACATGATGATGTTATGATTCTATTTGCTTTTGGATTTCCTTCTCTTTTTTTAATGAGATATTCCTTTTGGATATTAATTTTAATTTTCCTTTGATTTTGTGCAACAGTCGCTTGAAAACTTGAAATTCCTTGATCTCAGAAGTTGCCTTGACTTAAAAAAATCACCAGACTTTTCAAATCTCCCAAATCTTGAAGAGTTGATGTTGGAATGGTGTGTGAGTTTGTCCGAGATTCACCCCTCCATTGGTCATCTTAAAAAACTTTCTTTGGTGAACCTCACAGGCTGCAAGAATCTTATTTCTCTTCCTGGAGATTTCTACAAGTCAAAATCCGTTCAGACTCTTGTTCTTGATGAATGTTGCCAATTCAGTGAACTGCCCGAGGATATAGGGAAGATGCTATCATTGAGAGTACTTAAAGCATCTTTCACAGCCATAAGACAAGTACCACGTTCCACAGTAAGGTTGATGAATCTCACTCATTTATCTCTAGCAGGTGTGGGATCAGAGTTTCCCTTGCGATTTCCTGATTCGTTACACGGCTTAGACTCTTTAAGAAATTTAGATCTCTCAAACAATGATTTTGATACCCTACCCAGCCTTAGTGGTCTTTCAAAGCTTGAAAGTTTGCGGTTAAGTGACTGCCATCACCTTCATACCCTACCCAGCCTCAGTGGTCTTTCAAAGCTTGAAAGTTTGCAGTTAAGTAACTGCCATCACCTTCATACCCTACCCAGCCTTAGTGGTCTTTCAAAGCTCGAAAGTTTGCAGTTAAGTAAATGCTATCACCTTCATACCCTACCCAGCCTCAATGGTCTTTCAAAGCTTGAAAGTTTGCAGTTAAGTGACTGCCATCACCTTCATACCCTACCCAGCCTCAGTGGTCTTTCAAAGCTCGAAAGTTTGCAGTTAAGTAAATGCTATCACCTTCATACACTACCCAGCCTCAGTGGTCTTTCAAAGCTTGAAAGTTTGCAGTTAAGTGACTGCCATCACCTTCATACCCTACCCAGCCTCAGTGGTCTTTCAAAGCTTGAAAGTTTGCAGTTAAGTCAATGTTATCACCTTCATACCCTACCCAGCCTCAGTGGTCTTTCAAAGCTTGAAAGTTTGCAGTTAAGTGACTGCCATCACCTTCATACCCTACCCAGCCTCAGTGGTCTTTCAAAGCTTGAAAGTTTGCAGTTAAGTGACTGCCATCACCTTCATACCCTACCCAGCCTCAGTGGTCTTTCAAAGCTCAAAAGTTTGCAGTTAAGTAAATGCTATCACCTTCATACCCTAGCCAGCCTCAATGGTCTTTCAAAGCTTGAAAGTTTGCAGTTAAGTGACTGCCATCACCTTCATACCCTACCTAGCCTCAGTGGTCTTTCAAAGCTTGAAAGTTTGCAGTTAAGTAAATGCTATCTCCTTCATACCCTACCCAGCCTCAGTGGTCTTTCAAAGCTTGAAAGTTTGCAGTTAAGTGACTGCCATCACCTTGATACCCTACCCAGCCTCAGTGGTCTTTCAAAGCTTGAAAGTTTGCAGTTAAGTCAATGCTATCACCTTCATACCCTACCCAGCCTCAGTGGTCTTTCAAAGCTTGAAAATTTGCAGTTAAGTGACTGCCATCACCTTCATACCCTACCCAGCCTCAGTGGTCTTTCAAAGCTTGAAAGTTTGCAGTTAAGTAAATGCTATCTCCTTCATACCCTACCCAGCCTCAGTGGTCTTTCAAAGCTTGAAAGTTTGCAGTTAAGTGACTGCCATCACCTTGAAACCCTACCCAGCCTCAGTGGTCTTTCAAAGCTTGAAAGTTTGCAGTTAAGTAAATGTTATCACCTTCATATCCTACCCAGCCTCAGTGGTCTTTCAAAGCTTGAAAGTTTGCAGTTAAGTGACTGCCATCACCTTCGTACCCTACCCAGCCTCAGTGATCTTTCAAAGCTTGAAAGTTTGCAGTTAAGTGACTGCCATCACCTTCGTACCCTACCTAGCCTCAGTGGTATTTCAAAGCTTGAAAGTTTGCAATTAAGTAAATGCTATCACCTTCGTACCCTACCCAGCCTCAGTGGTCTTTCAAAGCTTGAAAGTTTGCAGTTAAGTGACTGCCATCACCTTCATACCCTATCCAGCCTCAGTGGTCTTTCAAAGCTTAAAAGTTTGCAGTTAAGTAACTGCTATCACCTTCGTACCCTACCCAGCCTCAGTGATCTTTCAAAGCTTAAAAGTTTGCAGTTAAGTAACTGCCATCACCTTCCTACCCTACCCAGCCTTAGTGGTCTTTCAAAGCTTGAAAGTTTGCAGTTAAGTAACTGCTATCACCTTCATACCCTACCCAGCCTCAGTGGTCTTTCAAAGCTTGAATGTTTGCAGTTAAGTGACTGCCATCACCTTCATACCCTACCCAGCCTCAGTGGTCTTTCAAAGCTTGAAAGTTTGCAGTTAAGTAACTGCCATCACCTTCATACCCTACCCAGCCTCAGTGGTCTTTCAAAGCTTGAAAGTTTGCGGTTAAGGAACTTCCATCACCTTCATACCCTACCCAGCCTAAGTGATCTTTCAAAGCTTGAAAGTCTCTGGTTACATGATTGCTTGGAGCTTCGTACAATTTATGATTTGCCAACGAATTTAAAATTTCTGGGTGCGCCTAATTGCCTTCATTTGGTAACAATGCCCAATTTTTCGAAAATGTCGAATATGAGAGAACTGATTGTATGTAATTCATACGCACTCACTGAGGTTCCAGACTTGGATAAGTCATTATACTCCTTGACATGGATTGACATGAGGGATTGCCCCAAACTCACAGCTGATTTTAGGAGGAACGTCCTAAAGGTATCTCTCTTTAATTGCCTTCCTATTGCGCACATGCACACACACAACGCACATGTATATATATGACATTTGCACTGTATGTATAGGGATGGACTTCTTGTGGATATGGTGGCATTTTTCTCAATGGGAATTATGTTCCTGATTGGTTCGAGTTTGTCAACAATGGTGATAAAGTCAGTTTTGATATCCCCCCGAGTGATGGTCGTAATTTTGAAGGGCTGACTCTGTTATGCTTTTACTCCTCAGATCTTCATCAGTCAAGCTCTCATATCAGATGTAAAGTTGCTCATCCTCATGCCAGTATTGATATAAATAATACCAAGCGTAATGAGTTGCGGACCTGCATTGGCAAGGAAGATTGGGTTATAAAAATGCGCGATGTTGTATATAAAGAATGTTTTCTTTGGCAGGGACAAATATCGAATGATAAGCTCAATTTGCAAAGCGGGGATAAAGTTGATATAACTTTTGAAATGCCAGAGATGGACTATAAAAATTATTATGCGACAATTCAAGGAACAGGGGTTAATCTAGTATGGGACAAACCTATGAAGGAAAATATCCACGATTTTGATCGTGATGGTTGGTTTTTGATCCAGAGGCACAACCAAGGTGGTGATGCATAGTCATCATCACATGTTTTCGATTTCTCAGTTCGTCAAACGCCTCTTTCAGTTTTCGATTTCTCAGTTCAATAAATGAAGGCAAGTCCATACTTACTGCTTTCAAATTCCAACTTTCCCTCCATAGCCACTGCGGCGGTTCCTTTTCCCGGTAATTTGACCGAAACATCAAGGGTAGTCCGGTCCAGAAGCACCAAAAATATCTGTCTCTCTCGACACTGACAGTTACTCTCAAACGGAAGTAATGGGAAGCTTATTGACGAGCGACCCAAATTCTGAGCAAATAGTCGTCCGCTTTCTTCTTCCTCATTCCAAATTTGAAGCTCTCTCTTTACAAACCCTCCAAATCCCCTCGCCTTCTCCGCACATTCGGGATCATGGCCTCCGCCGAGGCGTTCGTCAAGGGCAGCGTCCACCCAAATGGCGTCGCCGACATCACCCTCGGTCGCCCCCCGAGCTCTCAACGCCATGAACCTAGGTATGTAGATAAACACACACACACGTATATGTATATATGTATGTATCTGTAAATGCTTTTGATTTGGAGCTGATTTGAAATTTTGAGCTTGAACTTTATGGCATCTTATTGAGTACAAATCTATGTTCTTGCATTTGTTATAAGACGAAATGTTGGATTCAAATTTCGAAGAAGCTAGCTTCTTTTTTTTTTAAGAATTTTGTGTTTCTGTTTAAGTGCTATCTGGATGAATGGGAATCTGACCCAAATGTGAAGTGTGTTTCTTGGCAATTTTACACTTCCATTTTAGCATGCAGTTAAATAAGCATTTGATTGTGATAGTAGGTTTTTACACTTCCATTTTATAAGGCGAAACGTTGGATTCAAATTTCGAAGAAGCTAGCTTCTTTTTTTTTAAGAAATTTGTGATTCTGTTTAAGTGGGAATTGTTGGAAAATGCAGATATGGATGTGGAATACAAGAGCTATCTGGATGAATGGGAATCTGACCCAAATGTGAAGTGTGTTCTTGTTGATAGCCGCTCCGCTCGTGCCTTTTGTGGCGGTAACGCCCAGAATTCGTATCTGATTAGTTTCTTATCTTTCTTGGCAATTTTACACTTCCATTTTAGCATTCAGTTAAATAAGTTTTTCTAGATATGTATGTTTAGCTCTTTCGGCGGTTATTTTTGTTTTTGGGTCTCTTAGGTAAGGTTTTAAGAGTGACCAATCATGGTAAATGCAGGAAAGGATATTAAAGTGGTTGTTTCAAAAGGACAAAAACACCCCTGTTCTGCCGAAGGTTTCTACATTACGCTTTGCTTTGAACCAAAGTTGTTTCTTGTTTAGGTGCTTATGTGATATATTGTTAGTCTTTGATGTTCGTGCTGTTTCACATCATGTTGTTTATTGTTTCACTTCATTGTTCATTTTTGTGTTGTTTTTTTGCCATATAGAGATAGATGGTGTCCATTAAGTTGGCACGTTGATTCATTGATAAGTAATAACCCAGATTTAGTTTACCTGCAGGCGGTGATGTGAAGCAGATCACGGCCAAAAACCAACCACCGAATATGATTGAGGTCTAATTGTGTCCTTTTAACTATATAGAATAACAGACTTATAACCTTACACCGTTTTCTAAAATCCAGATAATATAAGATGACTTCCTTCACTACCATATAAGATGTATTTTGGTCATTTTCATAGTGAATAGATTTACAACTAGCAAGATGATTGACCCTTGCAAAATCATTGATGATTAAGCCTTAATATAAGCAAGCAAGCCCCCTTTAACAAAATTCATGCATTAGAATCGTAATGATGTATTTGTTGATAAGCCTAAAAGTTCAAAGTGAAAATCACTTATGTGAGTTCTGCTACTTCTTTAATTGCTTTTTCTATTCGATCTCGTATAAATGTCATAAATTGCGGCTAAGATTGTGCTTTCAGCATGTATTTATTAATGTTCAATACATACGATTATTTTTTTTCTTTTGTAATTTCATGTTTGACATTCTCGGGCAACCTACAACATCTGATCATTTGTTTAGTCTTGATTTTGCTTGAACTTGGGTAATATGATTTGTATTGGTTGGATAGGATTCATATCTTTTCTAAGCTACCATTTCTTAAGATTGAGAGGCTACCGGTATGATACTTGTGCTGCACGTTTTTCAGGTATTCACTGCTGAGTATTCTCTAATATGCAAAATCTCAGAGTACAAGAAGCCCTATATAAGCTTCATGGATGGCATAAGAATGGGCTTTGGTGTTGGCCTATCAGGTCACGGTCGCTACTGGATCATTACAGAGGTATTATTGCCTTGTCAGACAGAGATTGTCAATGTTGTGAATTACATTGCCTTTTTGAATTTTTTGTGTCTTAACTTTGTATGGATACATTTCAGAGGACTGTTCTTGCTAATGCCAGAGAATGTAATTTGTTTGTTCCCAGATGTTGGGTTTTCACGTATAGCGGCAAAGAGTCCAGGAGGAGGATCTGTAGGTATGTATTTTCTATACTCGGGCGCAATTTCCCTCCTATGACTGAAGCAAGCTGTTTTTCCAACGTTGATAAGGAGAAACTGTTTAGATTATAAGAATATAAAGAGAATGGCCTGTACCATTACTCTGTTTGCTTCATGCATCAATTCTTAGTTCTGTATTTGTTTTAACACTGTCATGTCTTTCTTGGTGCTTATCTTTGACTTACTGGGAAAAGGATTTCAACACCATCGGATGCACTGTATGTGGGTCTTGGGACCCATTTTGTCCCATCTCAAAACTTAGCTATTTGTGCCAAAGAATCAAGGTGAGACCTTTAGAGCTTAGCTTTTACAAATACTAGTTGTAAACTATGCCTTCAGCATGAATTTTTGCCTTTCTTCATTCAAAACTATCTGCAATATCGCCCCAACCAGAGAGAACTTTAACAATGCTGCTTATGAAACATTTAACAGATGGAGAGGTGGAGAGCTTCAAGTTGATTCGGTGATGCATGTTGCAAGCATCATACGGAGGACACAATTTTTCAATACCGACGCTGGTATTTCACTTTCACTACTGATATTCTTACAATAAGTGATCCGATACGAAAGAAACTCACACCTGGAGGATGCCTCTATGGTGGTATCTCAAACCATTCGCGCATGGCCGAGTATTTTAACTACTATGCGACTCCCTTACACAAATCTGATCTTTGTTTTTTGTTAATGCAGGTACATTAGCCCCGAGTCTTTCGGATACCTGGATCTACTACAAAGTTTGAGAAGTGGTGATTGTTCGTAACTGTACATTTTTCTTCTTTGGTACTGCCTGATTGTGTTTTTTTTACTCCTGTTTCTTCCCCGGATTTACATAAAGCTAATGTTACAAACTAGGCAACTAAAGCGGCTATCTCCAAATGCAGCTGTTTCTTCTTCTCTGTATCGCTCGTTAATGAAAAATAACTAATCTAGCTTAAAATTTGCATCGAGTTTCTTCTTATCTTCCTCTTCTCTGTATCTCTCAACTTTTCGGCCCCCTTTGTCAATCAACTTCGATATTTCTTCTTTTCTACATTCGTTTGTCCTTGATAATTTCTTGAGGTGCCTCCAAATACTGAAGACGGTTGTGAAAAGGTAACTGCTGACTGCTGTATGTTCTCCCAGTAGAAAAACACATTATCGCAATCGTTGTCAACCGCCTCTGTCTGCTTGGAACAATGTGAGACAGTCCCCTCCCCTGAGCACTACACCGGCGAACCAAAATTTGCAACCGGAAACACCAAGCTCGAGAAACAGGACGTGAGATAAGAACAACACAGCAAGAGCCATGAAGAGAGACTCAATACGTTGTAAGAAATCCAAAGTTGTCTTTTTATTTCCTTCTCTACAGTGCTAAGTAGCGTCGGAACTGTAACGGAACCCAACACATACTCTATGCCCGGAATCGTAAGGGTAAATGTGATTGTTTCGTCAAGAAAATGTACAAAAAGTGGAACTTGTCGTGTCAGGGTTGGCGAAAATTGCCTCTTCACTTGTTACATAATGAAAGTCGTGCATAATCTTTCAACTTGTTCACTCATCGTCGATTTTGGATAAAATCCTTAGAGAGTAATTCAAGTTGAGCATGCTATTTGCGTGTCAGACTTGACAGCCACGCATATTCTCATAACGCCTTATATGTATTTTTCATTGTCTAACTTAGTAACGTAATACATGGGGAAATATACATGAATTGATAATTAATAACAATCTTAATTATATTTTTCACTGATTAACTTTGGATCGAGACGGAACCTCACATTAGAGAATTAAAGCGTTTTCATAATCTTCATATGAACCATCCACCTAAAACAATTAATAAAAACCTTAACTAGAATATCCTTATTTCCCATTTTTTTATTTTTTTCCAATTGAATTCTTTCTTTTTTGCCGAAAACAACGTAAATATTATTGAATGAGGAAATACCCAATACATATTACATCCGCCCAATTCAAATTTTTTGAATTTGATACAAATTAGGGCTTGTTTTGAAGTCTTTTAAAAATAACTAAACACATTACTTAGTACTATGATTTAGGGTATTCCTCCTTATTTGTAAGTGAGAAGTCTTAGATTCGATTCTCACCAAAAGCGAATTTGAATCACATTATTTATGTGCTAGGCCATTGTGAGGTTAAGCCTATTTTCTCACCTTAAAGATAGATGATATCGTTTGTTCAAAAAAAAAAAAAAAAAAGATTAAACCCACTTTTATTAAATTGATTTTGGGTTCCAAAAACACTTCAAGTGCTCCAGACATGTATTTTTTTGTAGAAAGCACCTCAAGTTCTTTTTTAAGATCCACTTAGTTATACTAAAGATTGATTTAAAAAACATGTTAATCAAAAACACTTTTAATTATTTGAAAAATACTTTCAAACAAATCCTTAAAGTATGTAATTAATTTTAAATTGAACTAATACAGTAATAGTTATATGTATTTAATATATTCGTCTCCACCTTCAAGTTTTGCCACACATCGTGATCGTGCATATATTCTTAAGGAAACTAATGAAAATGGCTTGAAAACTTTGAGTTTTAACGATAAGAACAAAATAAAGAGTAAAGTGAATAGTATCAAGATTGACATTTTAGTGTAAAAATGAACCGTACCGAAAACTTTTCGTTAAAGTTGCGTGTATTCTTTGGTTCGGAGGGAAAGGGAATTGATGCTCAACCTCCCTTCTTTCTTTATTCCTTCAAAAATATTTGAAATTGACAATCACGCCTTTCGCTCTCAACCTCTCTCCCTCCCTTCTATATAAAAGCCGTCCTTCCGCACCAAAATTCCTCTTCGTTCCCACGGATTCTTCCCCACCGTCACAGTCCAACCGCCGTCTTTCCCGCCAAATTTCTTGTCGAACTATGCCTCCGTCCTCCGACCTCGCCGTCCCCACCGTCACACCAGTCACCATATCCTACTCCGAGCTCCAAGTAACTCTGTCTCTCCCTCTAAGTTCTGTTTGTGGTTGCGAGAAAATTGAGCATGAGAGTTTGGTTTGATTGGCTTTAATTTTTTTTCTGTTTGGGTGCTCAGAAACTCAAGAGAATTCGTTGAAATTAGAGCAAAATTCTATTTCAGTTGACTTTTTGGTTGTTATTCTCTTCATTTTCTCAGCAACCAAACAGAATCTAATTGTTTTATTCATAGTTTTGTTTAATTGCTATGTTTTAACTCAGTCAATCATGTCGAGAATTCGATTTTTCTAATTATCGTTTTTTTATTTTGGATTGATTGATACAAGACAAGGACAAAGACTTGTCAGTGAAGATTGAAGAAGGATTTGGACCCAATGGGTTGGGAATCCTATCAATCACTCAAGTATGATTTTGTTATGCGATTACCCTAGTTAATTACTGATTATCTCTTCCATTACCAGTTTTGGTAAGTTAAAATGCTTAATTCTGAATCACATCAGTATCAGTATGGTGATATGTTGTTTTTTTACTTAATTCTGCTATTATGCATATTTGTTTGACTATGGAATTTTAGGTTTCGGGTTGAAACTATACGTGCAGAAAGAATTTGTTAACGAATCGGTTAAAAAGATAAACCACATGCTTACATGTGAACCCATGAACTTGCATATGTAATGCCGGGGTACTTTCTCCGTCATGTAGATCGTAGATTGTGCTGTTTGGGCTACGATATTTTGCTCCATTATTCCATTCATAGCTCATAAATTATGATGTCTCATGTTATTGTTTTGATGCTTCATACCTAATCGATTCTTGTGAGAGCTAGCATTCTGTTGTAAACTGATAAGTATTTTCTTTCTAGCATCTTTGTAATTGTTTCATTGAGTTTCCAATTGCAGGTTCCGGGATATTCTTCCTTGCGCAGGAATCTTCTACGCTTTTAACCTAGGTATATCCCTTCTACATAGGATTTTCATGTTCATTTTAAGTTTTAACTGCAACTCATAATGAATTTAGGAAGATAGTTTGTTATAGCACTGCTCATGGGAGTTTTCTTTTCGTTTATTAGATTAGCCAATCTGCCTGAAGAGGTGAAGAAGGAACTGGAAGATCCTCATAGTAGGTAAGTCATTTTAGTCCCATTGTTATACTTTGATTTCTCTTAAGCCGTTGGCATAATTTTCGTGTAAACACAAACATCAATCTATCTCCTTACAATAGAGAAAATTTCCAAAAATTCCTGCCAGAAAGATAGTCTCATCTCAACTCTTGGATTTGTCACAGACTATGGTCTTGACATTATTAACTAATATTTACGTAGTTTTATTGCTTTTCTTGGGAATCTTTACAAAGTTTTATTGCTTATCTTCTTTTTACCTGCCATCCATGTTTAGGTACAATTTTGGATGGAGTCATGGAAAAGAGAAGCTGGAATTTGGAAAGCCGGGTATCACTTTATGTTCTTTGTTTTAAATTTTGTCTCTTTGGAAACTCTAAGAACTTAGGATCATTCATTTTCCGTTTGTGTTCTGGTTTTGCAGATACGTTAAAAGGCTCGTTTTATGCAAATCCAATATTGGATAGCCCTACAACAGATGAATCTCTAATTCAAAGGTAAAAGTCAATAGGGACATCAATCATAATCCGAGTACATGTGGGATCTGTTTTGTCTCAGGTCACACAGTATATGGCTCATACCAGTAATGTTTGGCCAAACAGTTGTTTGTGTTAGTTATGAATAACTATCATACATTTGATACAAGGTTTCTTAGAATTAACCAGGACAAATCGTCTTTATGCTGGGATATGTTTATCTTTATTTATCCTATTTGAGAACTTACAGATTTTGCGTAAACAGAACATAATACTTTGTGTCTGCTCAGATTTTATTTGTGATCTGTATTGTAGGTATCCATCATACTGTGGTTCAAATATATGGCCCAATAGTGAATTGCCAGAACTAGAAGTCAGTATGTTTTCCTTTAATTTATGATTGTATTTTTTCATGATTATGTCATCACTGCATGTAACTTTTGATCTGTAGCCTTCAAAGCTCTTGGAAGCTGATCCTTGGAGTTGGGCTTATGGTCGCATATCACTGTGACAGATACGGTATAGTCTTTGTTGTTAAGGTTTACACTGTGAGAGCATAACTATCCTGTTTAGTGCTTTTCCGGTCGCATTTTACACTTAAGTTGTCGTGACAATTTCCTGCATGATTTTGTTTCTGTCCTGGCCAGAAAACAAGTGTCATATTAGTGTATTACGAGCACTCATAAGACCTAAGATATAAGTTGAGATGACACAACCTATGATCTTGAGAAAGGGTTAAATCAAGATTTCTGAATGTTTTGCATGATTTCATCACAAGAACTATAAATTTATTGTCTCTCGTACAGAAAGGATAAAGAATGCTTTGAGCCCGAACGTTGAGGAGTTGAGTGTGTGACGGACTGGCATGTGAAACTAAGTTAAATGAAACTACATGAGGAGAAAGCACTTTCACTTGGATGCTTTTAGTGCTTTTGTATTGCGTTCTATATGGCCAGCTATGAACTAACATTCTGATTGTGGTCATTTGCGTGGACTTGTTAGAGGAATATGAATTATGCTTTCGGTTTCTGAATATCCATAGTTTGATGCACTACTCTCCGATTATCCAATTAAACCCAAACTTAAAACCATTCGTAAATATACAGAATAGTATTAGCCAAAATGGCGGTAACTCAGACCTTTCATTCACGGCCGGGTGTTTTAACTACTATGTGATGCGTTTCCAAAAATCTGATATTTGTTTTTTATCAATGCAGGTACATTAGCCCCGAATCCTTTGGATACCTGGATCTACTACATTTATATTAAAATTTGCATCGATTTTCTTCTTTCTTATTCTCTGTATCTCTCAATTTTTCTTCCCCTTTTGTCAACCAACTTGTATGTTTTCTTTCTACATTCGTTTTTTTTCTTTTCTTTCCTTTCCTTCATAATCAAAGACGGTTGCGAAAAGATAACTGCTGACTCCTGTATGTTCTCCCCGTAGAAAACACATCATCGCAAACGTTGTAAGAAATCCAAACTTGTCTTTTTATTTCCTTCTCTACAGTGCTAATTAGTGATGGAGCTGTAACGGAACCCAACCCATATTCTATGCCCGGAGCCGTGCCGTTCCGTAAGGGTAAATGTGATTGTTCCGTCGAGAAATTGAACAAAAGTTGGAACTTGTCATGTCAGGGTCCTAGGACACCAGAATATCGATCCATGAATGAAGGGCACGAGAGAAAAGCATATTGGGTAGTGATTTGTGAGGTCCAAATTCTTGATTGGAGGTTGGTGAAAATTGTCTCCAGTCTTTGCATAATTAAAGTCAGTACATAATCTTTCAGCTTATTCACTCATTGTCAATTAATTTTGGATAAAATCCTCACAATGTACTACAGCACTAGAGTATGCTATTCACTTGTCGGGCTTGACGGCCACGTATAAGCTTCATGGGCATAACAATGGCCTTCGGTATTGGCCTATCGGGCCACAGTTGGTACCGGGATCATTACGAAGGTACTATTGCCTTGTCAGAGAGGCAATTGTCAATGTTGTCAATTACAACTGTGGCGAAATTCAGCAGCAACCCAGATTCGAAGCGCAGCTCAGGAGTCTTTTACCTCAAATAACTTCAGCATTTGGTGCAAATAAGTCGGTTCTTGTGACAATTGATGAACTTAAAAAGCAGCAGCAGAGTTCAGATGCTACTGGTAAGTTTGTCAATGCCATTTATTTATCTATGATGAAATGAAATCTGTCTTACTCTTCTATTGAGAGGCTTGTACGTGGCTGTCAAGTATTTTCTATCAAATTGTTTCTGTTGCAGCGGTGGAGTGGGCTAAAGAACCTCTTCAAGGTCTTGGAAATGGTGCTCCCCTTTCACTTTATTTGACGCAAAATTACTTCTCCAAAGTTGCATCTGCGCTTGCGAAAAATGACAATCAATTATCCAGTGAGTCTTACTTTCTACCTTTTCGTTTCATTCATCGCATGGTTGCATCCTTTTGATAGATTTTGTGTTGTAGTATTTCACTTTTTCTGAGCGAGTAACATGTGCTTTACTTGATCCATACCAGCTAACTGGTGTGATGAAAACTGAATATCGCGGTGCTATAAGATCGTCTTTGCGGAATGATTTTGCTGAAGGTGTGCAGGCAGTTTTGGTGGACAAGGATCAGGTTCGTTAATCATGCTCAAGATTCCTTACTATAAAATCACTTGCTGACGGAGTTGCTGCAACATAAACCATTACAGCCTCTACTAGACCTACAGTTATACAATCATCTTACTTTCCTTGTATCAGAACAGATCGTTATCTTTTGCTTCTGTTTTTTGTCAATGCAGAATCCGAAGTGGAACCCGTCAAAGTAAGAGGGATGTGAATCAGAGTGAAGTGGAAGCTCTCTTCGAGCCACTAAGCCCGAACGTTGAGGAGTTGAGCGTGTGACTGACTGGCATGTGAAAACCGGAGCCATTAAAATATATTTACTGTTGTAGAAAATAAGTTAGATGAAATTACATGAGACTTGTGTAAGTTCTATATGAGAGCAAACACTTGGTGATTTGATTAAAGACATGTGGAATGATAAGGAGATAAGGATTGACACTTGTGGTAGACTTATCAGGAGTTGTATATCTTTACAGTTTCAACTCAGATACATTCCCAATAAAACTAAAACTCTTTTAACTGATATAATGCATAAGTGTTTTACGGTGATAATGCTACTCTTTGATAAGGATCACTTAATGGGAGGGATCCTTATTGAATTCCATGTATAAAAATGAGGTCCCTGCTCTCTCCACTAAATACGCAAGTTTATAGAAAACTCAAGCCCCATTGAGCAAGCCTTGCTTTCAGTTGTGTAGAGTTGCAGGAGAACTTCAGTTCTTAATCCTAGTTTTCCAAGACGATGTCTTCCATAGGTACGTGGTTAAGTTGATAATTGTAAATAAGTTTTTATCTTGCACAATTAACTTACAACTTGGACCATTGAAATTTATTATAATGGATCGATAGGGTCTGCAATTTTGTGCTAGTTGTTGTGCCTTGGCCCGTTCGTTAGTGCGGAATCGATATTCAAATTACAACCTCACCATAATCACACTCAGTTGAACAGAATAAAATACAAAAAATAAAGACACCGAGAAATTTACGAGGTTCGGCAAAAACCTGCCTACATCCCCGGAGAGATATTGCTCTTCACTATGAGAATAACAGTACAAGTACACATGAGTTAAATCGACATAACCCAATCCCAAATCCCTTGTACATCCACTCATAGAATTTTCCCAAGAACCTCACTCTACCCCAAGAGTTCTTTCACTAGAATACTTTTCACTCTAGCTCTCTTGATTTTCTCTCAACTCATATTCAACCTTTCCCATGGGAGAGCCGAATGCTCTTCCCCTTGTATGCTTCTCACTTTACTCTAGCTCTCTTCGGTTCTTAGCAAATAAATAGCAAAAGCAAAAAGGAATCAACTTTCCCTTTTTTCACAAACACAATCATGATGTATCATGCTCCCTGCTTTGCCTTTTAATCAAACCCCATAGCCACTCACGTGGCATTCAAATGGGAAACAGAAAAAGGCCAAAGAAAAGAATCTCAAGCAAACATCATCATTGTCTTCCACTATCTTCCACTATTAGCCGAAGGTAGATTTGGCCACATTTGGCCACTACTCCGAAAGCATGCACACAAAGTCAAGGTTGCTGCCATTTCCTTGTAGCATTCACATGGTCTTCAATTGTTGTCAACACATGACTCATAATTACACACAAATATATGAGTCAAACACAACACTAGTTTCTTTCCTCTTCCCCCATACCGGCAAGAAAGTCATTTCATCCTTTGAAAACATTGTTTATATATGCATATATGGTATCCATTTGGGTGTATTATATGGTTCATTTGACTAATTAATTACGACCTGACTACTAAACTAAACAAAAATAGTTAACCACTTGCTAAGGAATGCAACTGTCTAATAAATACATTAGTTAATTAGCTCCAATAAGATTTAGGGTTGTTGCTTACAAATATAAAATGACGGCGTTAGCTACCTTGTCATTTCAAAACATTGTTTATATATGGCATGATGGCATCCATTTGGGTGTATTGTATGGTTCATTTGACTAGTAAGGAAAGATAGATAATACAAGTTTAATCCTAATGCCTATTTTGCTTTAGTTTTTAGCAGTGGAGCCTAAAAACTAATAGATTGTTGTTCATTTGGGTGTATTATACGGTCCGTCCCCATTTGGATCTATTATATTAGAGCACCACTTAATAATTAATACAACGATCTAATAGATTGTTGTTCTAAATTCATATCTTGTAAATGGTTGAATCATTTATCACTAATCTTGAATAGTTGTTTTTAATTATTATTTCACATTTCGGTCTTTTTTCCAATCACTTTTGTTTATTACGTGGTTGTTGTCATGTTACTTCTCAAATGCTTCCAAATTCCAAACTAAAATAATGCATTATTGATAATTGAATAACTGTAATCACCCCAATAAATCATTGTTTATAATCTATTGGATAGTCCTTGTCCTTTCGTGTTCGTTTCTTTCTTCCTTTCCTCTCTTTCACTTCACACTTTCCCGCCCAACCGGTAGTATGTCGTTTCTCAAGTTCATACGTGAACATTGTTATATTATAAACTTTTCAATTCTAGCAATGTGAGACAATGAAATAACAAAAAGAATTCTGCTCAAACTCCAACGTGTATAACATCCATCTTGGTGTACTATAAGGTTCTTTTTTTTTTTTTTTTTTTTGGAAACTATTATATGGTTCATTTGCCTAGTGAGGAAGGGCGCAGCTAATAGAAGTATAATCCTAATGCGCATTTTGCAATAGTTTTAGCAGTGGAGTAGCTTAAAACGGTCCATTGGGGTGTATTATGCGGTCCACCCCCATTTGGATGTATTATATTTAGAGCATGGCCTAATAGTTAAGACAATCATCCAGTAGATTGTGATCCTACGTTTTGAATATTGTAAATGACTGAATCATTTACCGTCCATCTTGAATAATTGTTTATAGTTGTCTTTTCATATTTGGGTCTTTTCTCCCATTCATATTTGGGTCTTTTCTCCTATGTTTTAATACTTTATAATATATATTATTTTATTTTGTAATTTATATATCCTAATACAATTATTTATCATTTTAAGTTTATATAATATATAATAAATTTACTTAAATTTGCTTAGACACTAGGCCTCGCCTATCCGTTAAACCCTTAGAACATTGTATAATATATGGACCTAGCTCTTGGTATGGAATATTATTGATTAATTATATAAACCAAGCCAAGTCTTGACACACTGGAATAACCACTGAACCAGTAGAACTTTCCTCCGTTCTTCAATTCGATCCGAATAATTTTTTTACCCAGAAAGGCTAGCGTTTCCTGGTGAGTTATACAGCTTTCTCAGTGTGGGTGTTTCAATTTCGTTTTTGTGATTTTGGATTTTCAAATTTGTTTTCCGTTCAAATTTCCTTTCGTGATTTTGGGGGGGGGGGGTTTGTTTATCGATTCTCTCACTCATCTCTCAGCTCTCTCTCTCATTTTTGAGGTACATGCCGTTGGATTCCGTTTGCTGCTGCTGATCTGCAGGTAAAGCTTCAGTTTCCATATAAAGTTTCCATTTTTCATGATTTCTGGAATTTGGGGTTTAAACAATGGAAATACTGCTAGATTCTTATCATTATGTTCTACTAAATTTTTCAGGCTGAAGAGGATGACGAGAATATTAGTGGTGAATTGTATTTCAGTTTAATTAGGGGAAGAACAGGTAAACTTATTCTACGTTTTCTTTCGTTTTTAGTTGAGCATTTATTGGTATTTTCCACAAATTTTTGGATTGTTTGTGTTTGACTTTGATGATCCCAGACCTAATAATTTTGTTTGGTTCTCTTCTTTTGATTTCCCGTTTATATATTCTGCGTTTTCTTATGGCAGTTTCGAACCTTTTCTTTTCTTAATTTTTGTATGCTTTATGGGTCGTCATTTAATCTGCTTAATTATCATCGCGATCAACTAAGATATCACATTTTTATACACTATAGAGTTTGAGTTACTGGTTGAATTATGAATTGAGAAGTGGATAATGCCATAAAAAAAATTGCTAGGAGTAGGAGGATGTTCTTTGGCACACTATAAAAAGTTTCTTTTTCTTTTTGGCAAGTTCTTCATATTCATGATTCTGTTATCAGTGCATTTGCTTTCCCATGATTTCTCATAAATTGGACGTGAATGTCTTTATAGATTTTTATTTTTTCAGCCAGAAAGGATTTGATTGAGCAACAGGTGCATCAACCATATATTTTTACTACAACTGTACGAGGCCTCAGCGTTACAAGGTCTTGAAATTACCTCTCTCTCTTTTTTGGTTTTTGACAGATTATATGACATTTTATTGCTGTTAGTTTGATGAAGTTCTCAATTCACGACCTTATATTTTTTCAACTTCTACTATTTGCTTTCTGTTGACTTTAGCTCTGAGTTGTAGTGGTGTTTGTGTTTTCTAAATTTCTTCCAATAGCTTAGTTTTAGTTTGATTTTTTTTTGTATATATCTCTTCAGAGCAATTCTTGGAGTTGCAATCTTACCAGCTACGAAAAGGAAAGTTATTGAGAAAATCTGTAGAGATGGGCCTCCTAAATTATTATGGCCACAGAAGCTGTAAGTCCTTTTTTAGATCATTCAACAGGGAGATGGTATTCTCCATGACAACTGCTCCAAAACCAATCTCTCCTTTTCCCCTGGATTGACCAAAATATCAACTTCAAAGCAAGTTTTGTCGTGTGTAATGACATTTGTAGGGCAACAAACATTTAACTAATCAGATTTAATTTAGGGCAATTTTGGATTTGCCTTCATTTGTTTTGATTTGTAATTTTATAAGCAATTTTGAGTTTGTGTGAAAAATAATATTGTTTTTTATTCTCTCTCCTCTCTCTCACACACACACACTCTCTCTCTCTCTCTCTCTCTCTCATGTTTTTGAGGAGTTTTGAGTCCTAATTGTGTTTCTGTTTTTGGGTTTTGAGTGTTTTATTGTTTTGCCAGTCAGTGCTGTGTATTTTGTGCATAAAACTTATAAGTGTAGTATTGTGGTGCTCATTTTTTGGATGCGATCATACCAACTCACATGCACCGGATCCCATCAGAACTCCGAAGTTAAGCGAGTTTGGGCGAGAGTAGTACTAGGATGGGTGACCTCCTGGGAAGTCCTCGTGTTGCATCCCCCCCACCTTTGTTCGCCAAAAAAAAAAAAAAGTTAAAAGAGTCTATTGCTAAGATTTTGGTTGATTTTTATCCAACTGAGACCAAACTTCAGCATATACTATCAAGAAACATGTTATCACATGACTGAAATCATCTATTTACATTGATAAGCATACAATTACGACATGATTGATATGGATGTATAGACCCAATAGCTTTAGCTATATGTTATAGTTTTACACATAAAAATTGAATGTATCAATTTTAAATCTTTCAACCATGTTATTCAACAGATGCCGTAAACTGCCATATATTTTTGAACTCCGTAGAAAAGGAATTTATATGCAACATGATTAGAATGACTACATAAACTGCTTATAAAATATCTTTTCAAATACATAAGGAGAAAGAGTGATATTTATCAATGCATCTTTATTGTTGCCCAAGTTTTTGCTAATTTTGAAGGCTATGAATTGCTAATGGATTTACCTTTTTTTTGTGTGGAATTTTCAGAGTTTTGGGTCGTCGGAGGAAGAACTTAGTTGCTTGACATTTTGAGGTATATACTTTGCTTTACTTTTGTTTTAGTTTCTTCAATTAGATACAGTTAATTCACACCAATGCTTTTGTTTCTATTGGGTTTTTTAGTTTAAACTTCATCCGGAATCATTTGGTGGGTGTTTGGAACTTTGGAATCAGATTTTCAATTGGTTTTGCGAAGTCCTAACTTTTAATTTCATTTGGGTCTGACCTTGAGTATAAAACTTTATCTGGAATCATTTGGTGGGTGTTTGTAACTTTGGAATTGGATTTTTAATTGGTTTTGTGAAGTCCTAACTTTTATTTTCATTTGGATCTGACCTTTTAGCTGTCGTTGAAAATAATCATAAAAGTAAAGTTGTGCATTCCTTAATTCAGTCTTTGGCAAGCCATCATGCTTGATAACCAAGTAACTGGTTTTTAGTAAATGTTGATTTTGGAAAATTCTTTGTTTAAATTTCTAGGTTCTGATGAATTCTTTATTTAGATTTGGTGACCAACAATCGACCCACCACCAATTTTAGATCAAGATTGGACATGCCTTAAAAAGTGCAAGTCATTTTTCCTTTCTATTTTGTTGATTTTGTCATCTGGGTTTCTTAGAAAGCTCGCACCTCGGTTCATTTCTGACTAGGATGTTACCTTTTTTTTTGTGTTGCTTGGAAAATTTCAGAAAGCTTGCATTCAAGTTTGGCTCTTTGAGTAGGACTTCAGGATTGAAGACTGAATTATTGTAAGTCTGTTTTCTTTTTCTTTTGTTTTTGCAAACAAAATTTGAATTATGTTCAACTATGGTTTATGGTTATTTTGTTGATGTTGTTACACTACTCATGATTGCTAATCTTATACCAATCTTCTTTAATACATTATGCAGAATGGCATTTGTGGAATAATTTCTCAAAACTCATTTGTTATTTGTCCTTTATGCTTCCACGACTTCAGAACTTTATAGGAGACTATATGGATTGTATCGTAAAATCTTTTGTATGTAAAACTTTTTCCAACGTTTTCAATGTAAATAGTATTAATCTTCAATCACACAATCTATTATATATTTCAAAGATAATCTTTCATACAATTTCAAATCCTGTAGCAACGCCCGGGTAAAAATTTCTAGTACAAACTAAAGTTGTTTCTCCTATTAACATATGTCTGTTGAAATGTATTATATATGAAGACGGGCAGGTTGTTTCTCCTATGAATAGCTGTAATCACAGCCAATAATCTTTTGGATAGTCTTTGTCCTTTCGTTCCTTTCTTTCCTCTTTTCCTCTCTTTCTTTGCACCTTCTGGCCAACATTATGTCGTTTCTCAAGTCCATACACCAACATTATTATATTATAAACTTTGTTCTTGTTGACTGAAGGAGCTTGACTTGGGTTTAGGTATTTCAGGATCATCTGTTCGACAGCATGAACACAACTACTGCCATTTTTTAGTCGTTATCTAAACCACCGCAGTGCCATAACGGTGGATACCGCCATGACAACCCACGAAGCCTCCTCTTCATCCTCCTCCAAGTCAACACTTTGGAATTACGACGTGTTCTTGAGCTTCAGTGGTGTAGACACACGCAATGGTTTCACGGGCCACCTCCACGCGGCATTAACAGACAGGGGATACCAGGCTTATATTGATGAGGACAATCTAGAAAGAGGGGAAGAAATAAAAGAGGAACTGTTCCGGGCAATCGAAGAGGCGAGGATCTCTATCATTGTCTTCTCAAAGAGTTATGCGGACTCTCGTTGGTGTCTTGATGAGCTGGTGAAGATCATGGAGTGCAGATACAAACTGGGGCGACGTGTTTTGCCAATATTCTATCATGTTGATCCTACACATGTTAGGAAGCAGAACGGAGATTTAGCTCAAGCATTTCAGAAGCACGAAGAGGGCATCCGTGAAGAAAAAGATGACAAGGAACGTGAAACTAAACAAGAAAGGGTAAAGCAATGGAGAAAGGCTCTTACAGAAGCAGCAAATTTGTCTGGCCAACATCTCCAAATCACTGACAATGCGTAATCATTCACCTGTTTTTCAAGATTTGAAACATTTTAGTGAATGACTTAGTCTCTCATATAATTAACATTTTACAGAAGCTAATTAAACATTAATTAACATGCTTAATTAATACACCTTAACCACTCATATAAAACCTAAACCGTAATTGGAGTTTAATTAATGAATGAACTTCTTTCTTTTATCAAGTTGGTCAAAAAATCACATACCAGCTAGTAGCTAGTTAGAATATATATGAAGGAAAGAAAATTGTCTATGTACTGATAGCTCCTACTGTTCATTGAGTCCTGCTAATGCTTACGAATTCAATTTTCAGGCCCGAAGCAAAGCTTATTAGAGAAATTGTTGGCAAGATCATTCCGGAATGGCTTCCAAGCGCAAACGAATTAAATGTGGCCAAGCACCCGGTTGGAATCAATTCTCGCATTCAAGATATTATCAATCATCTTTCAAGTGGTGGATCAAATGACGTTGTCATGGTTGGAATTTGGGGGATGGGTGGATTGGGTAAAACAACAGCTGCCAAAGCCATTTATAACCAAATTCATCATAAGTTCCAATTCAAAAGTTTCCTTGCCAACGTTAGTGAATATGATCTGGTTGATTTGCAAGGAAAACTTGTTTCTGACATCTTGAAACAGACTGAGTCTAAGATAACCAGTGTTGATCGAGGTATGAGTCTGATAAAAAATCATCTCCAACGTAGAAGCGTACTTGTCATTATTGACAATGTAGACAAAGTGGAACAACTAAATGCAATAGCTGGAAATCGTGATTGGTTTGGCCCAGGAAGTAGAATTATCATAACGACACGAGATGAACGTTTACTAAAGCAAGTGAACATGACAGTGGACAAGACATATCCGCTTAAGGAAATGATTGAAGAAGAAGCTCTGAAGCTCTTTAGTTGGCATGCCTTTGGAAATAGTTGGCCTAATGAAGGATATCTTGAACTCTCAAAAGAGGTTGTTTCTTACTGTGGTGGTTTGCCACTAGCCCTTGAAGTTTTAGGTTCTTCTATGATTGAAAGAACCCCAACAGAGTGGAAAAGTCAGTTGGAGAAATTGAAAAAAATTCCTGATGAGGGAATAATGAAAGCGCTAAGAGTAAGCTTTGAAAGGCTAGATCCTACACAGAAGGATATATTCCTTGACATATCTTGTTTCTTTATTGGATGGGATAAGGACCATGTCGCAAAAATATTAGATGGGTGTAAATTTTATGCAACAGCAGGAATTTGTGATCTCCGTGAACGATGCCTTATAACTGTTGAAGACAACAAGTTGAATATGCATGATTTGCTTCGAGAAATGGCCAAAGTAATCATATCTGGAAATTCCCGTCGTCCCCCTGGAGAATGGAGCAGGTTGTGGATCCCTGGAGATGTCTATGATGTACTAACAAATAAATCTGTAAGTAGATTCCCAAAAAAAAATTGTATTAATGCATCGTACAAGAAAAACATATATGTAACCCACGTATGCCTATTATACATTAAAAACATTCATGTGTAAATATATGTATTTGCATTAAGAAGCTCAATTAGCAAAATCACGTAAAATAGATGCACATAATCCTTTTCTTACCCAGTATAATGTGTTGTTAACAGGGAACCAAAGAAGTTGAAGGACTTGTTGTAGGTTTCCCTGATCTTCTGTCTCCAAGTATCAGTACAGAAGCATTTGCCGATACGTGGCAACTGATACTGTTCCAGCGCATTAAAGTGCAGCTCCATGGAGAATTCCCTTTAAAGTCTAGTTGTATCAGTACAGAAGCATTTGCTAATATGAAGAAACTGAGACTGCTCATGCTCAAGAACGTGCAGCTCAATGGAGAATACAAACATCTCCCCAAAGAGTTAATATGGTTGTGTTGGGAAGGATGCCCTTTAAAGTCCATACCAGATGACTTCTTTGATCAACCAAGAGCACTAGTTATTTTAGAGATAACGCACAGCAGACTGGTACAAGTTTGGGAGGGCTCCAAGGTACTATCGATTACACATGATGATGTTATGTTTCTATTTGTTTTTATATTTCCTTCTCTCTATATTTATTTATTTATTTTATGAGATATTCCTTTTGGATATTAATTTTAATTTTTCTTGGATTTTGTGCAACAGTTGCTTGAAAACTTGAAAATCCTTAATCTCAGTGTTTGCCTTGACTTAAAAAAATCACCAGACTTATCAAATCTCCCAAGTCTTGAAGAGTTGATATTGGAATGGTGTGAGAGTTTGTCCGAGATTCACCCCTCCATTGGTCATCTTAAAAAACTTTCTTTGGTGAACCTCACAGGCTGCAAGAATCTTATTTCTCTTCCTGGGGATTTCTACAGGTCCAAATCCGTTCAGACTCTTGTTCTTGATTTTTGTGGGCAATTCAGTGAACTGTCCGAGGATTTAGGGAATATAATATCATTGAGAGTACTTAAAGCATCTGAGACAGCCATAATACAAGTACCGCGTTCCACAGTAAGATTGAAGAATCTCACTCATTTATCTCTAATTGGGGGTCTTCCTTCCAGAAGAGCCAAATTTGCATTGCAAATTCGCGATTTGTTACAGGGCTTTGACTCTTTAAGAAATTTAGATCTCTTATTCCAGAGGTTAAGCGATGATCCATTATCAAAGGGTTTTGGGAGTCTAATTTCTTTACAAGATTTAGATCTCTCATCTAATGATTTTCATACCCTACCCAGCCTCAGTGATCTTTCAAAGCTTGAAAGTTTGCGGTTAGATTACTGCCTTAACCTTCATACAATCTATGGTTTACCAACACAAATTTGAAATTTCTGTATGCGTCTTGTTGCCATCGTTTGTTAACAATGCCCAATTTTTTCGAAAATGTCCAATATGAGGGAACTGAATGTACGTGATTCACGCGCACTCACTGAGATTCCAGACTTGGATAAGTCATTAAACTCCATGACATGGATTGATATGACGGATTGCGCCGAACTCACCGCTGATTTTATGAGGAAAGTCCTAAAGGTATCTCTCTCTTTAATTGTCTTCCTATTGCGCACATGCACACACACACATGTACATTGTGTTTGTGTGTGTATATATATATATGACACTCGCACTGTATATATAGGGATGGACTTCTTGCGGATATGGTGGCATTTTTTTCAAAGGGAATTATGTTCCTGATTGGTTCGAGTTTGTCAACGATGGTAATAAAGTCAGTTTTGATATTCTCCCGAGTGATGGTCGTAATTTGGAAGGGTTGACTCTGTTGTGCTTTTACTGCTTTATTCCTAAATATTCAATTCATAGCAAACCTTATTTCACATGCAAAGATGGTCATCCTCGTGCCAGTATTGATATAAATAATACCAAGCGTACTGAGTTGCAGACCTGCATAGGCAAGGAAGATTGGGTTATAAAAATGCACAATGTATCTGGAAAATGTTTTCTTTGGCAGGGACAAATATCGAACGATAAGCTCAATTTGCAAAGCGGGGATAAAGTTGATATAACTTTTGAAACAGTACATCTGATAATGTGACAATTAAGGGAACAGGGGTTAATCTAGTATGGGACAAGCCTATGAAGGAAAATGTGCACGATTTTGATGGTGATGGTAGGTTTTTGATCCAGAGGCACAACCAAGGTGGTGATGCATCGTCATCATCACATGTTTGAGTCAGATCACAATCAATAAATTTCAACTTTTTCGATTTTTGAGTCACTCCCATAAGAGGGACGAGCGACCCAAATTCTGAGCAAATCCCCTCTTTACAAAACCCTCCAAATCCCCTCGCCTTCTCCGCACCTTTGGCGTCGCCGTCATCACCCTCGGTCACCCCCCGAGCTCTCAACGCCATAAACCTAGGTATGTAGATAAACACACAAACGTATATGTATATATGTATATATCTGTAATTGCATTTGATTTGGAGATGATTTGAATTTTTGAGCTTGAACTTTATGGCATCGTATTGATTACAAATCTATGTTATTGCATTTGTTATAAGACGAAACGTTGGATTCAAATTTCGAAGAAGTTAGCTTTTTTTGGAAGAATTTTGTGTTTCTGTTTAAGTGGGAATTGTTGGAAAATGCAGATTTGGATGTGAAATACAAGAGCTATCTGGATGAATGGGAATCTCACCCAAATGTGAAGTGTGTTCTTGTTGATAGCCGCTCGGCTCGTGCCTTTTGTGGCGGTAACGCCCAGAACTCGTATTTGAATAGTTTCTTATCTTTCCTGGCAATTTTACACTTCCATTTTAGCATGTAGTTGAATAAGTTTTTTCTAGATATGTATGTTCAGCTCTTTTGGCAGTTATTTTGGTTTTGGGGTCTCTTAGGTAAGGTTTTGAGAGTGAGCAATCATGGTAAGTGCAGGTAAGGATATTAAAGTTGTTGTTGCCGAAATTCAAAAGGACAAAAACACGCCTCTTGTGCCGAAGGTTTCTACATTACGCTTTGCTTTGAACTAAAGTTGTTTCTTGTTTAGGTGCTTATGTGATAGATTGTTGGTCTTTGATGTTCGTGCTGTTTCATGTCATGTTGTTTATTGTTTCACTTCATTGTTCCTTTTTGTGTTATTTTTTTTGCCATATAGAGATAGATGGTGTCCGATAAGTTGGCACTTTGATTCATTGATAAGTAATAACCCAGATTTAGATTACCTGCGGGCGGTGATGTGAAGCAGATCACGGCCAAAAACCAACCACCAAATATGATTGTTGTCTAATTGTGTCCTTTAAACTATATAGAATAACAGACTTATAACCTTACACCGTTTTCTAAAATCCAGATAATATAAGATGACTTCCTTCTCTACCATATAAGATGTAATTTTGGTAATTTTCATAGTGCATAGATTACAACTATCAAGACGATTGACCCTTGCAAAATCATTGATGATTAAGCCTTAATACAAGCAAGCAAGCCCCTTTTAACAAAATTCATGCGTTAGAATCGTAATGATGTATTTGCTGATAAGCCTAAAAGTTCAAAGTGAAAATCACTTATATGAGTTCTGCTACTTCTTTAATTGCTTTGGCTATTCAATCTCGTATAAATGTCATAAATGGCAGCTAAGATTGTGCTTTCAGCAAGTATTTATTAATGTTCAATACATACGATTGTTTTTTTTCTTGTAATTTCATGTTTGACATTCTCGGGCAACCTACAACATCTGATCATTTGTTTAGTCGTGATTTTGCTTGAACTTGGGTAATATGATTTGTAGTGGTTGGATAGGATTCATATCTTTTCTAAGCTACCATTTCTTAAGATTGAGAGGCTACCGGTATGATACTTGTGCTGCATGTTTTTCAGGTATTCACTGCTGAGTATTCTCTAATATGCAAAATCTCTGAGTACAAGAAGCCCTATCTTCATGGATGGCATAACAATGGGCTTTGGTGTTGGCCTATCAGGTCACGGTCGCTACCGGATCATTACAGAGGTATTATTGCCTTGTCAGACAGAGATTGTCAATGTTGTGAATTACATTGCCTTTTTGAGTTTTTTGTGTCTTAACTTTGTATGGATACATTTCAGAGGACTGTTCTTGCCATGCCAGAGAATGTAATTTGGTTGTTCCCAGATGTTGGGTTTTCACGTATAGCGGCAAAGAGTCCAGGAGGAGGATCTGTAGGTATGTCTTTTCTATACTCTAGGCGCAATTTATTTCCTATGACTGAAGCAAGCTGTTTTTCCAGTGTTGATAAGGAGAAATGTTTAGATTATAAGAATATAAAGAGAATGGCCTGTACCATTTCTCTGTTTGATTCATGCATCAATTCTTAGTTCTGTATTTGTTTTAAGTTTAACACTGTCATGTCTTTCTTGGTGCTTATCTTTGACTTACTGGGAAAAGGATTTCAACACCATCGGATGCGCTGTATGTGGACCCATTTTGTCCCATCTCAAAACTTTAGCTATTTGTGCCAAAGAATCAAGGCTCACTTTAGAGCTTAGCTTTTACAAATACTAGTTGTAAACTATGCCTTCAGCATGAATTTTTGCCTTTCTTCATTCAAAACCATCTGCAATATCCCCCCAAATAAAGAGAACTTTAACAATGCTGCTTATGAAACATTTAACAGATGGAGAGGTGGAGAGCTTCAAGTGGATTCGGTGATGCATGTTGCAAGCATCATACCGAGGACACAATATTTCAAACCAAATTGCTCTTTTGTCATCATTGACTTCCTTTCCCGACACGGGTATTTCACTTTCACTACTGATATTCTTACAATAAGTGATCAGATACGAGAGAAACTCACACCTGGAGGATGCCTCTATGATGGTATCTCAAACCATTCATGCACGGCCAAGTATTTTAACTACTATGCGACTCCCTTCCACAAATCTGATCTTTGTTTCTTGTTAATGCAGGTACATTAGCCCCGAGTCCTTCGGAAACCTGGATCTACTACAAAGTTTGAGAAGTGACGATTGTTCCTAATTGTATATTTTTCTTTTTTGGTACTGCCTGACTCTGTTTTTTTTACTCCTGTTTCTTCCCCGGAATTGCAGAAAGCTAATGTTACAAACAAGGCAACTAAAGCAGCTGTCTCCAAATGCAGCTGTTTCTTCTCTGTATCGCTCGTTAAAATTTGCATCGAGTATCGTCTTATCTTCTTATCTGTATCTCACAATTTTTCGTCCCCTTTTGTCAACTAACTTTGATATTTCTTCTTTTCTACATTCGTTTGTCCTTGATAATTTCTTGAGGTGCCTCCAAATACTGAAGACGGTTGTGAAAAGATAACTGTTGACTGCTGTATGTTCTCCCAGTAGAAAAACACATTGTCGCAATCGTTGTCAACCGCCTCTGTCTGCTTGGAACAACGTGAGACAGTCCCCTCTCCTGAGCACTACACTGCCGAACCAAAATTTGCAACCGGAAACACCAAACTCGAGAAACAGGACGTGAAATAAGAACAACACAGCAAGAGCCATGACGAGAGACTCAATACGTTGTAAGAAATCCAAAGTTGTCTTTGTATTTCCTTCTCTACAGTGCTATGTAGTGTCGGGACTGCAACGGAACCCAATCCATACTCCATGCCCGGAACCGTGCCGTGCCGTAAGGGTAAATGTGATGGTTTCGTCAAGAAAATGAACAAAAAGTGGAACTTGCCGTGTCAGGGTCATAGGACACCAGAACCAGAATATTGAACTATGAACTTGCCGTGTCAGGGTAAATGTGAGAAAAAAGCATATTGGCTAGTGATTGTGAGCCCAAATTCTTGACTGGAGGTTGGTGTAAATTGCCTCTTCACTCGTTGCATAATCAAAGTTGCGCATAATCTTTCAGTTTATTCGCTCATCGTCAATTAATTTTGGATAAAATCTTCACGGTGTAATAAAGCAGTAGAGAGCATGTTATTCACGTGTAGGGCTTGACAGCCACACATGTTCTCATAACATCCGATATATATTTTTCACTGCCTAACTTAATAATGTGGCACATGCGGAAATATACATGAATTGATATTAATAACAACCTTAATTGTTTTTACCAAAAAAAATTAACAACCTTAATTGTATTTGTCACTGTTTAACTTTGGATCGAAATGGAATCGCACATTAGAGAATTAAAGCGTTTCATAATCTTCACATGAACCATCCGCCTTAAATAATTAATAAAAACCTTAATTAGAATATCCTTATTTCATATTTTGTTATTTTTCCCAATTGAATCCCTTATTTTTTGCCGAAAACAACTTAAATATTATTAAAGACCCAATGCATATTACATCCCAATTCAAAGGTTTTAGAATTTAATACAAATTAGTGCTGGTTTTTAAGTCTTTTAAAAATGAATAAACACGTCTCTTAAAAATAAAAAAACATGTCGCTTAGTATTACGATGTAAAGGTATTCCTCTTCAGTTGTGAGTAAGATGTTTTAGATTTGATTTTGGATAAAGGTGGATTTGAACAACATTATTAATATGATAGTCCATTGTGAGGTTAAGCTCATCTCCTCCCTTAAAATAAATAATATTGTTTGTTCAAAAATTAAAAAGACTAGACACACCTTTGTTAAATTAATTTTGGATTCCAAAAGTGCTTCAAGTGCTCAAGATATGTGGTTTTTGTAGAAAGTAATCCAAATGACTTTTTAGAATCCACTTGGTTTTACTAAGGATTGATTTAAAAAACATTTTAATCAAAAATGCTTTCAGTCATTTTAAAAACATTTTCAAACAAATTTTTAATAGTACACAATTAATTTTAAATTTAACTAATACTTATACCTATTTAATATAAGGAAAAATAGTAAAAAAATGCTTCAATTGTTTTTAGTTTTAACGATAATGACAAAAATAAAATGTAAAGTAAATAGTATCAAAATTGACTTTTTAGTATAAAAATATAATTTTTCATTAAAATAAATCGTACCATGAACTTTTCGTGAAAATTCTCTTTAATTTATTTGTCTCCACCTTTAATTTTTGCCACACACATCATGATCGTGAATGTATTCTTTGGTTTGGAGGGAAAGGGAATTGATACTCAACCTCTCTTTCTTTCTTTATTCCTAAAAAAAAAAAATTTGAAATTGACAATCACGCCTTTCGCTCTCAACCTCTCTCCCTCCCTCCCTCCCTCCGATATAAAGACCCTCCTTCCGCACCAAAATTCCTCTTCGTTCCCACGGATTCTTCCCCATCGTCACACTCCAACCGCCGTCTTTCCCGCCAAATTTATTGTCGAACTATGCCTCCGTCCTCCGACCCCGTCGTCCCCACCGTCACACCAGTCACCATATCCTACTCCGAGCTCCAAGTAACTCTCTCTCTCCCCCTCCTCTAAGTTCTTTTTGTGGTTGCCGAGAAAATTGAGCATGAGAGTTTGGTTTGATTGCCTATAATTTTTTTTTTTCTGTTTGGGTGCTCAGAAACTCAAGAGAATTCGTTGAAGTTAGAGCAAAATTTTATTTCAGTTGACTTTGTGGTTGTTATTCTCTTCATTCTCAGCAACCAAACAGAATCTAATTGTTTTATTCATAGTTTTGTTTAATTGCTATGTTTTAACTCGTCGATCATGTCGAGAATTCGATTTTTCTAATTATCGTTTTTTGATTTTGGATTGATACAGGACAGGGACAAAGATTTGTCAGTGAAGATTGAAGAAGGATTTGGACCAAATGGGTTGGGAATCCTATCAATCACTCAAGTATGATTTCGTTATGCGATTACCGTTGTTAATTACTGATTATCTCTTCCATTACCAGTTTTGGTAAGTTAAAACTATATGTGCAGAAAGAATTTGTTAACGAATCGGTTAAAAAGATAAACCACATAAACCACATGAACTTGCATATGTAATGTCGGGGTACTTTCTCCGTCATGTAGATTGTAGATTGTGCTGTTTGGGCAACGATATTTTGCTCCATTATTCCATTCATAGCTCATAAATTATGATGTCTCATGCTGTTGTTTTGATGCTTCATACCTAATCGATTCTTGTGAGAGCTAGCGTTTTGTTGTAAACTGATACGTATTTTCTTTCTAGCATCTTTGTAATTGTTTCTTTGAGTTTTCAATTGCAGGTTCCGGGATATTCTTCCTTGCGCGGGAATCTTCTAGGCTTGTCACCTAGGTATATCCCTTCTACGTAGGATTTTCATGTTCATTTTAAGTTTTAACTGCAATTCATAATGAATTTAGGAAGATAGTTTGTTATAGCACTGCTCATGGGAGTTTTCTTTTTGTTTATTAGATTAGCCAATCTGCCCGAAGAGGTGAAGAAGGAACTTGAAGATCCTCATAGTAGGTAAGTCATTTTAGTCCCATTGTTATACTTTGATTTCTCTTAAGCCGTTGGCATAATTTTCGTGTAAACACAAACATCAATCTATGTTTTACTTACAATAGAGAAAAATTCCAAAAATCCCTGCCGCATCTCAACTCTTGGATTTTCAGAGACTATGGTCTTGACATTATTAACTAATAATTTACGTAGTTTTATTGCTTTTCTTGGGAATCTTTACAAAGTTTTATTGCTTATCTTCTTTTTACCTGCCATCCATGTTTAGGTACAATTTTGGATGGAGTCATGGAAAAAGAGAAGCTGGAATCTGGAAAGCCTGGTATCACTTTATGTTCTTTGTTTTAAATTTTGTTTCTTTGGAAACTCTAAGAACTTAGGATCATTCATTTTCCGTTTGTGTTCTGGTTTTGCAGATACGTTAAAAGGCTCGTTTTATGCAAATCCAATATTGGATAGCCCTACAACAGATGAATCTCTAATTCAAAGGTAAAAGTCAATAGGGACATCAATCATAATCTGAGTACATGTGGGATCTATTTTGTCTGAGGTCACACAGTATATGGCTCATACCAGTAATGTCTGGCCAAACAGTTGTTTGTGTTAGTTATGAATAACTATCATACATTTGATAAAGGTTTCCTAGAATTAACCAGGACAAATCGTCTTTATGCTGGGATATGTTTATCTTTATTTATCCTATTTGAGAACTTACAGATTTTGCGTAAACAGAACATAATACTTTGTGTCTGCTCAGATTTTATTTGTGATATGATATGTATTGTAGGTATCCATCATACTGTGGTTCAAATATATGGCCCGATAGTGAATTGCCAGAACTAGAAGTCAGTATGTTTTCCTTTAATTTATGATTGTATTTTTTCATGATTATGTCATCACTGCATGTAACTTTTGATCTGTAGCCTTCAAAGCTCTTGGAAAGGTGTTCCTTGGAGTTGGGCTTATGGTCGCATATCACTGTGACAGATACGGTATGGTCTTTGTTGTTAAGGTTTACACTAAGAGAGCATAGCTATCCTGTTTAGTGTTTTTCCGGTCGCATTTTACACTTAAGTTTTCATGACACTTAAGTTTTCATGACGCATGTTGCAAACATCATACATTTTTCAAGCCAAATTTCTCTCTTGTCAGTTGTCATCATCGACTTCCTTTCCCGACACGGGTATTTAACTTTCACTATTGATATTCTTACAATAAGTGATCCGATACGAGAGAAACTCACACCTGAGGGATGCCACTATGGCGTTATCTCAAACCGTTCATTTACCGCCAGGTATTTTAACTACTATGTGATGCGTTTCAAAAAATCTCATCTTTGTTTTTTCATCAATGCAGGTACATTAGCCCCGAATCCTTTGGATACCTGGATCTACTACATATATATTAAAATTTGCATCGATTTTCTTCTTTTCTTATTCTCTGTATCTCTCAATTTTTCTTCCCCTTTTGTCAACCAACTTGTATGTTTTCTTTCTACATATATATATTTTAACTACTGTGTAAAACCGCTTCTTACAAACAAAAACATTCTCAAACAAGCCCACACTTATGGTATAATAGTATTGATATGCAACCGCAACCGCAACCACAACCACAGTTGAATTCGTTAAGCGCATGCCACAAAAACTGTAAACATGATGAATAGAAGTGTTAGAAAACCCCCCTTTTTTTTTTTTTTTTTTGCGGAAGATAGAGAGTTCGAAGCTATTACAATAATTTATAGGAGGGGAAGTTTCGTACCTGAGACGCAAGGGTAGAAACCCAACCCTTTCTACAAGTATATTAGACCATATGCAAACAGAAAACAAAATAATATGCATATCCAGAATTTTGTGGTGCGAAAGTGCTTTCAGATTAAACAAACCAATATATATTTTCATGCCAAATTATTTAGTAGACAGGATTTGTTCGTTGCGGTCTCTGCTTCTGTGCTCCTCCATGTCTAAGTTGGGATCTTAAAATGAGATAAGGCAGAGGTTCCATCTAGGCCTTTGTCATAGAAATGGGTGTCGTAGTCCCTCACAGTAGTCTCCCTGTACTTTGGAGGGTTGTCTTCTGATACCAACTCCTTAATAGGTCCATAGAGATTTGTAAATGGTAGCAAACCTGTGCTAAGAAGCTGGCAATGGATATCCTTGGACCTTCACGGTTCGCCAATACCCTGTGTTCTACGCTTTTGAATCTATCATTTGATATGAGCTGAAAATCCCAAAAAGAATTGAACATAAAAGACCTAATTATGATAATCGAAGAATTCTAAGACATATTCTAAGAGAACGCTAACATGCGACCAAAGCTTGTCTCGAGTATTAGTCATTAACAAACTAGCTTAGTTTACGATACTATTCTCTTAATTTAATAGTAGTTTTTAGGGAGAAAAAAAAAGGGCAATTGTATACGTGTGCTTACTTGTAAAAGATCTCCAATGTTCACCACTAAAGCCCCAGGCACAGGGGGTACATCAATCCACTTATTTTGACGATCAACAACTTGCAGACCACCAATATGATCTTGCAGAAAGGACCGTAAGGAAGGAATCATCAGCGTGCTTGCTTGTGCCCAAAGTTAACTCTGGCTGTGGACAAGCAGGATAGTAATGGCCTAAAACCTGTAGCCCCTTACTACAATCTATGCTATTCAAGTGGCTTGGCTTTAGCCCAAGGGCCTCCGACAACAACTCAAACAACAATTTCCCCAACTCCATTACTCGCTTTGAATACTCGATCAGTACGTCTCTGCAAGTTGAAAACCAGGAAAGCACATTAAACTTGTCAAAAGTATGGAGTTTAATGATCTAATCCATCAAGGAAGGAATCTGCACCAGGTTACTGTCACCAATTAAACCAGAGAATTGGGTTGTCAAATACCTGCATACTTCTGGCAAGTCTTCTGGCTTAGGAGGATATGGAGCCATGTAACACTTAAAAGTATCCCTCCAATTCGTTGCCAGTGAACTATAAAGATCAAAGTTGCTATTGTAAAACAAAGGTTTAGAGTGATCACGAGTGTAAAAACTCTTTCTTGACTCGAGTGTCCTGCTCATAAAACCCACGTACCCCATCCTTTATCGCCTCCAGAACACCTACAGGTATCCCATGATTCACTATTTGAAAGAAGCCCCAAGTCTCTGATGCCTCTCCAACTTTGCAACAATCTCATTGCGCTTAGTTGGATTACCATGGTCTTCAAGGTCTATTAGCGGAATGCTAAACTGGGTGGCTTCTGAGTCAGTGCTTGTATTGTTGATGGAGTACTGATCGTCCAATTGTGGTGGTTGATGAAAAATTCTAGGAACCTCGGCTACCCCGGCATCAACAAGACCCTTAACGCCTTCCCTTGTCTCATCAAAAGCTTTCACTTCGCGTTTTCGATCGTAATTGTTTGGAACCTCATTGGTGTTGGGAGCTACCATCTTCGCTTGTGACAAATTGGTAAAGCTTGAAGTTTTAGTGGATATGAGGGTAATACTAGGTGTGGTTCAGACAATAATGAGTGGGCAGGAGTTGGAAGAAAAGAACCCAATCAGCATTAGAAGAAGAAAAAAAACCCCACACGAAACTATAACAAGGCAAAAAAGACAACTTATGGTGATATGTCAAAGTAGCACAAGGAAATCAAGAATCTCACCAATGAACCCCAGCCAGATCAACATCATAGTTAGCAAAGCAATCCGCAACTTGTAAACCCATATCTATCTACTTGTAAACCCAGAGTTTTTTTGGATCATTCTCACGATACAAAATAAATTAGTTTTTCCTTGTTTCTAAATTATTAAGTTTTAAGTGTTTTTGTAAGTATAATTTTATCGATGTCTTACATGTGAAAACAAATAATTTTCTTATATAAGTGAGGGCATATTTTTTTACGTCGCTCCGGGCCTCAAAAATCTTTAGACCGGCCCTGCCGGAAACACCAAGCTCGAGAAACAGGACGTGAAATAAGAACAAAACAGCAGGAGTCATGTCAAGAGACTCGCTACGTTGTAAGAAATCAATAGTTGTCTTTACTTCCTTCTCTACAGTGCTAATTAGTGTTGGATCTGTGGCGGAACCCAACCCATATTCTATGCCCGGAACCGTGCCGTGCCGTAAGGGTAAATGTGATTGTTTCGTCAAGAAATTGAACAAAAAGGTTGGAACTTGTCATGTCAGGGTCCTCGGACGCCAGAATATCAAACCATGAACGAAAGGCATAAGAGAAAAGCATATTGGGTTTAGTGATTTGTGAGGCCCAAATTTTTTACTGGGGTTTGGTGAAAATTGCCTCTTCACTCTTTGCATAATTAAAGTCATACATAATCTTTCAACTTATTCACTTATTGTCAATTAATTTTGGATAAAATTCTCACAATGTAACACAGTAGTAGAGTATGCTATTCACGTGTCGGGCTTGACAGCCACGTATAAGCTTCGTGGCCATAACAATGGCCTTTGGTATTGGCCTATCGGGCCAAGGTCAGTAGCGGATCATTACGAAGGTACTATTGCGAGAGAGACAATTGTCAATGTTGTCAATTACAACTGTGGCAAAATTCAGCAGCAACCCAGATTCGAAGCGCAGCTCAGGAGTCTTTTACCTCAAATAACTTCAGCATTTGGTGCAAATAAGTCGGTTCTTGTGACAATTGATGAACTTAAAAAGCAGCAGCAGAGTTCAGATGCTACTGGTAAGTTTGTCAATGCCATTTGTTTATCGATGATGAAATGAAATCTGTCTTACTCTTCTATTGAGAGGCTTGTACGTGGCTGTCAAGTATTTTCTATCAAATTGTTTCTGTTGTAGTGGTGGAGTGGGCAAATGAAGCTCTTCAAGGTTGCATCCTTTTGATAGATTTTGTGTTGTAGTATTTCACATTTTCTGAGTGAGTAACATGTGCTTTACTTGATCCATACCAGCTAACTGGTGTGATGAAAACTGAATATCGCGTTGCTAGAAGATCGTCTTTGCGGAATGATTTTGCTGAAGGTGTGCGGGCAGTTTTGGTGGACAAGGATCAGGTTCGTTAATTATGCTCAAGATTCCTTACTTGAAAATCACTTGCTGACGGAGTTGCTGCAACATAAACCATTACAGCCTGTACTAGACCTACAGTTATATAATCATCTTACTTTCCTTGTATGAGAACAGGTCGTTATCTTTGATGAAATTGAGGTTCATCATAAAATCAATTGGTAATATGGGAAGTTGCCCAATATCATATAAGCACATAGCTAAACTTTGTCCCTCACCAATGTAGGATAACTCTCAACACGTCCCCGCACGTGTGACGGATTTTCAAGCCTACACGTGGACAACAGCTAGGTGACGTGAAGTGCGTGTGGCCATTGGGCTTCACACGTCAACAACTTGGCTCTGATACCATGATGAAATTGAGGTTCCACCATAAAACCAATTGACAATATTGAAAGTAGCCCAAATTCATATAAGTACATAGCAAGCCTTGTCCCTCACCAACGTGGGACAACTCTCAACAATCTTTTGCTTCTGTTTTTTGTCAATGCAGAATCCGAAGTGGAACCCGTCAAAGTAAGAGGGAGGTGAATCAGAGTGAAGTGGAAGCTCTCTTCGAGCCATTGAGCCCGAACTTTGAGGAGTTGAGCATGTGACTGACTGGCATGTGAAAACCAAGCCATTGAAATATATTCACCGTTGTGAAAAATAAGTTAGATGAAACTAAATGAGATTTTTGTAAGTTCTATACGAGAGCAAACACTTGGTGATGTGGAATGATAAGGAGATAAGGATTGACACTTGTGGTAGACTTACCAGGATTTGTGTAAGATTTATGGTTGTTGCTTACATTATATAAAAAGACAGTGTTAAGGTACCTTGTCCTTTCAAAACATTGGTTATATATGGCATGATGGCATCCATTTGGGTGTATCATATGGTTCATTTGACTAGGAAAGCTAGCTAATACAAGTTTATGTTAGACGGAGTCAAGTTTCCTGTTCAAACAGAAACTCTTCAGTTGGTTTACTCAGTCAACAACACTTATCAAGTAGAGCTTCTGTTAAAATCATTTGAATTTTTAAATATTTGTTTTGTCAGAATTAGTTATAGTATTTGAATTTCAAAATGTAAGCTTGTTAATAGGGTTTTTGAAACCCTGATGTAATCTGAAAAGTGATTATAAAAAGGTTGCTCCCTACAACGTTGAGGGTATGCAATCACAGTGAAAACCTTGTGTAGTCTTATAGCTTTCCTGCGTGTTTTGTCTTCCCTGCAATCCTAGTTCTTATAGTTTAATCCTAATGCCCGTTTTGCATTAGTTTTTAGCAGTGGAGCCTAAAAATGGTCCATTTGGGTGTATTATATGGTTCGTCTCCATTTGGATATATTATATTAGAGCACCACTTAATAGTTAATACAACGATCCAATAGATTGTTGTTCTAAGTTCATATCTTATAAATAGTTGAATCATTTATCGCTTATCTTGAATAATTTTTTTTAATTATTCCTTCACATTTGGGTTTTTTTGTAATCACTTTTGTTTATTATGTGATTGATGTCATGTTACTTCTCAAATGCTTCCAAATTCCAAACTAAAATAGTGCATTATTGATGGTTGAATAGCTGTAATCATCCCAAGAAGTCATTGTTTATAATCTATTGGATAGTCTTTGTCCTTTCATGCATGTTTGTTTCTTTCTTCCTTTTCGCTCTTTCACTGCACCTTTACGGCCAACCGGCAGTATGTCGTTTCTCAAGTTCATATTCGAACGTTATTATATTATAAACTTTTCAATTCTAGTAATGTGAGACAATGAGATAACCAAAAAAATTCTGCCCAAACGCTAACGTGTATAACATCCATCTTGGTGTATTATATGGTTCATTTGCCTAGTAAGGAAAGGCGCTTCTAATAGAAATATAATCCTAATGCGCATTTTGCAATAGCTTTAGCAGTGTAGGAGCTTAAAACGATCCATTGGGGTGTATTATATGGTCCACCCCAATTTGGATGTATTATATCAGAGCACCGCCTAAAAGTCTATTGGGACATCAATCATAATCTGAGTACATGTGGGATCTGTTTTGTCTGAGGTCACACAGTATATGGCTCAGACCAGTAATGTTTGGCCAAACTGTTGTTTGTGTTAGTTATGAATAACTATCATACATTTGATACAAGCTTTCTTAGAATTAGCCAGGACAAGTCGTCTTTATGCTGGGATATGTTTATCTTTATTTATCCTACTTGAGAACTTACAGATTTTGCGTAAACAAAACATAATACTTTGTGTCTGCTCAGATTTTATTTGTGATCTGTATTGGGTATCCATCATATTGTGGTTCAAATATATGGGCCAATAGTGAATTGCCAGAACTAGAAGTCGGTATGTTTTCCTTTAATTTATGATTGTATTTTTTCATGATTATGTCATCACTGCATGTAACTTTTGATTTGTAGCCTTCAAAGTTCTTGGAAAGCTGATCCTTGGAGTTGGGCTTATGGTCGCATATCACTGTGACAGACAGGGACGAAGCCAGACATTTGGGTGAATGGGGGCATCCTCGAACATATTTTTTCAAACATATACGAAACGACACCGTTTCGTTTACATTTTTTAAATTTTTTTTTACCAGGACCAAAACGATGTCGTTTTGGCTTGGTTTTGAAAAAAAATAAAATAAGACCCAGCTCTGCTTCTACAGAACCAGATCGGAGAGTAGAACCAGAAAAATCGCAGTGTGGGCTTTGCTGCTGTAGAACCATATCAATTTGAGCAGCACGAGATTATCTTGAAAGTTTTGACTGCTTCAGAAAAATTACACTAAAAGTTCATGATGCTATGGTATATAAATATAACATGTATCTATATATGCATGCTTGATGGGTTTGATCACTGTCGAATTTTTGTATTTGCTGTTCTCAAATTTTTGTTTGTGTGCTTGGTTTAGGATCTCTTCTTTCCAAAGAAATTTAGAAAGATCTGCTCTCCACCATTGCCGAATCTCAAGCATCTGAAGGTCATCATGCCAGCATCAGAAAAATCTCAGTGGGGGCATCCGCCCCCCTAGGCCTATGGTGGCTCCGCCCTTGGTGACAGATACGGTATAGTCTTTGTTGTTAAGGTTTACGCTAAGAGAGCATAGTCATCCTGTTTAGTGTTTTTCCGGTCTCATTTTACACTTACATTGTCATGACAATTTCCTACATGACAATTTCCTTTATTGTCATGCTTAAAGCGGGAGCCTTGTGCACTGGGTACGACCTTTATTGTCATGACAATTTCCTACATGATTTTGTTTCTGTCCTGGCCAGAAAACAAGTGCCGTATTAGTGTATTACGAGCACTCATAAGACCTAAGATATAAGTTGAGATGACACAACCTATGATCTTGAGAAAGGATTAAATCAAGATTTCTGAATGTTTTACATGATTTCATCACAAGAACTTTAAATTTATTGTCTCTCGTACAGAAAGGATAAAGAATGCTTTGAACCCGAACGTTGAGGAGTTGAGTGTGTGACGGACTGGCATGTGAAACTAAGTTAAATGAAACTGCATGAGGAGAAAGCACTTTCACTTGGACGCTTTTAGTGCTTTTGTACTGCGTTCTATATGGCCAGTTATGAACTAACATTCTGATTGTGGTTATTTGCGTGGACTTGTTGGAGGAATATGAATTATGCTTTCGGTTTCTGAATATCCATAGTTTGATGCACTACTCTCTGATTATCCAATTAAACCCAAACTTAAAACCATTCGTAAATATATAGAATAGTATTAGCCAAAATGGCGTTAAGACCTCCTTTAGTCTCAATGAGTTTGGTAAACAAGAAGGTGCTCGTAGAAGCTTTGTAAAAGTGTGACCTCTCAATTCAAGGTCTTGTATTCGAATCTCCTATCTAATAGTGACACAAATCCCTTGTAAAGGGGAGAAGGAAAACACTTTGGTAGGGAAGTGCTCCCCTCTAGCTCCACTCTTGAGAACGTGGTAACTTCTTAATGAACAACCTACAAGTCTGACCATGTGTCACCCGTACTGAATATTCACTAATGTGATGTAGCATATATATACTCAACTAATATGGTTACAATTTGTAATTAGATGGACCGGTTTTGACAAAACGCAACAAAGACAGTCTTACAAGTCTGATCATGACGCTCTTACTTAACATTCATTTGCTAATTCAAAATCTCAAATTTCTAGTTTAGCACGTTCACCTCAGTCAATACCGACCGACAAAAAGTCATAAGTTGGGATGGGGCCCAAGTAAGTAATTGGCCCAATCCAATCCAAAAGCCCAAAGTCCAAGAGAGCAAGTAATTGGCCCAATTCATTCGCTTATCCTCTCTTACTGTCACGGCCAACTCCAAGACCTCATAGAAAATAGTAAATCTCTCTTTTTATTTCTTATTTTTTTAGTTTCAATTATAATTTTCTTTCTCATTTTCTAAATTATATTTTCCATTCTTCTTCATTTAAAACCATCTTCAGTTTCCCCTTGACATAGAGAACTTCAACAACGCTGCTTACGAAACATTTAACGACGGAGAGATGGAAAGCTTCAAGTTGATACTCCGGTGACGCATGTTGCAAGTATCATACATTTTTCAAGCCAAATTTCTCTCTTGTCATCATCGACTTCCTTTCCCAACACGGGTATTTAACTTTCACTACTAATATTCTTACAATAAGTGATTTGATACGTGAGAAACTCACATCTGAGGGATATCACTATGGTGGTATCTCAAACCCTTTATTTACGGCCGGATGTTTTAACTACTATTTGATGCGTTTCCAAAAATACGCAAGTTTACAAAAAACTCAAGCCCCATTGAGCGAGCCTTAAGTTGTGTAGAGTTCCAGGAGAACTTTGGTTCTTAATCCTAGTTTTCTGAGATAATGTCTTTCACAGGTACGTGGTTAAGTTGATAACTGTAAATAAGTTTTTATGTTGCACAATTAACTTACAAATTGGACCATTGAAATTTATTATAATGGATCGATAGGGTCTGCAGTTTCGTGCTAGTTTCTTTCCTCTTCCCCCATACCGGCAAGAAAGTCATTTCATCCTTTGAGAACATTGTTTATATATGCATATATGGCATCCATTTGGGCGTGTTATATGCAGGTTCATTTGACTAATTAATTACGACCTGACTACTAAACTAAACAAAAATAGTATGCATATATGGCATCCATTTGGGTGTGTTATATGCATTTTCATTTGACTAATTAATTACGACCTGACTACTAAACTAAACAAAACTAGTTAACCACTTGCTAAGGAATCCAACTGTCTAATAAATACATTAGTTAATTAGTTCCAGTAAGATTTAGGGTTGTTGCTTACATATATAAAAAGGCAGCTTTAGCTACCTTGTCCTTTCAAAACATTGTTTATATATGGCATGATTGCATCCATTTGGGTGTATTATATGGTCCGTCCCCATTTGGATCTATTATCTTAGAGCATCACTTAATCATTAATACAACAATCTAATAGATTGTTGTTCTAAGTTCATATCTTGTAAATGGTTGAATCATTTATCACTAATCTTGAGTAATTGTTTTTAATTATTCTTTCACATTTGGGTCTTTTTTCTAATCACCTTTGTTTATTATGTAGTTGTTGTCATTTTACTTCTCAAATGCTTCCAAATTCCAAACTAAAATAATGCATTATTGATGATTTAATAGCCGTAATCATCCCCAATAAGTCATTGTTTATAATCTATTGGATAGTCCTTGTCCTTTCGTGTTTGTTTCTTTCTTCCTTTCCTCTCTTTCACTGCACCTTCCAGGCCAACCAGTAGTATGTTGTTTCTCAAGTTCATACGCGAATGTTATTATATTATGAACTTTTCAATTCTAGCAATGTGAGACAAGATAACAAAAAGAATTCTGCTCAAACTCCAATGTGTATAACATCTGATACAGTCCTCTTAGGGATGTAGAGAATTGGAAAAGGTAGAACAAAATGCAAGCTTGGAATAAAGAGAAGCTTGACAGCTAACTCAATAGTAGTAATTTCATTCAAATCAAACTTGTTCTGCAACATCCCAAGTACAAGTTATTTATACAATAAAAGGAACATAAACTAGTACATGAAATAAACAGAGAAACCCAATAGACATAGCAGTTTTAACATTATTATGTGGTCCACCCCCATTTGCCTAGTAAGGAAAGGCGCAGCTAATAGAAGTATAATCCTAACGCATTTTGCAATAGTTTTAGCAGTGGAGTAGCTTAAAAACGATCCATTGGGTGTATTATGTGGTCCACCCCCATTTGGATGTATTATATTAGGGCACCGCTTAATAGTTAATGCAATCATTCAGTAGATCGTGATCTCATGTTTTGAATCTTGTAAATGGTTGAATCATTTATCGTTCATCTTGAATAATTGTTTATAGTTGTCGTTTCACATTTAGGTCTTTTCTCTCATGTTCCAATACTTTATAATATATATGTTATTTTATTTTACAATTTATATATCTCAATACAATTATGTGTCATTTTAAGTATAAAAAAACATTTATTTATAATATAGAATAAATTTACTTAAATCCGTCTAGTCAATAAGCCTCGTCTAGCCACAACATCTATTAGATTTAGAACCTTGTATAAGAACAATACTTGGCGGCTGAAAATTCAACAGCCATTCCTATTTTCACCCAATCATATTTGGACACGTGTTCAATTTGTATTTATAATTTCATTATTTGGACACGTGTCAAAATTTGATTGGTTGAAAGTAGGAATTCAGCAGCTAAGTATTGTTCGTATAATATATGGACCTAGCTCTTGTTAGGAATATTATTGATTAATTATATAAACCAAGCCAAGTCTTGACTTTTGTGTATTCTGATGCTTCATGGGTTCACAGCAAAATGGCAAATTTGCCCTCAAGTCCCACGCGTCGATCATCGCTTAAAAATTGAAATGGTTCATCCTCTTCTCGATTCTCTTCATTCCGCTTTCCCTCTCTCATAAAAAAAAAAAAAAAAAAATTAATCAGAACGCTGCTTCTCGAATTCTGTCTCCCTCGGCCAAGCTCCCCATTCCCCGTTCATTTTCGAACTTGGCACAGTGGAATGCAACCCACGCGTCGATAATCGTGACTTCTTCTCCGCTTTTCCTTTCCTTTACGTTTTTCTCTCTCGCTGTCCAACCTCTCACGAATTACAAACAAGGTGCTTTCTTGCTGGAAAAACCACTGAACCAGTAGAATTTTCCTCGGTTCTTCAATTCGATTCGAACAATTTTTTTACCCAGAAAAGCTAGCTTCCTGGTGAGTATTGCAGCTTTCTCAGTGTGGGTGTTTCAATTTCGTTCTTGTGATTTTGGATTTGCAAATTTGTTTTCTGTTCAATTTTCCTTTTGTGATTTTGGGGGGTTTTGTTTATCGATTCTCTCACTCATCTCTCAACTCTCTCTCTCTCACTTTTGAGGTACATGCCGTTGGATTCCGTTTGCTGCTGCTGATCTGCAGGTAAAGCTTCAATTTCCAAATAAAGTTTCCATTTTTCATGATTTCTTGAATTTGGGTTTTTAAACAATGGAAATACTGCTAGATTCTTATCATTATGTGCAAATTACTGGTGATTTGGATTGGTGCCTGAGATTTAGAGAATGGCTTGCAGCTTTAATTTCTTTTTCCTTCATTATTACTGTTTTCAAATTTTTTATTGCTGGGTATTGATAATTAGTAGTCTGTGAGGGCTTCAATCTGTTGGATTTTGAATGGTTATTGCTTCATTGGAATTTGGGTGGTCCAAATTTTGAATTAGAAGAAACCCATTTGATTAATATTTGGTGGATTGGCTCTCTGTGTTTTCTCTGTTATTTCTTCCCCAGTTGGAAAGTGGAAGCCCCAACTTCGAGCTCAGAACTTGAATTTCTCAATCATTCTTTTCTCTGCACTCTCATCAGTCACTCTTGATCCTCTCTCTGAGGAACTGGGTAATTTTCCAGCTCTATCAAGTAATACTCCATTTAATTACTTAATTGAGGTTTTTTGTTTCTCTGTTTTGCTCTTTCATCAGTTCATTGGCTTTGTTGTTGGCTTAAGTAAATGGGAAATCATTAATTGGCATTGTTCAAGATATAATTATGTGTTTTTGGATTTGTGAAACGATTTGGCTATTGAAGAGAGTGGTTTTTTGTATATAGATTACACACATGTGGGCTGATTTATCTTTCCTAATAAATTTTCCATCTGTTTCAGGAATAAGTTTTTCTCATCTATTTGCAAACAAGTTTCGGTATGTTCTTACTTCTCCTCATGGCAAAATGTTTTGTTTTTAGTAATTGGCAGGCTTAATGTATATGACATTATTTTTTTTTTTGGCAGCCAATCACCGTACAAAGGTAAGGTAATTATTCTCACGGTCTTCGTTTTTATAATTTATTTTCTTAGTGAAGGTGTAATTATTGTGTAATTATCTTTTTTCTTGATTTGATTTCTGTAATTTCTGTGGGAGGCTGTTGCATACCTTGGATGCAACAAGTATAAAATTTGATGTCTTTTTCTGTGCCTTAACAAGGTGGCCACATGAACCATTCTGTATTCATCTTTGCATTCTCTCCTTCTTTTAAGAAATTACATTTCCTTTCACAACTTCAACCCAAACCTTTAAGCTAACAAACATATTCGTGGTTCAAATACCAATTTCAGGCATTGATACTCCAACTATGTATCAACATTTTTTGGATTGCACAGTTTTTTTTTTTTTTTTTTTTGGGAGTTGATAGTAATGAAAAATTTCTTTAGTTTCATATGTGCTTATCTATTATTGTTACTGGGTAATTTCTTTAGTGCCCTACATATTTTGGCTTATTAGATTGGCCTTCATTCGGTGCTTATCTGTGATTGTTAATAATTTCTGGCGGACTTTCTGGGTTGCAAATTCTCGAACAGAATTTCTGACTTGCAAAATCCATTACAAAAATGAAGACATTCCTAATGTTTTTAACTTTTTACCTCTCCATTGTTGGTTGTGTCAAAAGTATCAATTTTGTTGATTTACATGAACTTCACAAGACATGCAACAACAAAAAAAAAAGAAAAAAAAACAAGAACAAGGCACTGCCTAAAGATGAGACATCTAGCAGACGAGTTTCTGTTTTGAACCTAAATAGTCATTTGGTCTTGCAGTTTTGGTTATCAATTCAATTCCTCCATTGCTAATATTACTGTCTACATTAAGCGTCTTCATTGAGTATTTCTACTAAATTTTTCAGGCTGAAGAGGATGACGACGAGAATATTAGTGGTGAATGTTATTCCAGTTTAATTAGGGGGAGAACAGGTAAACTTATTCTACATTTTCTTTCGTTTTTAGTTGAGCATTTACTGGTATTTTCCACAAATTTTTGGATTGTTTATGTTTGACTTTGATGATTGTGGCGTTTCAGATAAAGGTATATCCCAAACCTAATAATTTTGTTTGGTTTTTTTTTTCTTCCTTTTTCGCTTCTCTTCTTTTGATTTCCGGTTTATATATTCTGCGTTTTCTTATGGCAGTTTCGTACCTTTTCTTTTCTGAATTTGTATGCTTTATGGGTCGTCATTTAATCTACTTAATTATCATCGTGATCAACTAAGATATCACCTTTTCATACACTATAGACTTTGAGTTGCTGGTTGAATTATGAATTGAAAAGTGGATAATGCCATAAAAAATTGCTAGGAGTAGGAGGATGTTCTTGGCACACTATAAAAAGTTTTCTTTTTCTTTTTGGCAAGTTCTACATATTCATGATTCCGTTCTCAGTGCATTTGCTTTCCCATGATTTCTCATAAATTGGACGTGAATGTATTTATAGATTTTATTTTTTTAGCCAGACAAAGGATTTGATTGAGCAACAGGTGCATCAACCATATATTATTACTACAACTGTACGAGGCCTCGGCGTTACAAGGTCTTGAAATTACCTCTTTCTCTTTTTTGGTTTTTGACATATTATATGAGATTTTATTGCTATTAGTTTGATGAAGTTCTCGATTCATGACCATATATTTTTTTCAACTTCTACCATTTGGTTTCTGTTTCAATTGGTTTTGTGAAGTCCTAACTTTTAATTTCATTTGGGCCGGACCTTGAGTTTAAAACTTTATCTGGAATCATTTGGTGGGTATTTGTAACTTGGGAATTATATTTTTTTATTGGTTTTGTGAAGTCCTAACTTTTATTTTCATTTGGATCTGACCTTTAGCTGTCATTGAAAATAATCATAAAAGTAAAGTTGTGCATTCCTTAATTCAGTCGTGATCTGAACCACTGCAGTGCCATAACGGTGGATACCCCCATGACAACCCACGAAGCCTCCTCGTCATCCTCCTCCAAGTCAAAACTTTGGAATTACGACGTGTTCTTGAGCTTCAGCGGTGTGGACACACGCAATGGCTTCACGGGCCACCTCCATGCGGCATTAACAGAGAGGGGATACCAGGCTTATATCGATGAGGACGATCTAGAAAGAGGGGAAGAAATAAAAGAGGAACTGTTCCGGGCAATTGAAGAGGCGAGGATCTCTATCATTGTCTTCTCAAAGAGTTATGCGAACTCGAGTTGGTGTCTTGACGAGCTGGTGAAGATCATGAAGTGCAGATACAAACTGGGGCGACGTGTTTTGCCAATATTCTATCATGTTGATCCTTCACATGTTAGGAAGCAGAACGGAGATTTAGCTCAAGCATTTCAGAAGCACGAAGAGGGCATTCGTGAAGAAAAAGATGACAAGGAACGTGAAGCTAAACAAGAAAGGGTAAAGCAATGGAGAAAGGCTCTTACAGAAGCTGCAAATTTGTCTGGCCAACATCTTCAAATCATTGACAATGGGTAATCATTCACCTGCTTTTAAAGATTTGACACATTTTAGTGAATGACTTAATCTCTCATATAATTAACATGCTTAATTAATACACCTTAACCTCTCATATAAAACCTAAACCGTAATTGGAGTTTAATTAATGAATGAATTTCTTTCTTTTATCAAGTTGGTAAAAAAATCACATGCTAGCTAGTAGCTAGTTAGAATATGTATGAAGGAAAGAAAATTGTCTATGTACTAATAGCTCCTACTGTTCATTGAGTCCCGCTAATGCTTACAAATTCAACATCTAGGCGCGAAGCAAAGCTTATTAGAGAAATTGTTGGCAAGATCATTACGGAATGGCTTCCGGGTGCAAACGAATTAAATGTGGCCAAGCACCCGGTTGGAATCAATTCTCGCGTTCAAGATATTATCAATCATCTTTCAGGTGGTGGATCAAATGACGTTGTCATGGTTGGAATTTGGGGGATGGGTGGATTAGGTAAAACAACAGCTGCCAAAGCCATTTATAACCAAATTCATCATAAGTTCCAATTCAAAAGTTTCCTTGCCAACGTTAGTGAATATGATTTGGTTGATTTGCAAGGAAAGCTTGTTTCTGACATCTTGAAACAGACTGAGTCTAAGATAACCAGTGTTGATGGAGGTATCAGTTTGCTAAAAAATCATCTCCAACGTAGAAGCGTACTTGTCATTATTGACAATGTAGACAAAGTGGAACAACTAAATGCCATAGCTGGAAATCGTGATTGGTTTGGTCCAGGAAGTAGAATTATCATAACGACACGAGATGAATGTTTACTAAAGCAAGTGAACATGAAAGTGGACAAGACATATCCGCTTAAGGAAATGAATGAAGAAGAAGCTCTGAAGCTCTTTAGTTGGCATGCCTTTGGAAAGAGTTGGCCTAATGAAGGATATCTTGAACTCTCAAAAGAGGTTGTTTCTTACTGTGGTGGTTTGCCAATAGCCCTTGAAGTTTTAGGTTCTTCTATGATTGAAAGAACCCCAATAGAGTGGAAAAGTCAGTTGGAGAAATTGAAAAAATTTCCTGATAAAGGAATAATGAAACCGCTAAGAGTAAGCTTTGAAAGGCTAGATCCTACACAAAAGGATATATTCCTTGACATTTCTTGTTTCTTTATTGGATGGGATAAGGACTATGTCGCAAAAATATTAGATGGATGTAACTTTTTTGCAACAATAGGAATCAGTGACCTCCGTGAACGATGCCTTATAACTGTTGAAGACAACGTGTTGAATATGCATGATTTGCTTCGAGAAATGGCCAAATTAATCATTTCTGAAAAATCCCCTCGTCAGCCTGGAGAGTGGAGTAGGTTGTGGAACCGGCAAGAGGTCATTAAAGTATTGAGAGATAAATCTGTAAGTACATTCCCAATAAAATTCTGAATTAATGCATTGTACATGAAAAGCACATATAACTCACGGATGTGTATTATACATTAACATTCATCTCAATTAGCCAACAATAGTACTTGCTTGTATTCATACATGTAAACGTATGCAAATAATCCGTTTCTTACACATGAATATAACCTTTTGTTAACAGGGAACTGAAGAAGTTGAAGGACTTGCTCTAGGTATCCCTCCTCCTTGGCCTCCAAGGTCTAACATGCCTGGGTTCAGTACAGAAGCATTTGCCAATATGAAGAAACTGAGACTGCTCAAGCTCTACAACGTGCAGCTCAATGGAGAATACAAACATCTCCCCAAGGAGTTAATATGGTTGTGTTGGGAAAGATGCCCTTTAAAGTCCATACCAGATGACTTCTTTGATCAACCAAGACTAGTTATTTTAGAGATAACATCTAGCGACCTGGTACAAGTTTGGGAGGGCTCCAAGGTACAATCGATTACACATGATGATGTTATGTTTGTATTTGTTTTTTGGATTTCCTTCTTTTTTTCTGAGATAGTCCTTTTGGATATTAATTTTAATTTTTCTTTGATTTTGTGCAACAGTCACTTGAAAACTTGAAGGTCCTTAATCTTGGAAGTTGCTCTGACTTAAAAAAATCACCAGACTTTTCAAATCTCCCAAATCTTGAAGAGTTGATATTGGAAAGGTGTAGGAGTTTGTCCGATATTCACCCCTCCATTGGTCATCTTAAAAAACTTTCTTTGGTGAACCTCACACGCTGCAAGAATCTTATTTCTCTTCCTGGGGATTTCTACAGGTCCAAATCCGTTCAGACTCTTGTTCTTGATTTTTGTTGGCAATTCAGTGAATTGCCCGAGGGTTTAGGGAAGATGATATCATTGAGAGTACTTAAAGCATCTACTACAGCCATAAGACAAGTACCGCGTTCCACAGTAAGATTGAAGAATCTCACTCATTTATCTCTCAATAATTTTGTGGGATCGAAGTTTCCTTTGCAATTTCCCGATTCGTTACACGGCTTAGACTCTTTAAGAAATTTAGATCTCTCAGTCAATTATTTTCATACCCTACCCAGCCTCAGTGGTCTTTCAAAACTTGAAAGTTTGTGGTTAAGTTATTGCTCCCAGCTTCATACAATCTATGATTTACCAACAAATTTGAAATTTCTGGATGCATCTAGTTGCTATCGTTTGGTAACAATGCCCAATTTTTCGAAAATGTCAAATATGAGGGAACTGAATGTATGTGATTCACACGAACTCACTGAGGTTCCAGACTTGGATAAGTCATTAAACTCCATGACATGGATTGATATGAGTAAGTGCACCAAACTCACGGCTGATTTAAGGAGGAACGTCCTAAAGGTATCTCTCTCTCTTTAATTGTCTTCCTATTGCGCACATGCACACACACAACACACATGTACATGTATGTATATAGTTATGACACTTGCAATATATATATAGGGATGGACTTCTTGCGGATATGGTGGCATTTTTCTCAATGGGAATTATGTTCCTGATTGGTTCGAGTTTGTCAATGATGGTAATGAAGTTAGCTTTGATATTCCCCCGGGTGATGGTCGTAGTTTTGAAGGGCTAACTCTGTTATGCTTTTACCGCTCTTATCTTGATCGGCCAAGACCTTATATGAGAGGTAAAGATGGTCATCCTCGTGCTAGTATTGATATAAATAATACCAAGCGTACTGAGTTACAGACTTGCATAGGCAAGGAAGATTGGGTTACAAAAATGCGCGATATTGTATTTGAAAGCTGTTATCTTTGGCAAGGTCAAATATCAAACGATAAGCTCAATTTGCAAAGCGGGGATAAAGTTGATATAACTTTTGAAATACCAATGAAAGGCGGTGCATTTAATTATGCGAAAACTAATGCATTTAATTATGCGAAAGCTAAGGGAATAGGGGTTAATCTAGTATGGGACAAACCTATGAAGGAAAATATGCACGATTTTGATCTTGATGGTAGGTTTTTCATCCAGAGACACAATCAAGGTGGTGATGCATCGTCATCATCACATGTTTGAGTCAGATCACAATCAGTTCGTCAAACGCCTCTTTCAAATTTCCCTGCGGCAGTTGTTTTTCCCGGTTATTTAACCGAAACATCAAGGGTAGTCCGGCCCAGAAGCACCAAAAATATCTTTATCTCTCTACACTGATGCAGTCACTCCCGACCGGAAGTAATGGGAAGCTTATTGGGAGGAGCGACCTAAATTCTGAGCAAATCGTCGTCCGCTTTCTTCTTCCTCAATCCAAATTCGAAGCTTTCTCTTTTCCAACCATCCAAATCCCCTCGCCTCCTCCGCCCCTTCGGGATCATGGCCTCCGCCGACGCGTTCGTCAAGGGCAGCGTCCACCCAAATGGCGTCGCCGTCATCACCCTCGGTCGGCCCCCAAGCTCTCAACGCCATGAACCTAGGTATGTAGATAAACACACACACACACACACACACACATGTATATATGTATATATCTGTAAATGCTTTTGATTTGGAGCTGATTTGAATTTTGGAGCTTGAACTTTATGGCATCGTATTGATTACAAATCTATGTTATTGCATTTGTTATAAGACGAAACGTTGGATTCGCATTTCGAAGAAGTTAGCTTTTTTTCAAAGAATTTTGTATTTCTGTTTAAGTGGGAATTGTTGGAAAATGCAGATATGGATGTGAAATACAAGAGCTATCTGGATGAATGGGAATCTCACCCAAATGTGAAGTGTGTTCTTTTTGGTAGCCGCTAGGCTCGTGCCTTTTGTGCGGTAAGCCCAGAATCTGTATTTGAATAGTTTCTTATCTTTCTTGGCAATATTACACTTCCATTTTAGCATGTAGTTAAATAAATTTTTCGGCGGTTATTTTTGTTTTTGGGTCTCTTAGGTAAGGTTTTGAGAGTGACCAATCATGGTAATTGCAGGAAAGGACATTAAAATGGTTGTTGCCGAAATTCAAAAGGACAAAAACACACCTCTTGTGCCGAAGGTTTCTACATTACGCTTTGCTTTGAACTAAAGTTGTTTCTTGTTTAGGTACTTACGTGATAGATTGTTGGTCTTTGATGTTCGTGTTGTTTCATGTCATTTGTTTATTGTTTCTCTTAGTGTTCATTTTTGTTTGCAGGGGGTGATGTGAAGCAGATCATGGCCAAAAACCAACCACCAAATATGATTGAGGTCTAATTGTGTCCCTTTTAACTATATATAATAACAGACTTATAACCTTACACAGTTTTCTAAAATCCAGATAATATAAGATGACTTCCTTCACTACCGTTTAGATGTAATTTTGGTAATTAGTGAATAGATTTACAACTAGCAAATCGATTGCTTCTTGCAAATTCATTGATGATTAAGCCTTAATACAAGCAAGCAAGCCCCTTTTAACAAAATTCATGCATTAGAATCGTAATGATGTATTTGTTGATAAGCCTAAAAATTCAAAGTGAAAATCACTTATATGAGCTCTGCAATTTCTTCAATTGCTTTAGCGATTCAATCTCGTATAAATGTCATAAATTGCGGCTGAGATTGTGCTTTCAGCATGTATTTATTAATGTTCAATACATACAGTTATTTTTTTCTTTTGTAATTTCATGGTTGACATTCTCGGGCAACCTACAACATCTAATCATTTGTTTAGTCTTGATTTTGCTTGAACTTGGGGTAATATGATTTGTATTTGGTTGGAGAGGATTCATTTCTTTTCTAAGCTACCATTTGTAGTTTTCTTAATATTGAGAGGCTAACGATATGATATTTGTGCTGCGTTCAGGTATCCACTGCTGAGTATTCTCTAATATGCAAAATCTCTGAGTACAAGAAGCCCTTTATAAGCTTCATTGATCGCATAACAATGGTCTTTGGTGTTGACCTATCAGGTCACGGTCACTACCGGATCATTACAAAGGTATTTTGCCCTGTCAGACAGAGATTGTCAATGTTGTCAATTACATTGCAATGGCTTTTCAAATTTTGTGCGTCTAACTTTGTATGGATACATTTCAGAGGACTGTTCTTGCTATGCCAGATGGGTTTTCACATGTAGCGGCAAGGAGTACGGGAGGAGGATCTGCAGGTATGCCTTTTCTATCCTCAGACGCAATTTCTGATGCTCCATTGTCCAATGCGTTCTTGAGATAAAAGATACTCCATTGTTGATACGGTTCTTAGGATCCCCATGGGGACATTGAAACAACTGCGGCGAAATTCACCAGCAACCCAGATTCTGAAGCGCAACTCAAGTCTTTTACATCAAATAACTTCAGCGTTTGGTGCAAATAAGTCGGTTCTTGAGACAATTGATGAACTTAAAAAGCAGCAGCAGGTTCAGATGCTACTGGTATGTTTGTCAATGTCATTTGTCTATTGAGCGGCTTGTATGGTTGCTGTCAAGTATTTTGTATCAAATTGTTTCTATTGCAGTGGTGAGTGGGCTAATGAAGCTCTTTAATGTCTTGGAAAGGGAGCTCCGTTCTCACTTTCTTTGGGACAAAATTAATTCGCTAAAATTGCATCTGCGCTTGGGAAAAATGACAATCAATTATCCACAGTGAGTCTGGACTTTCTACCTTTTCGTTTCTTGCATCACATGGTTGCATCTTTTTGATAGGTTTTGCGTTGTAGTATTTCAAATTTTCAGAAAGTAACATGTGCTTTACTTGACCAATACTAACTGGTGTGATGAAACTGAATATCGCATTGCTATAAGATTGTATTTGCGGAATGATTTTGCTGAAGGTGTACGGCAGTTTTGGTGGACAAGGATCAGGTTCGTTAATTATGCTCAAGATTCCTTACTATAAAGTGACAGAACAATTACAGCCTCTACTAGACCTACAGTTGATAATCATCTTACTTTCTGTATATCAGAACGGATCTTTATCTTTGGCTTCGGTTTCCTGTCAATGCAGAATCCGAAGTGGAACCCGTCAAAGTCAGAGGAGATGAATCAGAGAAGCTTTTTTAAAGCGTTTGCCTCTAAATTCAAGGTCTTGTGTTTGAATCTCCTATCTAATGGTGACACAAATCCCTTGAAAAGGGGAAAAAGAAAACACTTTGGTAGGAAAGTGCTCACCTTTGGCCCTACGCTTGACAACATGACAACTTCTTATTGGACAACCCTTCAAGTTTGATCATGTGTCACACATAATATGGTTACAATTATAATCAGATAGACCAGTTTTGACAAACGTGACTACTTATTAAGGGTAGCCTTACAAGTCCGACTACATGACATTCTTACTGGACATTCATTCGCTAATTCAAGACCTTAATTCAAGTTCTCAAATTTCTATTTTAGTACGTTCACTTTAGCCAATATAGACCGATAAAAAGTCGTAAGTTGGGATGGGGTAATTGGAATTGTCCCAATCCAATCCAAAAGCCCAAAGACCAAGAGAGCAAGTGAAAAAACCCCTACCTTCTCGCTTTGAAAAATTTCCTCCTTTCCAGTGGAACCCGAGATTCTCCTCTCTTACTGTCATTGCCAACTCCCAAGACAACCTAGAAAATATTAAATCTCTCTTTTTAAGTCTCCTTTTTTAAATTTCAACTAGTATATGTCCACACACAAAGCGTATGAATTTTTTTACTTTGGTTGTTAAATTTGAAGGAGAGGAAGAGAGTGAGAGAGAACGTGGAAGAGAGGTTTTTTTATATTTTTTAAATTAAAGATGATAAACTTACATATATGTGAGATTTAAAAAAAAAGTAAAATTTTATCTTGTAAAATTACGTTACTGTCCTTAACTTTTTTGTTGTGATAGAAGACAAAGATATATTTTCATCTTTTTTTGTTGATAAAGAAATTTCATTAATGAAGTTTTATAATTTTCTTTCTCATTTTCTAAAAATTATATTTTCCATTCTTCTTCATCAAACCCATCTGCAGTTTCCCTGACAGAGAGAACTTAAACAATGCTGCTTACAAAACATTTGACGACGGAGATGTGGAGAGCTTCAAGTTGATACTCTGGCGACACATGTTGCAAACATCATACGGAGGACGCAATATTTTTAAGGAAACTTTAACGAAAAACCATATTTTTACACTAAAAAATCAATCATAGTACTATTCACTTTATCCTTTTATTTTGTCCTTATCATTAAACGCAAAGTTTTCAAACTCTTTTCATTAGTTTTCCTTATTTTTAAAGCTAAATTGCTCTCTTTTCATCATTGACTTCCTTTCCCGACACGGTATTACACTTTTCTACTGGTAAGTGATCCGATATGAGAAAAACTTACACTGAAAGATGCTACTATGATGGTATCTCAAACCATTCATTTACGTCCGGATGTTTTAACTACTATGTGGTGCATTTTTACAAATCTGATCTTTGTTTTTTGTGTAAATTATGTTTTATCTCTCGTATTTGGGGTCAATTGCAACTTCATACAATTTCTTTAAAACATTTTAATTTCATACATTTACTTATATTATTTTTTAATTTCATACATCCGTTAAAAATTCTGTTAAATTAACCGTTACTACATTTCACTATCAACTTCATCATCAACAAGTCAATATTTCATACTTCTTTCAAACTCTTATGAAGAAGAAGGCACAATGTAGGAGGGATAACAACTTGTAAATTGTGTAAATCCTATATTAGATTTGATTCTAGTTATTCTTTCCTATTACAACTTATATTACTTGGAGAAGAAGGAATATCTTCTCTCCTTTTACTACTATAAATAAAGGCACAATGTATGAGAGATAACAACACACATTCCCCTACAATTCTACAAACACACATCTCTCTTTTCTCTCTCCCCCTGCCGCCGGCCCTATTGCTTTATCAGATAAAAATAGACCACAACAACCCCGTTGTCTTATCTTCCCACCCCACTAGTTTATAATTTTTTTACTTCCATTTTTACCCTTTTGTAAAATTACATCAAAGGACCTGGAAAATTCTCCCCACCCACGCTCGCGTCGTCATCATGGCTCTCAAGCACGTCCCCATTGACATCCGATCCCAAGGCGGCTGTCACCCGAATGTCCAACCCCAAGAAAAGGAAAGAGAGAGATTGCAAACCACCACCACCACCACCACCATCGTCAAACCCATATACTCTCGGTCACCAACAACCCCAACCCCTCGTCAGGTCCCTTCGTCAATCTCAAACTGCTCCAAGAAAATCGAGTTCTCGGACCCACCATCTACCTCTACAATATTGACGACGGCGGCTGATGGTCTAGTTATTCCTGGTTGAGTCTCACGCGCAGTGGTCGCGTCTCAAGATCGTTCCATGGTTGTTTATTGGTCCGTTCAGATTTGTCATAAAGTTGGTATTAGGGCTTCGATAAACCTATCATCATTCGATTTGCATGCTGTAGATGTAGAAGGAATTTTGAGGAGAAAGCCTCTCATGTCCAATGGTGACTGCATAACCCATACCAACATCACCTATCACCTCCTTCACCAAGTAATGTTCTCTCTTTCAAATTTGATTCATATCTTCACCATCCTTTTATAATTATAATATGTTTATTGGAAATTCAAACAATTTGGCATTTGGGCCAACGTCAACTAGCTTCAAATCGAGGCCTGATCATGCAATTGGGGTGAAATAAAAATGGATTTAGATATTTGAGGTTATTTTAGAAATAATTGGGGTGGATTAATAGGATTTTAATTTTTTACGATGGGTGATATTATAATATAAAGTTTAGAAATGGAACAATAGGATGGATCTAGTAGCATAAAATTGTAATAAGGAAACACTCTTAAAAGAATGCAATCCTCTCACAGTGGAATCCTACCCACGCGTCGATAATCGTGACTTCTTCTCCGCTTTTCCTTTCCTTTTCGTTTTTCTCTCTCGCAATTCGCAGCCTCTTTCGGTCTCCAACCTCGCTTTCTTTGGTTCCCAAATCGGCTTCTCTCGCTCTCCAACCTCTCACGACTTACAAACAAGGTGCTTTCTTGCTGGAAAAACCACTGAACCTGTAGAATTTTCCTCGGTTCTTCAATTCGATTCGAACAATTTTTTTTACCCAGAAAAGCTAGCGTTTCCTTGTGAGTTTTACAGCTTTCTCAGTGTGGGTGTTTCAATTTCGTTTTTGTGATTTTGGATTTGCAAATTTATTTTCTGTTCAATTTTCCTTTTTGTGATTTTGGGGGTTCAATTTCCATATAAAGTTTCCATTTTTCATGATTTCTGGAATTTGGGTTTTGAACAATGGAAATACTGCTAGATTCTTACCATTATTTTCTACTAAATTTTTCAGGCTGAAGAGGATGACGAGAATATCAGTGGTGAATTGTATTGCAGTTTAATTAGGGGAGGAACAGGTAAACTTATTCTACTTTTTCTTTCGTTTTTAGTTGAGCATTTATTGGTATTTTCCACAAATTTTTGGATTGTTTGTGTTTCACTTTGATGATTGTGGTGTTTCAGATAAAGGTATATCCCAGACCTAATAATTTTGTTTGGTTGTTTCTTCCTTTTTGATTATCATCGTGATCAACTAAGATATCACTTTTTCATACACTATAGACTTTGAGTTACTGGTTGAATTATGAATTGAGAAGTGGATAATGCCATAAAAAATTTGCTAGGAGTAGGAGGATGTTCTTAGCACACTATAAGAAGTTTTCTTTTTCTTTTTGTTAAGTTCTTCATATTCACATTTTCTTTCCCATGATTTCTCATAAATTGGACGTGAATGTATTTATAGATTTTTATTTTTTTAGCCAGACGAAGGATTTGATTGAGCAACAGGTGCATCAACCATAAATTATTACTACAACTGTACGAGGCCTCGACGTTACAAGGTCTTGAATCTCTTTTTTGGTTTTTGACGGATTATATGAGATTTTATTGCTGTTAGTTTGATGAAGTTCTCGATTCATGACCATATATTTTTTCAACTTGTACCATTTGGTTTCTGTTGACTTTTAACTCTGAGTTGTAATGGTGCTTGTGTTTTCTAAATTTCTTCCAATAGCTTAGTTTTGGTATTTTGTTTGTGTATATCTCTTCAAAGCAATTCTCGGAGTTGCAATCTTACCAGCTACGAAAAGGAAAGTTATTGAGAAAATTTGGAGAGAAGGGCCTCCTAAATTATTATGGCCACCATAAGCTGTAAGTCCTTTTTTAGATCATTCTACAGGGAGATGGTATTCTCCATGACAACTGCTCCAAAACCAATAACTCCTTTTCCCCTGGATTGACCAAAATATCAACTTCAAAGCAAGTTTTGTGAGGTGTAACGAAATTTCTGGGGCAACAAACATTTAACTAATCAGATTTAATTTAGGGCAATTTTGGATTTGCATTCATTTGTAATTTTATAAGCAATTTTGAGTTTGTGTGAAAAATAATTTTTTTTTTTATTCTTTCTCCTCACACACTCTCTCTCTTTCTCATGTTTTTGAGGAGTTTGAGTCCTAAGTGTGTTTATGTTTCTGGGTTTTGGGTGTTTTGTTGTTTTCTTTTGGTAAAGTATTGTTCTTGCTCTAAAAGTGGCAATCAGTGCTGTGTATTTTGTGCATGATAAAACTTATAAGTGTAGTATTGTGGTGCTCATTTTTTGGTTAAAAGTTAAAAAAGTCTCTTATTAAGATTTTGGTCGATTTATATCCAACTTAGACCAAACTTCAGCGTATACTATCAAGAAACATGTTATCCCATGACTGAAATCATCTATTTACATCGATAAACATTCAATTACGACATGACTGATATGGACCCAATAGCTTTAGCTATATGTTATAGTTTTACACATAAAAATTGAATGTATCAATTTTAAATCTTTCAACTATGTCATTCAACAGATTCCATAAACTGCCATATTTTTTTGAACCCTGTAGAAAAGGAATTTATATGCAACATGTTCAGAATGACTACATAAACTGCTTATAACATATCTTTTCAAATGCATAAGGAGAAAGATTGATGGTTCTAGACACATCTTTATTGTTGCCCAAGTTTTTGCTAATTTTGAAAGCTATGAATTGCTAATGGATTTGCCTTTTTTTTTGTGTGGAATTTTCAGAGTTTTGGGTCGTCGGAGGAAGAACTTAGTTGCTTGACATTTTGAGGTATATACTTTGCTTTACTTTTGTTTTAGTTTCTTCAATTAGATACAGTTAATTTATACCAGTGCTTTTGTTTCTATTGGGTTTTTGAGTTTAAACTTTATCTGGAATCATTTGGTGGGTGTTTGGAACTTTGGAATCAGATTTTCAATTGGTTTTGTGAAGTCCTAACTTTTAATTTCATTTGGGTTTGACCTTGAGTGTAAAACTTTATCTGGAATCATTTTGTGGGTGCTTATAACTTTAGAATTAGATTTTTAATTGGTTTTGTGAAGTCCTAACTTTTATTTTCATTTGGATCTGACCTTTTAGCTGTCATTAAAAATAATCATGAAAGTAAAGTTTGCATTCCTTAATTCAGTCTTTGTCAAGCCATCATGCATGATAACCAAGCAACTGGTTTTTAGTAAATGTTGATTTTGGAAAATTCTTTGTTTTAAATTTCTAGGTTCTGATGAATTCTTCATTTAGAGTTGGTGACCAACAATCGACCCACCACCAATTTTAGATCAAGGTTCGAGCATGCCTTCAAAGTGTAAGTCATTTTTCCATTCTATTTTGTTGATTTTGTCATCTGGGTTTCTTAGAAAGCTCGCACCTTGGTTCATTTCTGACTAGGGTGTTACCGTTTTATCTGTATTGTTTGGGAAATTTCAGAAAGCTTGCATTTAGGTTTGGCTCTTTGAGCTGGACTTCAAGATTGAAGGTTGAATTATTGTAAGTCTCTTTTCTTTTTCTTTTGTTTTTGCAAACAAAATTTGAATTATGTTATGGTTTATGGTTATTTTGTTGATGTTGTTACACTACTCATGATTGCTAATCTTATACCAATCGTCTTTAATACATTTTGCAGAATGACATTTGTGGAATAATTTCTCAAAACTCATTTGTTATTTGTCCTTTATGCTTCTACGACTTCAAACTTTATAGGCGACCTTGCTAACCCACAGTTGAATCTGATTAATTTGTCAAAAAATTTCCAAGTTATGAAGTTTACATATTCTGGAACTTAGTTATATATATATATATATCATTCCATAACATAATGCATGTAGATAGAACAAAATTTACCATCTTTTATACGTGGATTGTATCATAAAATCTTTTATATGTAAAACTTTTTCCAACGTTTTCAATGTAAATAGTATTAATCTTCAATCACACAATCTATTATATATTTCAAAGATAATCTTTCATACAATTTCAAATGCCGCATCAACGTGCGGGTAAAAATTTCTAGTACAAACTAAAGTTGTTTCTCCTATTAAAATATGTCCGTTGAAATGCATTATATATGAAGATGGGAAGGTTGTTTCTCCTATGAAAATATGTCCGTTGTTTCTCCTATGAATAGCTGTAATCACAGCCAAGAATCTTTTGGATGGTCTTTGTCCTTTCGTTCCTTTCTTTTCTTTTTTCCTCTCTCTTTTTCTGCACCTTCCGGCCAACACTATGTCGTTTCTCAAGTCCATACGCCAAAATTATTATATTATAAACTTTGTTCTTGTTGACTGAAGGAGCTTGACTTGCGTTTAGGTATTTCAGGATCATCCGTTTGAATGCACGAACACAACTACTACCATTCTTCAGTCGTGATCTGAACCACTGCAGTGCCATAACGGTGGATACCGCCATGACAACCCACGAAGCCTCCTCTTCATCCTCCTCCAAGTCAAAACTTTGGAATTACGACGTGTTCTTGAGCTTTAGCGGTGTAGACACACGCAATGGCTTCACGGGCCACCTCCACGCGGCATTAACAGACAGGGGATACCAGGCTTATATTGATGAGGACGATCTCAAAAGAGGGGAAGAAATACCAAAAGAACTGCTCCAGGCAATCGAAGAATCGAAGACCTCTATCATTGTCTTCTCAGAGAGGTATGCGGATTCGAGTTGGTGTCTTAACGAGCTGGTGAAGATCATGGAGTGCAGAGACAAACTGGGGCGACATGTTTTGCCAATATTCTATCACATTGATCCTTCACATGTCAGGAAGCAGAACGGAGTTTTAGCCCAAGCATTTCAGAAGCACAAAAATGACATCAGTGAAGAAAAAGATGACAAGAAACGTGAAGAAAAACGAGAAAGGGTAGAGCAGTGGATAAAGGCTCTTACAGAAGCTGCAAAGTCAGCCGAAGAATTTCAAAAGCACGAAGAAGGCGTCGGTGAAGAAAAGGATGACAAGAAACGTGAAGCTAAACAAGAAGAGGTAAAGCAGTGGGGAGAGGTTCTTACAAAAGCTGCAAATTTGTCTGGCTACCATCTTCAAATCACTGATAATAGGTAATCATTCATGTGCTTTCAGTATTTAAGTTGTATTACTCTAATTATCATGCTTAATTAATACGCCTTAATCTCTCATATAAAATCTAGAGGAAAATTGTAGCTGTGGTTCCTAAACTAAAAATTCATTACATTTTGCCCTTGAACTTGATAAAATATGGAGCGTTAGTCCTTCGTAACCAATTCCTTTAAATTTTAGTTAAAAGGGTTTACAACTTTACATGTTAGTTTCACCTACCTCATCCCACCAACACTCGCAGCCACCCCTTCACCTTCAATCTTTGATTCACACCCCGTCAACCTCCCACTTCCAACCCCCAATCCCTAATCCCACTCTCCAGCCGACTCCAAACTGTAGCCCACGGACCACAGCCTTCACCCGAACCCCGAACCCGCATCCCACAAATTTCTTGAATCTTACCTGTCGAGACAGCGTGAATGGATGTCATTGTGAATTCGTTTGCAAACGGAGACGTGTTCCAAAATTGGATTAGAAACTTTCTTTTGTTTTGGCTGTTGGGAAAGTGCTACAATGGTGTGGTTGGGGTTTGGAGGAGGTGAGGCGGAAGGGAGGATGGGAGAGAGAGTTAACTTTTATAATTTAAAGTTTTTTTTTCTCTCTCTTTCTTTCTCTATGTTTGTATTTATTTTCTTTTATTTTGACTTTTCAAGCCACGTGCCATCTAGTAAACAATAATATGGAGCCCACAAAGACGACATAATCAAATTAACAGAAAATCATACGGTGTTAACATTTAGGGACCAATGCTTCATATTTTGTTAAGTTCAGGGAGGAGATTTATTGAATTTTTAGTTTTAAGAACCAAGGCCACAATTTGATCATAGTTCAAGGACCATTTCTCTAATTTCCTCTAAAATCTAAACCATAATTGGAGTTTAATTGATGCACCAAACTTTAATATATCAATGAATGAACTTGTTTCTTTTATTGAAGTTGGTCACAAAATCACGTACTAGCTAGTAGCTAGTTTGTGTACATATATGTACACACACACACACACACACGAAGGAAAGAAGGAAAGAAAATTGTTTATATTAGTACTAATAGCTCCTACTGAGCCTACTTACTAAGCTTACCAATTCAATTTTTCAGGCGCGAAGCAAAGCTTATTAGAGAAATTGTTGACAAGATTATCCCAAAATGGCTTCCGAGCGCAGAAAATTTACATTTGGCCAAGCACCCAGTTGGAATATATACTCGCATTCAAGATATCATCACTTATCTTTCAAATGGTGGATCATATGTTGTTCGCATGGTTGGAATTTGGGGGATTGGTGGATTGGGTAAAACAACAGCTGCCAAAGCCATTTATAACCAACTTCATCATAAGTTCCAATTCAAAAGTTTCCTTGCCAACGTTAGTGAATGTGATCTGGTTGATTTGCAAGGAAGACTTGTTTCTGACATCTTGAAACATACCGAGTCTAAGATAACCAGTGTTGATAGAGGTATCAGTCTGATAAAAAATCATCTCCAACGTAGAAGCGTGCTTGTCATTATTGACAATGTAGACAAAGTGGAACAACTAGATGCAATAGCTGGAAATCGTGATTGGTTTGGCCCAGGAAGTAGAATTATCATAACGACACGAGATGAACGTTTTCTAAAGCAAGTGAACATGAAAGTGGACAAGACATATTCACTTAAGGAAATGAATGAAGAAGAAGCTCTGAAGCTCTTTAGTTGGCATGCCTTTGGAAAGAGTTGGCCTAATGAAGGATATCTTGAACTCTCAAAAGAGGTTGTTTCTTACTGTGGTGGTTTGCCACTAGCCCTTGCAGTTTTAGGTTCTTCTTTTATGATTGAAAGAACACCAACAGAGTAGAAAAGTCAGTTGGAGAAATTGAAAAAATTTCCTGATGAAGGAATAATGAAACCACTAAGAGTAAGCTTTGAAAGGCTAGATCCTACACAAAAGGATATATTCCTTGACATATCTTGTTTCTTTATTGGATGGGATAAGGACTATGTCGCAAAAATATTAGATGGATGTAAGTTTTTTGCAACAATAGGAATCAATGTCCTCTGTGAACGATGCCTTATCACTATTGAACACAAGAAGTTGAATATGCATGATTTGCTTCAAGAAATGGCCAAATTAATCATTTCTGAAAAATCCCCTCGTCACCCTGGAGAATGGAGTAGGTTGTGGAACCAGCAAGAGGTCATTGATGTATTGAGAGATAAATTTGTAAGTATAGTCCCAATAAAATTCTGAATTGATGCATCGTACATGAAAAGCACATATAACTCACGGATGTGTATTATACATTAAGTAACATCATCTCAATTAGCCAACAATAGTACTTGCATGTATTCATACATGTAAACATATGCAAATATTCCGTTTCTTACACATGAATATAACCTTTTGTTAACAGGGAACTGAAGAAGTTAAAGGACTTGCTCTTAATTTTTCTGGAGATCATTGGCTGCAAAGGCTTCGAAGCTTCAGTACAGAAGCATTTGCCAATATGAAGAAACTGAGACTGCTGCAGCTCTACAACGTGCAGCTCAATGGAGAATACAAACATCTTTCCAAAGAGTTAATATGGTTGCGTTGGTTTGGATGCCCTTTAAAGTCCATACCAGATCACTTCTTTGATCAACCAAGAGCACTGGTTATTTTAGAGATAGCGTATAGCAGACTTGTACAAGTTTGGGAGGGCTCCAAGGTACAATCGATTACACATGATGATGTTATGTTTCCATTTGTTTTTGGATATTAATTTTAATTTTCCTTTGATTTTGTGCAACAGTCGCTTGGAAACTTGAAAATCCTTAATCTCAGTTATTGCCTTGACTTAAAAAAATCACCAGACTTTTCAAATCTCCTAAATCTTGAAGAGTTGATATTGGAATGGTGTAACAGTTTGTCCGAGATTCACCCCTCCATTTGTCATCTTAAAAAACTTTCTTTGGTGAACCTCACAGGCTGCCAGAATCTTATTTCTCTTCCTGGGGATTTCTACAAGTCCAAATCCGTTCAGACTCTTGTTCTTAATGGATGTCAGCAATTCAGTGAACTGCCCGAGGATTTAGGGAAGATGACATCATTGAGAGTACTTATAGCATCTTCCACAGCCATAAGACAAGTACCCTGTTCCATAGTAAGATTGAAGAATCTCACTCATTTATCTCTAGCGTCTGTGGAATCGAAGTTTACTTTGCAGTTTCCCAATTCGTTAGACGGAAATTTAGATCTCTCAAAACATTATTTTCATACCCTACCCAGCCTATGTGGTCTTTCAAAACTTGAAAATTTGCAGTTAAGTAACTGCTGTAACCTTCATACCCTACCCGGCCTGAGTGGTCTTTCACAACTTAAAACTCTGGAGTTAAATCACTGCAGTAACTTATACACCTTACCCAGCCTCAATGGTCTTTCAAATCTTAAAACTCTGGGGTTAAGTCATTGCAGTAACTTACACACCCTACCCAGCCTCAATGGTCTTTCAAAGCTTAAAACTCTGGGGTTAAGTCGCTGCAGTAACTTACACTCCCTACCCAGCCTCAATGGTCTTTCAAAGCTTAAAACTCTGGAGTTAAGTCACTGCAGTAACTTACACACCCTACCCAGCCTCAATGGTCTTTCAAAGCTTAAAACTTTGGAGTTAAGTCACTGCAGTAACTTACACATCCTACCCAGCCTCAATGGTCTTTCAAATCTTAAAATTCTGGGGTTAAGTCAATGCAGTAACTTACACACCCTACCCAGCCTCAATGGTCTTTCAAATCTTAAAACTCTGTGGTTAAGTCACTGCAGTAACTTACACACCTTACCCAGCCTCAATGGTCTTTCAAAGCTTAAAACCCTGGAGTTAAGTCACTGCAGTAACTTACACACCCTACCCAGCCTTAATGGTCTTTCAAATCTTGAAACTCTGGAGTTAAGTCACTGCAGTAACTTACACACCCTACCCAGCCTCAATGGTCTTTCAAAGCTTGAAGGTATGGAGTTAAGTCACTGCAGTAACTTACACACCCTACCCAGCCTCAATGGTCTTTCAAATCTTAAAACTCTGGGGTTAAGTCAATGCAGTAACTTACACACCCTACCCAGCCTTAATTGTCTTTCAAATCTTAAAACTCTATGGTTAAGTCACTGCAGTAACTTACACACCCTACCTAGCCTCAATGGTCTTTCAAATCTTAAAACCCTGGAGTTAAGTCACTGCAGTAACTTACACATCCTACCCAGCCTCAATGGTCTTTCAAATCTTAAAACTCTAGGGTTAAGTCACTGCAGTAACTTACACATCCTACCCAGCCTCAATGATCTTTCAAATCTTAAAACTCTGTGGTTAAGTCACTGCAGTAACTTACACACCCTACCCAGCCTCAATGGTCTTTCAAATCTTAAAACTATGTGGTTAAATCACTGTGGTAACTTACACACCCTTCCCTGCCTCAATGGTCTTTCAAATCTTGAAACTCTGGAATTAAGTCACAGCAGTAACTTACACACCCTACCCAGCCTCAATGGTCTTTCAAATCTTAAAACTCTGGAGTTAAGTCACTGCAGTATCTTACACACCCTACCCAGCCTCAATGGTCTTTCAAAGCTTGAAGGTATGTGGTTAAGTTATTGTTCCCAGCTTCATACAATCTATGATTTACCAACAAATTTGAAATTTCTGGATGCTTATGGTTGCTGTTGTTTGGTAAAAATGCCCAATTTTTCGAAAATGTCAAATATGAGAGAACTGAATGTAACTGGTTCACACGCACTCACAGAGATTCCGGACTTGGATAAGTCATTAAACTCCATGAAATGGATTGTAATGCAAAAGTGCACCAATCTCACAGCTGATTTTAGGAGGAAGGTCCTAAAGGTATCTCTCTCTTTAATTGTCTTCCTATTGCGCACATGCACACACAATGCACATTTACATATATGTATGTATGTATGTATGTATGTATGTATATGACACTTGCACTGTATATATAGGGATGGACTTCTTACGGATATGCTGGCATTTTTCTCGATGCGAATTATGTTCCTGATTGGTTCGAGTTTGTCAACGATGGTGATAAAGTCAGTTTTGATACCCCCCAAGTGATGGTCGTAATTTTGAAGGGTTGACTCTGTTATGCTTTTATCACTTAACTTGTCCCTCAAGCCCTTCTATGAGCTTTAAATATTGTCATCCTCGTGGCAGTATTGATATAAATAATACCAAGCGTACTGAGTTGCAAACCTGCATAGGCAAGGAAGATTGGGTTATAAAAATGCACGATGGTTTACCTGAAAAATGTTTTCTTTGGCAGGGACAAATGTCCAACGATAAGTTCAATTTGCAAAGCGGGGATAAAGTTGATATAGCCGTTGGAATGCCAGAGACATGCTATAATTCTTATTATGCAATAATTAAGGGAATAGGGGTTAATCTAGTATGGGACAAACCTATGAAGGAAAATATGCACGATTTTGATGGTGATGGTATGTTTTTGATCCAGAGGCACAACCAAGGTGGTGATGCATCGTCATCATCACATGTTTGAGTCAGATCACAATCACTTCGTCAAACGCCTCTTTCAGATTTCGATTTCTCAGTTCAATAAATGAAGGCAAGTCCATACTTCATACTTCTTTCAAATTTCAAGTTTCCCTGCGTAGCCACCGCGGCAGTTCTTTTTCCCGGTAATATAACCGAAACATCAAGTGTAGTCCGGTCCAGAAGCACAAAAAAAAAATCCCTCTCTCTACACTGACAGTCACTCTCAAACGGAAGTAATGGGAAGCTTATTGCGAGGAGCGACCCAATTCGAAGGGCAGCGTCCACCCAATTGGCGTCGCCGTCATCACCCTCCGTCGCCTGCCGAGCTCTCAACGCCATGAACCTGGGTATGTAGATAAACACACACACGCATATGTATATATGTATGTATCTGTAAATGCTTTTGATTTGGAGCTGATTTGAAATTTTGAGCTTGAACTTTATGGCATCGAATTGATTACAAATCTATGTTATTGCATTTGTTATAAGACGAAACGTTGGATTCAAATTTCGAAGAAGTTAGCATTTTTTCGATGAATTTTGTGTTTCTGTTTAAGTGGGAATTGTTGGAAAATGCAGATATGGATGTGAAATACAAGGGCTATCTGGATGAATGGGAAGTGTGTTCTTGTTGATAGCTGTTCGGCTCATGCCTTTTGTGGCGGTAATGCCCAGAATTCGTATTTAAATAGTTTCTTATCTTTCTTGGCAATTTTACACTTCCATTTTAGCATGCAGTTAATTAAGTTTTTCTATATATGTATGTTTAGCTCTTTCGGCGGTTATTTTTGTTTTTGGGTCTCTTAGGTAAGGTTTTAAGAGTGACCACAACAACAACAACAACAACAAAGCCTTTTCCCACTAAGTGGGGTCGGCTATATGAATCCTAGAACGCCATTGCGCTCGGTTTTGTGTCATGTCCTCCGTTAGATCCAAGTACTCAAGTCTTTTCTTAGGGTCTCTTCCAAAGTTTTCCTAGGTCTTCCTCTACCCCTTCGGCCCTGAACCTCTGTCCCGTAGTCACATTTTCGAACCGGAGCGTCAGTAGGCCTTCTTTGCACATGTCCAAACCACTGGAACCGATTTTCTCTCATATTTCCTTCAATTTTGGCTACTCCTACTTTACCTCGGATATCCTCATTCCCAATCTTATCCTTTCTCGTGTGCCCATACATCCCACGAAGCATCCTTATCTCCGCTACACCCATTTTGTGTACGTGTTGATGCTTCACCGCCCAACATTCTGTGCCATACAACATCGCTGGCCTTATTGCCGTCCTATAAAATAAAATTTTCCCTTGAGCTTCAGTGGCCTACGACGGTCACACAACACGCCGGATGCACTCTTACACTTCATCCATCCAGCTTGTATTCTATGGTTGAGATCTCCATCTAATTCTCCGTTCTCTTGCAAGGATAGATCCTAGGTAGCGAAAACGGTCACTTTTTGTGATCTTCGCTAGATTGCTCCGGTCATTAGTGTGGATAAGTATATAAATGGATAGAGATAGGAAAGCAAACACAAGATGTACGTGGTTCACCCAGATTGGCTACGTCCACGGAATAGAGGAGTTCTCATTAATTGTGAAGGGTTTACACAAGTACATAGGTTCAAGCTCTCCTTTAGTGAGTACAAGTGAATGATTTAGTACAAATGACATTAGGAAATATTGTGGGAGAATGATCTCGTAACCACGAAACTTCTAAGTACCGGAGTGTGGTATCGTCTTGACTTTCCTTATCTGTCTCATAGGTAGATGTGGCATCTTCTCTGGAAGTACTCTTCCTCCATCCAGGGGTGGTATCTGTAACTGGTGGAGATGCACAAGGTAATGTATCAATTGTCACTTGAAGCTTACTTGTAGTTTCAGGCTTGGTCAAGCGCGATACAAACCATGTAGTAGGAGTCCCCTAAGTCGCCGAGCTAGGGGATCTGCTGAAAGAGATGACAGACAAGGTAAGCAATCAGAGCTCCGGCTGATTGTTCACATTCTCCCTATCTTGCATGCAGCATGAAGGATAAAGAGAAGAAAAATGAGAAGAGATGATATGGGATACTTTTTGCTTTTGAAGAAGTAACTTTCCACAGGCTTATTCTTGAACTGGGCTGGAGGGTTTTCTGGTTTCCTCCAGAGTATAAGGCCGACTGAAGAATTTGAGGGTCAAAACAAGTCCATCAAATCTAGAGTACGTTCGACCCTGCTGATATGAGATACTTTTGCTTTTGACAGAGTAGTGGATGTATCGGCACGTGTGCTGTTACGCTTGTCTCCACATGCTTCCTTGTATCCTTCTCACTTGCCCTATCTGTTCTTCAGGCGATTGCGGTATCTTCCCTGGAAGCATAAGATGTTGAAGATGAGTACTCGAGAGCAATGCCAGGTAAGTAATCAGGTAAGGGGTTCCAGGCAGTCAGTTCCTGGCTGGAAGCTTGATTCCAAGTGCTGACTGATTGCTCTCTTTCTCCTTGTCTTGCAGGTAAGAACAAGGCCAAAGGAAAAGACGGGAAAAAAGCATGATATGGGATACTCTTGCTTTTAACCCTGATGATATGAGATATTCTTGCTCTAGTATAGCTTGTTTACAGAGGTATTATCGGGGGGAAAGAAAGCTGAATATTTCGAAAGGCTTCGTTGGGAGTGCCCTCTCAGATAAGAGGAAGGGTTGAGCATTTTTGCAGGTCTGCCTGTCCGTTGGGGATGGAGGTCGACATATATAGGAGTCTCCCTAACATCAAGTAATAATGCTATTCCTTTACCCTGCTTGGTCATAGCACGGTAGTGGGAGCTGCCAGCTTCACAAGTTTTAACTCTGTCAGAGCACTTTGAAAAAGTGGGTCTGTGGTATCTGGAAAAGCTGATGTTGCGTGTGTGAAGATTACAGACAAGCTTTATCCAAGGAGATCCAGCTCTTGAAGTTGGGAAAGTGGTGCCTCTTTGGTTTTCGAACAAGCAATCCTGTCAGGGATCCAGCTCTTGAGATTCGGAGAACGATGCCTTTTCGATTTTTGAGAAAGCAATCCTGCTGGAGGTCTGGCTCTCGAGATTCGGAGAGCGGATGTCTCTTCGATTTTTGAGAAAGTAATCATGTTGGGAGTCTGGCTCTCGAGATTCGGAGGAGCGGGTGCCTCTTCGATTTTGGAGCAAGCAATCTTGTTGGGAGTGTTTTCTCGAATGTGAGTAAAGGTTGGGCATGTTTGCTAGTCTACCTTGCCACGAAGCACAGAGGTTGACACACCGGGACTTTCCAATTATCCAGCAGTGGTACTGTTCCTTTACCCTTGTGGGTAATAATATGGTAGCTAGACCTTCAAAATTTATGTGTCTAAACTTTGTTAGTGTTGTTTCTTTGCTATTCTTTTACCCTTCTTGGTCAGAGCGATGTAGTGGGAGCTGCAAGCTTCACGTGTCTCAACTTTGTCAGAGAACTTTGGCAAAGTTATCTGTGGTACCCATGAGCTACTGTTGCGTGTGGGAAGTGGGTGATTGAACAGTACGATTCATGTGCTTTCTACTTCACCAGAAATCTTCGACAGAATGCCCATAATTTCCGCAAAGCTGAGTGTGCGTGTGACAGGTGCTGACAAGGCTGGAAAAGTAGGTGCCTCTTCGATTTCTAAGATCGGCCCTCGTGGTCTCTGAGCAGCCCAGCTTTTGAGAAAGCAAGCCTCTTCGATTTCTGAGATCGGCCTTCGTGGTCTTTGAGCAGCCCAGCTTTTGAGAAAGCAAACGCCTCTTCGATTTCTGAGATCAAACCCTCGTGGTCTCTGAGCAGCCCAGCTTTTGAGAAAGCAAACGCCTCTTCGATTTCTGAGCAGGCGCCTCTTCGATTTCTGAAGCTTCGTCGAGTGCAGATTTTTTATAGGGGCTGACATTAAGTTCCAAAGCACACTTGAATATCCACCAGTAGAAGCTCCATTCTTGCACTTCTAAGATCTTGATTTGTCCGACCTCTTCTCTCTTCAACACCTTTGAAAATGTCTGGCCCCTCCGACCGTCGTTTTGACTTGAACCTTGTTGAAGAGGCAGCCCCGCCTTCTTCAGACAACATATGGCGCCCATCCTTCGTCTCCCCTACTGGTCCTCTTACCGTTGGGGATTCCGTGATGAAGAATGATATGACCGCTGCGGTAGTGGCCTAGGAACCTTCTCACTCCCAAAGATAACAGACTACTTTCCAAACGGTCTGATGAGTTGGCTGTTAAGGATTCTCTGGCTCTTCAGTGTTCAGTGTGCAGGTTCTGTGTCTAATATGGCCCAACGCCTATTTGCTCGAACCCGCCAAGTTGAATCATTGGCGGCTGAAGTGATGAGTCTCAAACAGGAGATTAGAGGGCTCAAGCATGAGAATAAACAGTTGCACCGGCTCGCACATGACTATGCTACAAACATGAAGAGGAAGCTTGACCAGATGAAGGAATCTGATGGTCAGGTTTTACTTGATCATCAGAGATTTGTGGGTTTGTTCCAAAGGCATTTATTGCCTTCGTCTTCTGGGGCTGTACCGCGTAATGAAGCTCCAAATGATCAACCTCTGATGCCTCCTCCTTCTAGGGTTCTGTCCAGTACTGAGGCTCCGAATGATCCCCCTCCGGTGCCTTCTCTTTCTGGGGCTCTACCGACTGCTGAGACTTCTCCTAAGCAACCTTTGTGAAGGCTCCCTCTTGTTTGTTTATTTTGACTCAAGTATATGTACATATTTGTAACTTATCGGGGATATCAATAAATAAGCTTTCCTTCATTTCAACGTATTGTGTTAAATACACCAAAAGCCTTCTTCGCTAAGTTCTTTGAATTTTTCTTTTGTTGAAGCTTTGTGAGTGGAGCATGTAGGTTGAGGTAGTGTTCCCTTAATTTCCCGAGTGAGGAAAACTTCTCGGTTGGAGACTTGGAAAATCCAAGTCACTGAGTGGGATCGGCTATATGAATCTTAGAACGCCATTGTGTTCTGTCCTGTGTCATGTCCTCCGTTAGATCCAAGTACTCTAAGTCTTTTCTTAGGGTCTCTTCCAAAGTTTTCCTAGGTCTTCCTCTACCCCTTCGGCCCTGAACCTCTGTCCCATAGTCGCATCTTCTAATCGGAGCGTCAGTAGGCCTTCTTTGCACATGTCCAAACCACCGTAACCGATTTTCTCTCATCTTTCCTTCAATTTCGGCTACTCCTACTTTACCCCGGATATCCTCATTCCATAATCTTATCCTTTCTTCGTGTGCCCACACATCCAACGAAGCATCCTCATCTCCGCTACACCCATTTTGTGTACGTGTTGATGCTTCACCGCCCAACATTCTGTGCCATACAGCATCGCCGGCCTTATTGCCGTTCCTATAAAATTTTCCCTTGAGCTTCAGTGGCATACGGCGGTCACACAATACGCCGGATGCACTCTCTTCCACTTCATCCATCCAGCTTGTATTCTATGGTTGAGATCTCCATCTAATTCTCCGTTCTTTTGCAAGATAGATCCTAGGTAACGAAAACGGTCGCTCTTTGGTATTTCTTGATCTCCGATCCTCACCCCTAACTCGTTTTGGCCTCCATTTGCACTGAACTTGCACTCCATATATTCTGTCTTTGATCGGCTTAGGCGAAGACCTTTAGATTCCAACACTTCTCTCCAAAGGTTAAGCTTTGCATTTACCCCTTCCTGAGTTTCATCTATCAACACTATATCGTCTGCGAAAAGCATACACCAAGGAATATCATCTTGAATATGTCCTGTTAACTCATCCATTACCAACGCAAAAAGGTAAGGACTTAAGGATGAGCCTTGATGTAATCCTACAGTTATGGGAAAGCTTTCGGTTTGTCCTTCATGAGTTCTTACGGCAGTCTTTGCTCCTTCATACATATCCTGTATAGCTTGGATATATGCTACTCGTACTCCTTTCTTCTCTAAAATCCTCCAAAGAATGTCTCTTGGGACCCTATCATACGCTTTTTCCAAATCTATAAAGACCATGTGTAAATCCTTTTTCCCATCTCTATATCTTTCCATCAATCTTCGTAAGAGATAGATTGCCTCCATGGTTGAGCGCCCTGGCATGAACCCGAATTGGTTGTCCGAAACCCGTGTCTCTTGCCTCAATCTATGCTCAATGACTCTCTCCCAGAGCTTCATTGTATGACTCATTAGCTTAATACCCCTATAGTTCATGCAATTTTGTACATCACCCTTATTCTTGTAGATAGGCACCAAAGTGCTCGTTCGCCACTCATTTGGCATCTTCTTCGTTTTCAAAATCCTATTGAAAAGGTCAGTGAGCCATGTTATACCTGTCTCTCCCAAAACTTTCCACACTTCAATTGGTATATCGTCTAGGTCTACTGCTTTTCTATGCTTCATCTTCTTCAAAGCTACAACCACTTCTTCCTTCCGAATTCTACGATAAAAAAGAGTAGTTTCTACACTCTTCTGAGTTACTCAACTCCCCTAAAGAAGCACTCCTTTCATGTCCTTCATTGAAAAGATTATGAAAATAACCTTTCCATCTGTCTTTAACCGCGTTCTCTGTAGCAAGAACCTTTCCATCCTCATCCTTGATGCACCTCACTTGGTTTAGGTCCCTTGTCTTTCTTTTCCCTTGCTCTAGCTAGTTTATAGATATCCAACTCTCCTTCTTTGGTATCTAGTCGCTTATACATATCGTCATAAGCCGCTAACTTAGCTTCTCTCACAGCTTTCTTCGCCTCTTGCTTCGCTTTTCTATACCTTTCACCATTTTCATCGGTCCTATCCTTGTATAAGGCTTTACAACATTCCTTCTTAGCCTTCACCTTTGTTTGTACCTCCTCATTCCACCACCAAGATTCCTTTTGGTGTGGGGCAAAGCCCTTGGACTCTCCTAATACCTCTTTTGCTACTTTTCGGATACAACTAGCCATGGAATCCCACATTTGGTTAGCTTCCCCCTCTCTATCCCACACACACTGGGTGATTACTTTCTCTTTGAAAATGGCTTGTTTTTCTTCTTTTAGATTCCACCATCTAGTCCTTGGGCACTTCCAAGTCTTGTTCTTTTTTCTCACTCTTTTGATATTTACATCCATCACCAACAAGCGATGTTGATTAGCCACGCTCTCTCCTGGTATAACTTTGCAATCCTTACAAGTTATACGATCCCCTTTCCTCATTAGGAGAAAATCTATTTGTGTTTTTGACGACCCACTCTTGTAGGTGATCACATGTTCTTCTCTCTTCTTAAAGAAGGTGTTGGCTAAGAAGAGATCATATGCCATTGCAAAATTCAAGATAGCTTCCCCATCCTCATTTCTCTCCCCAAAACCATGGCCACCATAAAAACCTCCATAGTTGTCTGTCTCCCTGCCCACGTGTCCATTTAAATCTCCTCCTATAAATAACTTCTCCGTCTGAGCAATTCCTTGCACCAAGTCTCCAAGGTCTTCCCAAAATTTCTCCTTCGAACTCGTATCCAACCCTACTTGAGGTGCGTACGCACTAATCACATTGATAAGTTCTTGTCCTATTACAATCTTGATTGACATGATTCTATCTCCTACCCTCTTAACATCTACAACATCTTGTGTCAAGGTCTTGTCCACGATGATGCCAACACCGTTTCTCGTTCTATTTGTGCCCGAATACCATAGTTTAAACCCTGAGTTTTCTAGATCCTTTGCCTTACGCCCAACCCACTTAGTTTCTTGTAGGCACATAATATTTATCCTTCTCCTCACCATAACTGCTACTACTTCCATAGATTTTCCCGTCAAGGTTCCTATATTCCACGTTCCTAAACGCATTTTGCTCTCTTGAACTCTACCCTTCTGTCCTAGCTTCTTCACCCTTCCCCGTCTAATAGGATCAAAGTACTTCTTTTGTGTGTCCCGTGTAAAGTTGATAGGAGCATATGCTCCCAAACAACTTTGAGTGGAGTCGTTCGAAAAGAAGTTTCTATAGCCCCCTTGCTCATTTAACACTGCATCCGGGTGCCGATGGAGATATAGCGACCCTTGCTCACTTATCACTGTGCTCGGGCCACACAGCGCGCCACTTACGGGTGACGCCCTAGCTTTAGCGCGATTTCGTTCTGGATTCATTTTCGTAAGGATTCGACGTAATCATGGAGTGCCGGCTGTCGACTACCTGACGCCCTCCCCCTCCTCCTTTATCCGGGCTTGGGACCGGCAATGTAAGATAAACTTACACGGCGGAGTTAAGGTTTTAAGAGTGACCAATCATGGTAAATGCAGGAAAGGATATTAAAGTGGTTGTTGCCGAAACTCGAAAGGACAAAAACACACCTGTTGTGCCGAAGGTTTCTACATTACGCTTTGCTTTGAACTAAAGTTGTTTCTTGTTTAGGTGCTTACGTGATAGATTGTTGGTCTTTGATGTTCGTGCTGTTTCATGTCATGTTGTTTATTGTTTCACTTCATGTTCCTTTTTGTGTTGTTTTTTTTGCCATATAGAGATAGATGGTGTCCGTTAAGTTGGCACGTTGATTCATTGATATGTAGTAACCCAGATTTAGTTTACCTGCAGGCGGTGATGTGAAGCAGATCACGGCCAAAAACCAACCACCGAATATGATTGAGGTCTAATTGTGTCCTTGTAACCATATATTATAACCTTACACAGTTTTCTAAATTCCAGATAATGTAAGATGACTTCCTTCACTACCATATTAGATGTAATTTTGGTAATTTTCATAGTGAATAGATTTACAACTAGCAATACGATTGACCCTTGCAAAATCATTGATGATTAAGCCTTAATACAAGCAAGCAAGCCCCCTTTAACAAAATTCATGCATTAGAATCGTTATGGTGTATTTGTTGATAAGCCTAAAAGTTCATAGTGAACATCACTTATATGAGCTCTGCAATTTCTTTAATTTCTTTGGCGATTTAATCTTGTATAAATGTCATAAATTGCGGCTAAGATTGTGCTTTCAGCATGTATTTATTAATGTTCAATACATACGATTATTTTTTTCTTTTGTAATTTCATGTTTGACATTCTCTGGCAACCTACAACATCTGGTCATTTGTTTAGTCTTGATTTTGCTTGAACTTGGGTAATATGATTTGTATTGGTTGGAGAGGATTCATTTCTTTTCTAAGCTACCATTTGTAGTTTTCTTAAGATTTGAGAGGCTACCGATATGATATTTGTGCTGCACGTTTTTCAGGTATTCACTGCTGAGTATTCTCTAATATGCAATATCTCCGAGTACAAGAAGCCCATATAAGCTTCATGGATGGCATAACAGTGGGCTTTGGTATTGGCCTATCAGGTCACAGTCGCTACCGGATCATTACAGAGGCATTATTGCCCGGTCAGACAGAGATTGTCAATGTTGTCAATTACATTGCAATGGCTTTTTTAATTTTGTGTGTCAAACTTTGTATGGATACATTTCTGAGGACTGTTCTTGCTATGCCAGAGAATGGAATTGGTTTGTTCCCAGATGGGTTTTCACATATAGAGGCAAAGAGTCTGGGAGGAGTATCTGCAGGTATGCCTTTTCTATCCTCAGACGCAATTTCCAATGCTTCAGTGGGTTTAACTTTAGTTGCCATCATCACATTGTCCAATGCGTTTCTTGAGATAAAAGCAACTCCATTGTTGAATCAGTTCCCAGGATCCCCATCAGGACATTGAAACAATTGTGGTGAAATTCACCAGCTACCCAGATTCTGAAGCGCAACTCAAGACTCTTTTACCTCAAATAACTTCAGCATTTGGTGCAGATAAGTTGGTTCTTGAGACAATTGATGAACTTAAAAAGCAGCATCAGAGTTCAGATGCTACTGGTAAGTTTTTTAATGCCATTTGTCTATTGAGCAGCTTGTATGTCGCTGTCAAGTATTTTGTATAAATTGTTTGTATTGCAGTGGTGAGTGGGCTAACGAAGCTCTTTAAGGTCTTGGAAAGGGTGCTCTGTTTTCACTTTTTTGACACAAAATTATTTCGCTAAAGTTGCATCCGTGCTTGGGAAAAATGACAATCAATTATCCAGAGTGAGTCTGGACTTTGTACCTTTTCGTTTCTTGCATCACATGGTTGCATCCTTTTGATAGGTTTTGCGTTGTAGTATTTCAAATTTTCAGAAAGTAACATGTGCTTTACTTGACCAATACCAGTTAACTGGTGTGATGAAACTGAATATCACGTTGCTATAAGATCGTCTTTACGGAATGATTTTGCTGAAGGTGTACGGCAGTTTTGGTGGACAAGGATCAGGTTCGTTAATTATGCTCAAGATTCCTTGCTATAAAATCACTTGCTGACGCAGTTGCTGCAACATAAACCATTACAGCCTCTACTAGACCTACGGTTGTATAATCATCTTACTTTCCGTATATCAACGAATCTTTATCTCTGGCTTCTGTTTCTTGTCAATGCAGAATCCGAAGTGGAATCCGTCAAAGTTAGAGGAGGTGAATCAGAGTGAAGTGGAAGCTCTCTTCGAGCCATTGAGCCCGAACATTAAGGAGTTGAGTATGTGACTGACCGACTGGCATGTGAAAACAGAACCATTGAAACATAATTACCATTGTGGAAAATTAAGTTAAATGAAACTACATGAGAAGAAAGCACTTTCACTTTCACTTGGACGCTTTTAGTGCTTTTGTACTGTGATGTGGTTAACTAACATTGTGATTCTCCTTACATTAAATGGCTCAACTACAAAAGCATGAGGTCTTTTGTGCCTTAAAACTTATTCATGATTAAGTTGAAGACAATATCGATGTTGATTATTAGTGGATTGCATTTCTTTCTTCTCTGATCATATCCTCCTCTTGGATTTTAAATTTAGTTGTGTAACAGTTGCTTGGGAAGTTGAAAATCATTAACGTTAGTCATACACATGACCTAACAAAACCATCAGACTTTTCAAAGCTTCAGTGGTCATTCAAAGCTCGAAACAATATATTTGGATTAGTGCGAAAATCTTCTCGCAATCCCCAATTTACCAACAAATTTGAAAGACAAGGTGATTATCTTTGCAGTGACATATATCGGACGATAAGCTGATCAGTTTACTAGCCGGGGATTAAGTTTTTATTGGTGTGAGGCCGATTGACTTTGCAAATGGTGATTCTGTGAGCGTGAAGAAAGTAGGGGTTAAACACTTGCCAAGGAATCCAGCTGCCTGATGAGCATACATTAGTTAATTAGCTCCAATAAGATTTGGGTCGTTACTTTCATATAATCATATCATATTTTATACGTAAATATTATTATTTATTTTATATTATAATGGATCGAAAGCCTCTGCAGTTTCGTGCTAGTTTCGTGCTAATTACATTCATTGCATATAACACTTGAAAAAGCTAATGATGTTTTTCAACATTGTTTAGCCTGTAGCAAGCTTAGTTTGACTGGTATACTCTTAATATTGCATTTGTAATTTATGCAGTTATCATTGGTCCAACTTTTTTAATAAACAATTATCTCTTCGCACTTTGAAAAAATAGATTTTTAATTTTTCTTTTAGTATCTAAATTTGTTCCGTTCATGATAAGGTTACATATAAATTGCATTACCATTCGTAATTTTTTGTTTTTCACTCGCACATTATTTATGAAAATTAAAGTTATAAAATATTTCATAAGATTTTCAGTCCCACAACGGTGTACTGGTACAAATTTCTAGTTAAGAATTAATTATAGAAAAATGATTTTCGACTCAAAAAACTTTAATCAAAAGGACAATTACCACCGCCCATCTTCATGTATAATAGTTTATTCTGGAATCTACCAAAGTTGTCTGAAAAAGAATGCGGTCATCTCACTTTCGGTCTTTTTCGAATCACTTTTGATTATTAAGTGGTTGTTGTCATGCAACTGCCCAATTTAGTTTTATGTCACTTACTTGGGAAGTAAAATCAACAGAGTTTTCAAAGCTTCAGTGGTCTTTAAAAGCTTGAAACACTGTATTCAGATTAGTGCGAAAATCTTCGTGCAATCCCCAATTTACCAACAAATTTGAAGGACAAGGCAATTATCTTTGGCTCTCGTTGCAATTGCATGCAATTTGCAGCCCGTACTCCAAGTCCAAGTCATATAAAAAGACACTGTTAGCTCCCTTGTCCTTTCAAAACAATGTTTATATATTGGCATCCATTTGGGTGTATTATATGTTCGAGGATGTGAAAGTAAAAGAGTCTTGTATAGGTCAAAAGAGAAATCTTGCAAACGCTTATAAGAGGTTGAGCTACTTTTTATATCGTCAATTAATTTTATGGTTAAACCTCAACTTTTTTCAATATGGTTCATTTGCCTAGTAACAAAAAAAGTTTAATCCTATTGCACATTATGTAGTCCCCCATATGCCTCCTTGAAATCCCTAAGAACTATATTATAGCACCTGTTAATAGTTAATACAATAATGATTCTAGGTTTGAATCTTCTAAATGGCTGAATCAACTACCGCCCATCTTGAATAATTGTTTTTAATTATCCTTTCACATTTGCGTCCACTTTTGTTTATTATGTGGTTGTTGTCATGCTACTTCTCAAATACTTCTACATTTCAACCAAAATTAATGCATTATTGATGGTTGAGATGTAATGACTACCAAGAAGTCATTGTTTTATAATGTATTCGATAGTCTTTGTTCTTTCATGTTCGTTTCTTTCCTCTTTACCTCTCTCTTACTTTTTGTGCACATTCCCGGCCTATGTTGTTTCTCAAGTCCGTGCGCCAACATTATCATATTATAAACTTCTGTTTTTGTTAACTGAAGGAGCTTGACTTGTGTTTAGGTATTTCAATATCATCCGTTAGGCAACACAAACACAACCACTGCCATATTTTCAGCCATGATCAATTTACTCCATATATTCATATACACGAAAGTTCAAATCTTGTTCGGAATTTTGAAAATTTTAATTTAGATAAATCCCTTTTGTAAAAATATAAATATTGTCATAATCATAACAAAGGGAGTGTTTCACTTTCACTCACTATACGAAATTTTTCGAAAAATTTAATTTAGACGAATCCCTTTTGTAAAAATATAAATATAAATATTGTAATAATGTGAAAAGTGAACCATTTTATTTAGGGAAGAATGTGAAAAGGAACTTAGTCAAATGGAGAGACGCGTAATCAACAGCACAATATTTAATTATGGAATGATCTTTTTCCACCGTCCGTATCCATTAGAAAGATGTAAGAAATCTCTCTTAAAGACTATCTGTTATTTAATGTATTTAACATAATATTTTATAATATTTACATAAAAATATACTAATACTGTCGAAGTTAATCAAATTTTACAAGGTCCCATTACGTTTGAGACATTACACTAAAGTGTTGTTAGCGTAATATCTCATACGTAAGGGAATTTTGTGAAAACTTAATAAATCTCAGATAATGTTAGTTATTAATCTCAAAAACATGAGATGCTAAAAAGTTCGCAAAAAGTTTCGATTTTGAGAGAGTCTTTTTAGTATTCTTTCTTCATATAATAGTTTATTATGGACTCAACAAAAGTTGTGTTGAAAAAGAAGGAAATTGATATTCTTCGGATCCCTTCCACCTAATCCACCTAATTCACTAATTCGAATCTTTAAAATTTGATTTAACGACTACAAATAGGGGCTTCATTAAAAGTTATAATAATTTTAGTTGTTTAAATAAATTTCAAGAACTCAAATGGTTGACTCAGGTGAATTAGATGGAAGGGATCGGAAAAAAAATCCCTTTACAAAAAAGAATGCCAATCTCACTCTCCATCTTTTCTTGGATCTCGGTCCATGAAAATTTACAAAAGTTAAATAGTTGTAATCACGGTCAAGAATCTTTTGGATAAACTTTCCATTCATTTTTTCCTCTCTTTTACCACGGCACATCTTCATATATAATAATAGTTTATTATGGAATCTTCAGAAGTTGCTTTAAAAAAGAATGCAATCATATCACTCTCCATCTTTTCTTCTCTCAAAGTAGCTATTTGTATTATGAGTTTGGGTAATGCTTTAGATTTATAAATAAAATTTACAAATTAAATAACGTGTCTTTAGTGATAATGAGTACATTTATTAACGTTTAAGTAATAATTCAACGATCAACTTCCATGTCATTTAGTTTACAAAATTTTATTTACAAATTTAGTATCCCTATAATTACTCTATGAATGTGTTTGTTGCACCGGATTGTCTTGGACTAGACTAACTTCAGGAACTAAGCTGGATTGACTTAGACTAGACTAAGTTGGATTAGCTTAGTAAAGCGTTTGGTGCAGTGTCGGACCAAGAAGTAGGATAATAATAAATTCTAATATGATATTATTTAATCTAATATATATTAATATTTTATTATTTAGTCTATTTTTCTTTTTCTAAATTTTCTTCCTCTTTCCCCAAAATTTATTCCACACATTCAAACAATTACAGAGCAAATCAAATGCCAATACCAGATCACATCAAACCCAATTCGAAATCAAAACCTAATTTAAATCAAAACCAAATGAAAACAAGAATCCCAAGCCGCTGCCCTTGATGTGGAACACGTCGCTGTCATCCCAATCCAGCCAACGTCTTCATTGCCGTCGTAGGCTTTGGCGTTCTTGGCCTCCCATATTCCTTCAAGTGCACTGGGTGGCTCACCCATCATCAAGTTCACAAGATCTCGTCAATTGCGTAAAGTCGACAAATACGAGGTCGAGTTCAAAGCGAATCAGACGAGTCCAAGGTCGAGTTTGAAGTGCAGCGAAGCGAAGCAGACAGCTAGAGCTGGACGAATTACTGTAAGAACGGGATCTTCCTCAGTTCGAAATTTTGGGTTCATGTGAAGAGAGAGGGAGAAAGTGGTGGTGGGTTGGTGGTGTGATCTCACTGGAGTTGGTGAGTTGTGGTGTGATGGTGCTCAAGATAATAGAGAGCATAGAGAGGATGAGACATAGCATACAAAGATGGAGTATACGAGGTCTTAGCAATCCCATGGGCATTGGGGGATCTCGCTAAGAACTCCTAGTGAAGGAGTTTGTCCGTGTGACTCCCCTTTAGTCTCATGAAACATAATCCCTCTACAGAAGAAACACGGGACTGGACTAATAGTTAGTCCAGTGATACTTAGTGAGGGCAAACAAACGCCCCCTATATGACTTATGAATTCTTCAACCTTTTTCTTATGCCTGATTATGTTTATCCATGTGACATAAGAGTTTTGTTCTTCTAGATTTCAGGATCCAGGAAAATTACTCAATATAAAAAATGGTTAAATAACCGCTTACCGACGGTATTAAGATCGAACAATAGGTGATCATAATTTTCTTGAACCCAGAGATCTATGAGAACAAGTAATTACTGTTCTAAAAACCCATGTCTAGCGCTAGGCAGTTGTCCACCACCCTAATTAGTCCCTAATCATTTAAAAATTAAGAAAGTGCTCTAGACTTGCTTAGGCGTCCGCCTAACCCACTTAAACCTGCCTAGCCCGCAACTTTCATTTAGACAGAAAATCGATAACACTCATTTTGTTTTTTGTTTTCCAATAAATATTTGGATAAACCCTCATTATATGATTGTTCATTATGTTCTAGTAATTTATAATCTATATGTCATTTTATTTTGCAATTTATATATTTCGATACAATTGTGTGTCATTTTAAGTATAAAAAGGCATTTATTTATACAATATATAATAAATTTACTTAAATCTGCTTAGGCCCCGCCCGCCTCTCGACTAGCACCTAGCATATTTTATAACCTCGTAATATATGGACCTAGCTCTTGTTATGGAATATTATTGATTAATTATATAAGGATAATGCTAGGGAGACCAAATTTTTAAACCAAATGATATGTCACCAATAAGAAATAAACATATTAATCGACACTTAGTAATAACCCAATCATCTATAACTACATCATTTAATTTACAAATTTAGTTTAAAAAATTTGATCTCCCTAACATTATTCATTATATAAACCAAGCCCAGTCTTGACTCTTGTGTATTATGATGCTTCTTTCTTCAATGGATGGGTTCACAATCATGCGTTAACAATCATGTTGCCTGCCAAAATTGAGGGCTCAAATCACGCTATTTGTATTCTTAGTGTCTCCTTTCTTTTGTTTCTGTTTTTCTGTCCTGCTCTTTTTATTTTGCGCTTTTTTTGTCTTTTTTGTATAATTCGAAATTGTAAATTTTGTATTTTTTCATGTTTAATTTCTAAAAATAATTTTCTTACTGGACCCTATTACCAGTATGCTTTTGGGTTAGACAGAAAGAGTCAGAAAAGAAAAATCACTCGTTCTTAAAAACAACATTTTTAAGAGCAAATTGTGTTCTTTCACCTACTCTCTTTATCACCCAATTATATATTATACTAGCAATATTGCCCGCGCGATGCTGCGGGCGTGAAATTCAACATGTTCAAATGCATTCTTAAGCAGTATCAATTTGAATGCAATTAATCAAAGCACATGTTGCAGCATACCTTGTAATTTGTCCAAGGTGGAATTATTTTGTGATAAGGTATTGGAAAAACAAAGTTTAAACCTGTTATAGAACAATATTTCAATCAAACAGATATGGGATCACATTGACCATAAACTATTACAATATTCCATAGTTCATTACATTAGCATATCTAGCCATTAGAACCTCGAAGACATAACTAATCAGTGTTATAGAAACTTACCACGAAATTAACAAAAGAGAATAGAAGACAGTAAGCTTCATTCGGTTTCATAGCATATCATATTCGTTTAAGAAAACCTCCTTGCAGTTTGTCGTTCAACAAATCCTACTCAGAGTAAACATAACAGTAATAACTCATAGGAGCATAAAATATAACCATTAAATTAAATTCAACAGAACATAAAATATAATGCCTACTATGCGTATAACTCCATAAACTCCTTACCACGCAAACCTTGAGAGGTCCAATAGGTCTAAAAGTCTCAAAACCCTCTCCATATTTAGCTTCAATGCCTGAAAACACTGAAAAACGGAGGAAAAAACATAAATTCATCAAAATTCCTATCTTATTTACACATATTTACAACTATGTTTACCTTGTTCTTAATTGCTAAAAGAACTGAGTTTCTTCAATCGATTCTCAAATGCATTTAATAAGATATGTTAAACAAACATATGTTGAACTACCAATGTAAGTGTACCATGAGAAGAAAAACTAAATTTTCAATTGCTCATCAATAATTAAAACTGACATATGTTAAAGGATGCATATGAGAAGAAAATAGACTTTTCAATTTGTCCATCTCACATTTTTTATTAAGTTGACTCACCAAGGTATCAGCCAACATCACATAAGAATATGCATATTCCAAGAGGAATGTGACTAACCAGAGAGATTGGTGATGGCATTTGAGATAGCAAGGGCAGTGGAGACACCTTTCCCTCATCTAGACATGTCTCCTCCGAGTAACAGCTTTGCGAAACTCTCCATCATTTAAACATCTGCAATCACAAAATAAATACGAAATAATTAAAAGTTTAAAAAACAAATAAATCATGTTATTTAGAACAGAATCAGATAACAAAATTTTCAGCTGCACATAAATTGGTATCTATTTTCACTGAGTTTTCAGGATGTGAATATTACTGGACATCCCCTAAATTTTCTCGGAATCCAAACAGTGAGCAAGAATTTCCCAGAAGCCCAAATTTAGAAAGAACAAAAAACATTTAAACATAAAAAGGAAACAAATAAACAAAACAAAATGAAATACCAGATAAAACACTCGATTAAAAAAAACTAAGCAGAACAAAAAGCCAATGACAAAAAATATGACCATATGTAGCAAATCCAAAGCACACCCCAGAATCTTAATAGAGACAGAAATAAGAAGCAGCTTTCAAATAAAAAAAAGACATAAAACTAATTTAATGGTACCTAATTTAGCATGTGGGGGATTCAAATTGGATGTTCATAACTAATAATATTTCACAGAGTGTTTACAATTAGGTAAACTGTGTCCTAAATCATGTTTGCATACTGTCTTCTACTCTACTCTGTTCAAGTGTATATCGTGTTGGACTCAAACCCAACATTAACCTGCAAAAATAACGTTAAAATGTTTTTGTTTCGAATGATCTGATACCTGAGAATAGAGAAACATATATGATAATAGAGAAAGGCCAAAAATAAGAAGCACCCATTCACTAAACCACCCCTTCAAATCAACACACAGTCAGCATGCAGAGAAAGATTGCTTTGGACATAAAGCTTAACATTTTACCTGCAAGCCCGCTGTTTGAGATAAACAACACCAAATCATTATATCCCTTAAAACACGAAAATCAGGAACTTTCTCCTGAATATTTTGTGAAATAAAGAACGGAATATTTGAGAGGAATGGAGGATTTGAGAAAAAACAGAGGGCGAGACGAAGAGACGAAATCAGAGAATCACCAGTGCAAAGAAAAGGCTAAACCTAAAAGAAGACTCTTGAAGTGAAGAGCTCAACGATGACTGACGCGTGGAAAGAACGGGCAAAACTGTCATTTTACTGTTAAGATCGAAAAATAAAAGGGCAAACAAACAGCAAAACAGGGGCTAAAACGTAAAATCACTGTTAATGAACAGTGTTCATCAATTGAGTTTTAGTGTATATAATATACTGAAAGCCTTAAGGGAAGGGATTCCTATTTTTCAAAAAAAATGGGAACACCCTATTGATCGTTAAATATAGCTTTAATGAAATTCTATGGTTGAGATTCTGTGGTTTGTGATTTAATCTCAACCACAAAATTTCGTTAAAGTCAAATCTAACAGTAAAAAAGGTGTCCACATTTAAAAAAACAAGAATGGAAATCCCTTCTCTTAGAGCAACTCCACCCATGCATGTAGGCCGGGGGACAGGGGAAAAGAAAGGCCCGAGGGCTAGTCAATCAGCTCCAGTCTTGAAGAGCCCGAGCTCGTGGAGAAGGCCCGAGCAGAAGGCCTGTCAATTTGTGACAGCCGTGAGCCCGAGCTCTTCACCCATTTTTTTTTTTTTTGTCAGGCGCGTGCACCCCACTCGCGCGTGGGGGCGCGTCGCCTGACAGCTTTTCAGAAAAGCAGCCCACTTTTGCAGTTGTCTCAGTTACCATTGGGAAGCCACGTGGTTTCCCACGGTCCGTTCGATCTCAACGGCTCTTTCATTTGGACTGTTGGATCTCAACGGTAAAAAAAATAAAACAAATCTTATTTAATATCAACCGTTCGATTTCAGATCAACGGTCGATATTAATATGCTTTATAAATAAAGAAAAAATAGTTTTAAAATTAAGAAAAATTACCGTTGTGACACGTGGCACAATCTGGAGTGTTGGAATTCAATTTTTTTTAAATCCAACGGCAGAGATTAATTATTTGAAAAAAAAATTAAAAAAAATGGAAAAAATCCGAAAAAATTGTAAAAAATCTAAAAAAAAAAATTTGTAAAAAATTGTTTTTACTTTTCTATAAATACCACTTCTTCTCCATCTACCTTACACCACAATTTCATATTTTCTTACCAATTGGAATTACATAAACACACCAAATAAAATTACATAAACATACGAAATAATAAAAAACTCACTACAAAAAACACACCAAATAAAATTACATAAACATACCAAATACAAACAAACATACTAAATAAACTTAAGTATCTTCAGCTTGTTTTAATGTCCACTGGTGCTCTATCAAGTCAATTTGCCGATCATTGTGCATAGATGACATTTGAAGTGCAGTATATCGTTGAATGACCATTTCATTGTAACGTTCATCCCTTTCTAATGGCTCATGTTGCACGGGTTCTTTGGTGGCATCATGCGCACAATATATCCGTGTTCTTGAATTGTTCATCGTGTCTGGCTCTGGCTCATATTCATCAACCGCATCATAATCGAACTCATCTTCCACAATCATATTGTGAAGAATGACGCATGTCATCATGATGGATCAAAGTGACTCTACATCGAACATTCTGGCAGCACCCCTGACGATCGCCCAACGAGCTTGAAGGATACCAAAACAACGCTCCACATCCTTCCTGCACCCCTTTTGACAGCTTGCAAAGTGTTTTTCCTTTGCACTTCGCGGACGTGGCACTGTTTTGACAAATGTTTCCCACCGTGGGTAAATGCCGTCAGCTAGATAGTATGGCCCGTCGTACCTACGTCCGTTGACGATGTACGTGACTTTTGGTGCCTTTCCTTGCAGGATGTCGTTGAACGCTGGGGATTGGGCAAGGACGTTGAGATCATTTTGAGCCCCCGGAACCCCGAAAAAGGCGTGCCATATCCATGTATCAAAAGATGCCACTGCCTCCAAAATGATAGTTTTTGATCCTTTTATGTCCCCATATGCGCCTTGCCATGCACTTGGACAATTTTTCCACGTCCAGTGCATACAATTGATGCTTCCTATCATCCCAGGAAAACCTCGCATCTCGCCCTTCTTCAGAAGCCTTTGCAAGTCCCTACAAGTAGGTTTTCGGAGGTACTATGCGGTGTACAAAGATTCGACTGCTCCGCAAAACCTCATAAGGGCCTCAAGAATGGTTGATTTCCCCATCCTCGTTATCTCATCCACTTGGTCTACAGATGCTCCATACGCAAGCATCCGCAACGCAACAGTGATTTTTTGCTCAGGCAGGAAACCCATAACACCACAAGCATCATTCTTTTGCACAAAGTAAGAATCATGGTTGTAAACATCAGTCATGATTCTGTTGAACAAATGTCGTTCCATTCTAAAACGACGTCTGAAGTACGTATCAGGAAATGCACTGTTATGGACAAAGTAATCGTCCAATAGCTCTTCACCCCATCGTTGCCTGCTTCTACCAAGGTTTCTTGAACGGTTGGGCATGCATATCTGAGCAACAGTCTGGATGACTCAACGGGAATGTGAGGCTCTGGCCATTCTTGTTTCGTCGTCTCTCCTTCTACGCTCCTCATCCTCATCCATCTCATTTTCGGCTATCTGAAGGTTGAACATTCCTTCAGATTGGTTAAACAATTCTTCCTCTTGCTGATCGATTTCCCACATCATCCTTGATGAAGAAGAAGACATTGTAATGATGGATGGTGAAGAAGAAGCAGAAACTATGAATAATGAGATAGAAATGTTGAGAAATTTGGTGTGAGATTTGTGAGGATGGATGGTGGATTATATGGATGATTCAGAAAGGATTGGATTGTAGATAAGGCCACGTGGCATGCCGTCATTCGTTAAAAATCTGATCGAAATCTATCCTCAAATATTATGAAAGATAATGAAACGTGACAAGATCGTATTGGATAAAAATCTTATCGAAATCGATCTCCAATAATTATCTTTTCGAATAATGACACGTGACGCAATTTTGAACGAGTTAAAATCTGATCGAAAGATATCGTCAAAGATTATCAAAAGATAACGACATGTGACACGATGACATTGGATAAAAATCTTATCGAAATCCATCGCTAAATAATTGTTTTTTTTATAAAATGACACGTGGCGCAACGAGAACGATTTAAAAAATCTTATCCAAAATTACAAATAATTTTATTTTGTATTATTTAAACAAACAAAAAAAATTAATATTTTATTGCCTATTGCCAGGGGGGAGGGCTCCAAGGGTGGAGATGCAAATGACAATTATTGTTCATTAATGGTAGTTACTATTTATTAAAGGCAGTTACTGTTCAAAAAGGTGAATTCAATAGTAGATTGTCAGAGAGGAGGGCTCCATGGGTGGAGTTGCTCTGTAGGGCTCTATATATACCTATATTAAATCTCAAACACAAAGCTACTGTTTATTAAAGTGGCTAGAATGCCCTCAAATTACTCTTTGATTGTGCCTTTTTTCACTTTCGTTCACAGCAAAATGGCAGATTTGCCCTCAATTTCCACGCGTCGATCATCGCTTAAAATGATTCCTCCTCTACTCGCTTCTCTTCATTCCGCATTCTCGTGAAAAAAAAAATCAGAGCGCTTCGCGAATCCTGTCTTCGTCAGCCAGCTCTACATTCCCCGTTCATTTTCGTCCTTGGCACAGTGGAATGCTACCCACGCGTCGATAATCGTGACTTCTTGAATTTCGTTTGCTGCTGCTGATCTGCAGGTAAAGCTTCAATTTCCATATAAAGTTTCCATTTTTCATGATTTCTGGAATTTGGGTTTTAAACAATGGAAGTATTGCTAGATTCTTATCATTATGTGCAAATTACTGGTGATTTGGATTGGTGCCTGAGATTTAGAGAATGGCTCGCAGCTTTAATTTCTTTTTCCTTCATTATTACTGTTTTAAAAAAATTTATTACTTTTTCCTTCAATCTGTTGGAATTTTGAACAATTATTGCTTCATCGGAATTTGGGTGGTCAAAATTTTGAATTAGAAGAAACCCATTTGATTAATATTTTTGGTGGATTGGCCTTGTGTTTTCTCTGTTATTTCTTCCCCAGTTGGAAAGTGGAAGCCCCAACTGTGAGCTCAGAGCTTGAATT